GTCAAGACTAGAATAAAATTTAAACTGCCCGAAATTTTTTTTTTCTTTTTATTGTTAAAGTGCATTTTAATTTGAAAACAGGGATACAATTTGTGTATTCATATGTTCAGATTTTATTTTGAATATTTTAAGGTGTTCGCTTCCTTTTTGCATATCTGACTTTATAGAATAAAATGCATTTTGGATCCTCCACATTGATTAGTGTATGCTGATCTATGCATATATAGTTTATAGTTGGATCTGAGAGAACCTATCTTCTTTATCTAAAATATACAGAGCTATGCCTATAAATATACACGGCTTGTCTTTTCATATCAAACTAAGCTTTAAGGGAGCTTGGCGGCACTTTCTAGTAACATATCAAGCTTATAACTGTTGCTCTTAATGTAAATTTTCTAGTATTTGACTTTCTTTTAATCTTTAATCTTCCCTGGTCCCTGGGTCAGGTGAGTTGCCCCCCAAAAAATAGGCTTGATCTGTGCAGCCGTGTGGATAAGACAAATTTCAGGATGAAAAACATTTATGAACTAAATTATACTAGATATAAAGTGGCAAGAAGCGCTTAAAAAACATGATTTAATAGACATGCACTGCAAAAAGTATGATTTGTATGACATACACTGCAAAAAGTATGACTTGTATGACATACACTGCAAAAAGTATGACTTGTATGACATACACTGCAAAAAGTATGACTTGTATATATGACATACACTGCAAAAAGTATGACTTGTATGACATACATTGCAAAAAGTATGACTTGTATGACATACACTGCAAAAAATATGACTTGAATGACATACACTACAAAAAGTATGACTTGTATGACATACATTGCAAAAAGTATGACTTGTATGACATACACTGCAAAAAATATGACTTGAATGACATACACTGCAAAAAGTATGACTTGTATGACATACACTGGAAAAAGTATGACTTGTATGACATACACTGGAAAAAGTATGGCTTGTATGACATACACTGCAAAAAGTATGACTTGTATGACATACACTGGAAAAAGTATGACTTGTGTGACATACACTGCAAAAAGTATGACTTGTATGACATACACTGGAAAAAGTATGACTTGTATGACATACACTGGAAAAAGTATGACTTGTATCACATACACTGGAAAAATTATAACTTGTATCACATACACTGGAAAAAGTATGACTTGTATCACATACATTGCAAAAAGTATGACTATGTATGACACACACTGGAAAAAAAGTATGCTTGTATTGAAACTGACCTAAATTAATTGACGAATTTTTGAAAATGACAACATGTTAATGACAATTTGGTAAATGGTAATGACCTGTACGTAAGTAAGTAGGTAACTAAAAAGTCCAGAGACTGGATTTAATTAATTTGAGACGGTTCAACCACGTATCTTGAATTCGAGCCAAGTCTAGAGACGGTTCAACCACGAGTCATGAATTTGAGCCAAGTCTAGAGACGGTTCAATCACGTATCTTGAATTTGAGACAAGTCTAGAGACGGTTTAACCACGTATCTTGAATTTGAGCCAGGTCTAGAGACGGTTCAATCACGTATCTTGAATTTGAGCCAAGTTTAGAAACGGTTCAACCACGTATCTTGAATTTGAGCCAAGTGTAGAGACGGTTCAGTCACGTATTTTGAATTTGGGCCACGTCTAGAGAAGGTTCAACCACATATTCTGAATTTGAGCCAAATCTAGAGATGGTTTAACCACGTATCTTGAATTTGAGCCAAGTCTAGAGACGGTTCAACCACGTATCTTGAATTTGAGACAAGTCTAGAGACGGTTCAACAACGTATCTTGAATTTGAGCCAGGTCTAGAGACGGTTCAATTACGTATCTTGAATTTGTGCCAGGTCTAGAGACGGTTCAACCACGTATCATGAATTTGAGCCAAGTCTAGAGACGGTTCAACCATGCATCCTGAATTTGAGCCAAGTCTAGAGACGGTTCAACCATGTGTCTTGAATTTGAGAAAAGTACAGAGACGGTTCAACCACGTATCTGGAATTTGAGCTGAGTCTAGAGACGGTTCAACCACGTATCTTGAATATGTAATTCAGGATTTAACCATCTCCTACAGTGCCTTCCAAATTCCAAAAATTCAAAATTAAATTTAGATAATAGTGTTTTTTACAAAAAATATGTCAACTAATATTGTACTTGTGCTGACAGGTTTTGTTTAGTTGAAATTGTTTTGGTTTAGGGGTCAGAAAGGAATTCATATTATTTTTCAATATTTACCCCAGAATTATGCAAGTCTTATTTTTTTAGATATTGGGAAAGAAAAACGATCTTACCACTAATGAATGCAACTCTATATGAGTTCATCTGGGTCATGGATAAGATGCTTTATGGATAAAAAATTATTGCTGGACCAGCGAACAATTCAAGGATATTTAAATGTAGATATTGAGAAAAAGTATCCTAAAGGGTGGTTTAAAACTGTGAAAGGTTGCGATATCCTCAAACTCTAAAGGGAAATAACAATGAACCCCTATAAGACCCTAAAATATCACCTTTTGAAGCAACAGGGGTGGCTTTAACCCCCTAAATTAGCTAGTTGTAGAGTTTTGAAAACAACGGGTAGGTTTTTAAAACAGTCATGTCATCATCAACGACGTATTGAATGGGATCTGGAGAACATAAAACCGGCATTTCAAAAATATTTATGTATAGGGAAGGGGAGAAGCTCAATTTTAGCATTGATTATCAAAGATAAATTGGTTGAACCAACAATAATACCATGGAAGGATTTAAAATTAACTTGGAGGCCTGTTTTGACCTCTTCGAGGCTAGTTTCTCCTCCTGGTTTGATCAATAAATCCAGCAAAACAGAAGTCCCTCGTGTATCAAAGTGCACCATGAACGGAATGAAGTAATACAGGTTGAAGGGAGGCCGGGTGATGACCGCGGGTCTCAAAATCTGACTGACCTCAATCCTTCTGACGATCTTGAAACTCGAAATTTATAAGAATGAAAGACATTTTGGGTCTCAGGAAACCCTTTTAAAGGTCATATAAGAGGCTTCAAGAGGCTGTAAGATAATTTACAAACGTTTTAAAAGTTCTAGCACTAAAGCTGACTGTAGGAGAAGCCGAAATGTGCTTTTTGAACTTATTTCTTTTTGCGCATAAAGCTAAATAACCTACAAACCAAGCCAATTTTTGCTTATGTATTTCTTTTTCTTAGATGTAAAAATTAGATTTAGTTCTCAATATGAATTAATCAATATTTGGTCAAGGAAAAACATAAAGTGATCAGATTTTTTTTGTACAATTTGATAAATCTAAAATACCTAATATTTGAGTAGTGTCCTATGACATGAGAAGTAAATTTTTACTGAAAATATTAAACAACAAGATGGGTAAACTTTAATTACATTTTTTCTTATTTCTTATCTTCAGAATTGAGAATTTGTTAAATTTTAAAGAAGAATTGTTAAATATTCAACCTCTGAGCCTGAAACCAGTTGTGAATATATTAAACTTTAGAGGAGTTTTCCGCAACTTTAAATATTTTTAAATCCAGAGGTAGGGAGTAGGGAGTAGGGAGTAGGGAGTAGGGAGTAGGGAATAGGGAGTAGGGAGTAGGGAGTAGGGATTAGGGAGTAGGGAGTAGGGAGTAGGGAGTAGGGAGTAGGGAGTAGGGAGTAGGGAGTAGGGAGCAGGGTAGGGAGTAGGGAGTATGGAGCAGGGAGCAGGGGGTAAAAACATAAGAATATTTCTCAAACATTCCTATTAGACTAATTAGACAGACAGCTTGAGAACTTAACAAATAGATATAAAATCAGATGTTCAGAAATATTTTCAGTAAAAGAATAGAATAAATTGATAATTTGTAACAAAGAACAAAGAATATGGACCCACTCACAAATCAATGTTTTGGTTCGTGGAATTATTAACATCTCTGTTAAATGTTTATATTATACAGTCCCTTTAATGTTTTGTGTTTACAATCCCTTTAATGTTTAGTGTTTGCAATCCCTTTAATGTTTTGTGTTTACAATCCCTTTAATGTTTTGTGTTTGCAGTGCCTAGAGAGAGAATAGTTTATTTAGAAGATTAATTAATTCCATGTTTAAGTTTTACCTGGACCAAACTCAGCAACTCAGCAGATGTTTATATACAGGGGGGGAAGGAGAAAAATGGTATTTTCTTAATTACTTAAATTAGTCATTTCTCATAGTTTTATACAGTTTTTTCAGGTTTTAACAGGTTGACCAAACACCGTTAGTGTTCACGCTCTCATGTACAAATCTGTCTGAATTTTACCAATTACTCATTTTAAACTAAAGCTAGAAAACTAGTTTGTTGTAGATCAACAGGGCTCTTTTATGTGCTTCCAAAAAAAGATAAAGCCAAAGGAGAGGAGTTGCAACACTGTAATCTCGGCCCGGTCTTGAAAGCTTGATTTTAAAGATGTCTGGATTGCTGCGCAGGTTTTCATGAGTTTAGTAAAAATGCACAAAGAGCTTAAAACCCCACATTACTTGTAGATACTAGATAGACTGATCATATTTATTTAACACCCTGTAATTATGTATAAATGGAACCCTTCAGTAGATGAAGTGTCTCTGTTGAACCTAAAACTTCAGAATCAGAAGCAGTCACTATATATACAGGGAGAAAAAAAACTACAAGACTTCAGACACGACTGGACAAAACGTATCCAAGGTTCCACGCAGTTTCTTAAACGTATTTTATTCTTTGAGTTGTGTTCTTTTTTCGGATATTTGACTGATTCTATCAGATATTTGATTTATTTTAACAGATATTTGACTGATTCTATCTTATCTTTGACTGATTATATGGAATATTTGACTGCTTATGACTGATTTTTTTGGAATTTTGACTGATCATATCGAATATTTGTCTTATTGTATCGGATATTTGACTGATGATAATTGACTGATTATATTGGATATTTGACTGATTATATTGGATATTTGACTGATTATTTCGTATATTTGAATGATTATAATTGTTTCAGAATTGTCAAGTTTAAAATGTTAGTTGTGCTGTTTGGAAGGTATTATTACAAAACAATCATTCTTACTTTACTCCTTCTCTATATTATTAAAAATAGAATTAGCAGCTGAAAATTATGATTATACAATCATTATATTTACAAGTTTTGTTTACATTTGGTATTTTAGACTTTTATCAGCGATTACAGCGGTTTATGTGTTATGCAGGGTTACAAAATGTCATGAGACTTTAATGAATACTAAAACTTTTTCATTCTAAAGAGTTGAAGGTTAATTTTGATCTTTTTATCTTTAAGACGTATTTTAAATAAGTTTTCAACCCTATATTGAGTAGTTTTCAACTAGTTATCGAGTAGTTTTTAACTAGTTGTCGAGTAAGTTTCATATAGTGATCAAGAAGGTTTCAACTGTATATCGAGTAAGTTTCAACAAGTTATCGAATAGATTTCAACTAGTTATCAAAGTTTTCAACTAGATATCGAATAGTTTTCAACTAGTTAAAGAGTAGGTTTCAACTAGTCATCGAGTAGGTTTCAACTAGTTAACGAATAGTTTTCAAGTATTTTACGCCTTTTAAACTACCTAATTTTATGAACTTATCCGGTATGTATATGCAAACTTAATTGAGTTTAAGTAGGATTATCTGTATCATATCTAAGAATAATACTAGATAATGTTTTAGTTTTGAAACCCATTGTCCTGATTTATCCAATGAAAATCCTCTTCGGAACATACAGTACATACAGGTACAGTACAGTACATACAAATACAGTACAAACAGGTAAAGTACAGTATAAACAGGTACAGTACAATACAAACAGGTACAGGACAGTATGTACAGAAGAGTACATACAGGTACAGCACATACAGGTACAGTACAGTACAGTACATACAGGTACAGTACAGTACAGCACATACAAGTACAGTACAGTACATACTTAAACAGTACAGTACATACTAAAACAGTACAGTACATAAAGGTACAGAAAATTACGTAGGTACATAGTTAAATAGATTACGTAGAGGATAAGAAGGGATACTCGATGTACACTGTACATCGAGCAAATATTTAAATATTCAAACAATTTTAAATATTGAAGGTTTCAGGAGGTAAATTCAAAGGTTTATGGGGGCTCAGTCCATCCCCAAAATCTATGGTTTCCAGGGAGTTTTCAGGCCCCAACGGGTTATTAGCTCCCTCTTCCCCCATTGAAAAGAAATAAATGAAGCCCCTTCCCCCCCCCAGGACAAATTTCTTGTACGACCCTCCAGTCCAGCGTACACCAGGTGTACACAGACCAAGTTCATTTAAAAGCTGATTTTTAAGCTACTTTTGCTTAAACTATTTGTTTTATAACATCATCAAATACATTGAAAAATTGAATAAATGTTGTCTTGATATTCCACAAAGTATAATACCGTTTCACTATAATTGGATTCCTGTCCGGCTCATAAAACATGACATTGAAAACCCTGGCAATAATGCTACCAAATTATCCCAAGGGGTATAATATCCACCTGAACTATAAAGTAAAAATGCAAAGTTGAGTCAGCAGTTCAATGATGATTTCTCTCTTCTTCTCTTAAATTAGTTGTATGAGGTTGTACATATGTTTATTGTATACTAGCTTGGGAACCCAGCTTTGACTAGAAAGAAAACTTTCTTTTTTAATTCGACCCACTGTATTAGAATTTTTCAACCCGTAAAGTTTCCCAATCATGATTGGAGGCAAATCGGTCAAGAGATTTATAAGATATGATCGATCATACCGGCTAAAACGGAGATTACTTTTTTCTATATAGATACGGGTATAACAGCTAATCGGGTAAATTACATTTGATTCTGGTCCCCTTGTAATATTTGTATGAATAAGATAATAAATGCAAAAACCAATTTTTCGGACAGCAATATTTTTTCAGCTATAGCTAGAATTAGAACTAAGCAAGAAGCTTTTGTTTCCTGAACCAGTTTTTTGTGGTAAAGGATGTTTGGTAGGACAAATTGGTCAAGGAAGCTAAATCTTTGATTGCAAGAAAAGTAAAAGACAGTAAATGTCGTTTTAAATGAAAATCCTGGATTCAAAAAAAAAGAGAGCGGGGTTTAATTTTTCAAGTCATCCTGAAGTTGAAGTCTTCACAAACTACAAATGTTTTTTTTCAGAGATATCTTTAATTGTAATTAAAATAAATAAAGAGATCTCTTGAATGTAAATTTGTTTTATATAAATAATCCACCTTTGAATTTCCGAGCCGGGTTAACATTTCCGGTCCCAGTTTGTACTGTATCGCCCGGACATTGGGTAAATAAAGCAGACACTCAATAGGGCTAGCCGGTGCAACAAGTTTGACGCGGTCAGATTTTAGGTTAAATTTACTTTTACTAAAAGGTCAGAGGTGCGTGAATCTCCAGGTAAGTATTTCCGCGACCTCAAGAAAAAGATGACATTTAAAAAAAATGTTATCAAAAAAGAAGTTTATGCTCCACGTTATGCTACAAAAACACGGGAAATAAGAGACGACATAAAAATCATCTTTGTTTTCCGATCGTTGATAAATGACAAGGAGTGCATATCAAAAACCGGTTGTAATCTTCTTGTGAGTTTTCCATAATATGATTTTCTTTCTTTAGAACTGGCGGAGATGTAAAACATTTAAACAATTTTGTTGTTTTTAAAAAATTGGAATCTGGACAAATTTTTTAATATACAAGTACAAAAATGATAGACATCATTTTGTAAATGTCTATTTACAAGTATTTTTGGTTCTAAACATTTTACGCCCTTACATAAAACGGCGCTTGGGACATAAACGATATAGACTTTTCATCACTAAATTCCCATGTTTGTTATGACCCCTGTAAACTTCATGGTAAATAGTCTCGGTTGGGGTTTCCAGCGTGACCATTTCGCTTTATTTTCGCATTTCGTTCGCTCGCGAAACGTTTCGTTGGCTGGAAACCCTAGTCTCGGTACAATTATATTTTCGTAAAATCCCTGTAACGAAGTAATGAATAATAATTATATTATTTAGCACTGTTAGTCTTAGTAGTAGAGCACCCTGTGTGTGTAGTGTTGAAGAGTTTAATCAAATTAGGATGATTAGGCCGCAGGATTTAATCTGGATTTCACAAATTTCAATAGAGAAATAATAAAGTTTGTGGGGATATAATCTAATCAGAGGTTGGAGAACTTTCTGCTTACTAAACATTCAATCTTAGGCTTGGCTAGGATAGGGTAGGGGAACGATGTTAGGAAATGTTCCAAGATATGAAGTTCATACATTATTATCTTTCTATCACTCTGATAATCCAGTCAAAAAAATTCAGCATATTAATAGAATAGAACTTTTTGTTATGCATGTAAAATCTTCAGATCATTCTCCTCTCTAACACAACCTTCTTGCTGACTGAAACCTTTTTGAGACAGGAGAAATCTTTTCCGATAGTAATCCATCTTATTCTTTTATAATACGAAGAAAGTATTTGAACTTAACTTTTACAGGTTCAAAATCATTCTTTCTTTATTCTAAATTGCGAACCGATCACCCCTCCACTCTATCTATAATACCCTCCCCTCTCGACACCACTTAACCTTTTACATTCCATTTCGTCACTTTTTAACAATTTAGATGTGATAACCTCGTGAAAATATTGTAATTTCAAATGACTCTTAATGAATATGAAAAATGGATTAAGCAATTTCCAACAGTAGCCTTTCAACCTTTGTATGAACAACAAGGAGGAATAAGATTTCCTTGTTTTTCTACCATAAAATTTATTCATTTTATTTTGGGTTCCTCTGTAGCAGTGGCTTTTGGTTATGCAGCAGTTCGATAATAAAACAAATTATCAAAACGTGACACTTTCCAGGATATTAACCCACGATAGCTTTCTCATTGTACGTTGTACCTCAGATATAAAGTGTTTAAAAGTACCCTTGTGAATCGGATTTTCAAATTTAAACTATATATATATACAGTGGCCGAATTTAAAGAATTTGAGCGGCGGTTTGAATTTAATCCGCGGCTTAAATATTGTTGGTTCCACTTAAAATTGTATCAAATGTTTCAAGATTTAAGCCGGCGCTTAATTTAAACCGGGTTTTGGCAGATTTAAACCGCGGCTTAAATTCTTTAAATTCCACCTCAGACCCTCAAAATATTCTAGGATATACTAAAAACAATATTTTTATAAAGGGAAGAACAGAGGATGAGGTGACACAGGAGAGGAGGGATGAGGAGTCAGGAACAGAGGAGAGAGGAATGGTGGAGAGGAGGAGGGATGATGAGAGAGAAGAAGATGAGAGAAGACGGGATGAGGAAAGGGGAGAAGAATATCCTAGAAAACTTTATTGTAATAGTTTCATTCTTTACATTCTCCTTCTCTTCCTAACTAGCCTTGGGCCAGGGATGATTTTAGGTAATAATAAGCCTTGTAGGTGAAGATCAGGACAAATACTTTGTAAATTTAAGGAACTTTAATAGTTGAAAATTAGGACAAATACTTTGTAACTTTTAGGAACTTTAATAGTTGAAGATTAGGACGAATACTTTGTAACTTTTAGGAACTTTAATAGTTGAAGATTAGGACAAATACTTTGTAACTTTTTGGAACTTTAATAGGTGAAGATTAGGACAATTACTTTGTAACTTTTAGGAACTTTAATAGTTGAAGATTAGGACAAATACTTTGTAAATTTTTTGGAACTTTAATAGGTGAAGATTAGGACAAATACTTTGTAATTTTTAGGAACTTTAATAAGTGAAGATTAGGACAAACACTTTGTAACTTTTTGGAACTTTAATAGTTGAAGATTAGGTCAAATACTTTGTAACTTTTTGGAACTTTAATAGTTGAAAATTAGGACAAATACTTTTTAACTTTTTGGAACTTTAATAGTTGAAGATTAGGACAAATACTTTGTAACTTTTTGGAACTTTAATAGTTCAAGATTAGGTTAAATACTTTGTAACTTTGAGGAACTTTAATAGTTCAAGATTAGGTTAAATACTTTGTAACTTTGAGGAACTTTAATAGTTCAAGATTAGGTTAAATACTTTGTAACTTTGAGGAACTTTACTAGGTTAAGATTAGGTTAAATACTTTGTAACTTTGAGGAACTTTAATAGGTGAAGATTAGGACAAATACTTTGTGACTATTGCGAACTTTACTAGGTTAAGATTAGGATAGAAAATTAGTTTCTTTAGAAACTTTAGTAGTTGAAGATAGGATGAATACTTAGTGACTTTTAGGAACAGATGAATACTTTATGACTTTTAGGAACTTTATTTGGTTAAGATTAGGGATAAATACTACGTGACTTTTTAAAACTACTTTTGTTGGTGAAGATTAGAAATAATTACTTTGCAACTTTTGTAGGTTAAGATTATGATAAATACTACGTTAAGTTTAGGAACTGTACTAGGTTAAGAGTAGGGATAAATAATTTGTGAATTTTAGAAATATTAGTAGGTTAGGTTAAGGATAAATACTTTGTGATTTTTAAGAGATTTAGTACGTTCAGAGTGGGTTAAATTTAGGAGGCTTACTAGGTTGAGATTGGGAAATGATATTTTCAGAAATTGCTAAATTTTAATAGTCAGTAATTATTAGGATATTAGCTAATTTAGATAAAGGAAACTTCCATTCTAATAGTCAGTAATTATTAGGATATTAGCTAATTTAGATAAAGGAAACTTCCATGTCCGTGTATGCTTTAAAAAAAATACAAAACTTGTGTATATACTGATTAGGTTTAGATTATATAATGAAGTAGGTCATTAAGTTCAGAAACATTCTAGCCTAAAAATGGAAAAAAAATATTTTGAAGAATTGGAATAAAGGAAAATACAAATTTGAATATATATTTAGAATTATTACTGACTCTATTATGGAAAATATTATATAGGTTAGTTTTAGTGCCCAATCCCACTCTCCCCATCAACTGTTTTCCCTATATTCAGACCAAACCTCAAGCATTTTCAGTAAAGATGCACTAAAACTCGTATCAAACCATTATCTTTCTGTATCACTTCCCCTCCTTTCTATTCTAAATGTTTTTGTGTTTAATCACTGAGAAACAGTGAAAATATAATTGGTTTTGTCATAAAACTGAAACTTAATGATTTCTAATTTCCATAATAAAAGTTTCATTTAAATGATATTCATTTAATTTTGTATTTGAATACTGCAGTATCATGAACTGAAATAGTCTCGTATTTTCCTTTAGTTCCCTCTGTATTGTGTTCTTTAGTGTCCCTTGGGAGTATACTGGAGTATTCTAGGTTACCCTCATTTCAATACCAGGCACTTAGCAAACCAGGGATCGATCCTCAGGATTTGAGATTAGGCGATCGAAAAACTTTTTCATCCTGATTTAACAGATCATCGCGGCTTTTGAACTCAATTTTCAAGTTGATTTGATCTTCGAAATAATTTGTATCTTTAATAAGTAAACCTATTTTTAGAAGTATAAGTCTAGAGTTGATAATCACAAAATACCCTTGGTCTTGGTATTTCCAAATTGTGGTCTGGCTTTTTTGTGCTTACAATATTACTGGAGAGATATTAAGAATTTCGTTCGACAATTTTGGTTTAATTTAATTAAAATTAAATCTGAGCGAAATTCTTAATATCTCCGGTAATATTGACAGCACAAAAAGGCAGACCACATTTTGGAAATACTAAAACTACTAGAATGTTGTGGTTACTGTTCCAAGAATCATACATGTTAAAATATGTTGACGACTAAATGTCACCCAAAAATTTAAAGATCAAAGAGGACTTTCAAGTTGTATTGCTCCAATCATGTTTTGTGGTACACCCTGTATAATTTGTCTGCAGATGCATTTATAATAAAATATAAACAAAAAGAAAACTTTGTAAAACAAGATTATATAATTATACGCGATTGAATTCAAAATGAGAATCCAAATGTATCTAGTCATTATTATTTCATGGTGTTTTCTTTTAGGAAATTTTCTTGGTTAAGATTTGGGACTAATAATAGCAGGGATGTTTCATGTTTTTGACAAAAGACGTTATTTCGTTATTGTATTAGCGTATTCTGCATTCCAAATGTATATATTTAGGCCCCCCCCCCCCCCTGAGACCGAATTGCAGGAGTTTAAACAAGATTGCTTAACTGCATACAACCGGTTCATAATCTGAAAAGATTCTTGATGATTTGAATCGCTAGGTAGTCAGCGACATCTTCAATTCGTTAAATGCGGTCCAGGGTTTCTTAACTCCATGATGAACCCCCTGAATGCGGTCCTGGTTTTCTTAACTCCATGATGAACCCCCTGAATGCGGTCCCTGTTTTCTTAACTCCATGATGAACCCCCTGAGGCCGTAAAGAATATGGTTTAGTTATGTAGATATACCTGGAGATGGTTTTATATATAAAATATTTTAGAGATGGATTATTAGGATTTATGTATTATGTATTTGTCTGGGGATAGTTAAGATCCGTAGGATTTATTTAGCCAGCGATCTGAATAAAATGTAAAACGAAGTTTTAAAGCTTTTGGATAAAGCTTCAAAATGGTTTAAATCCACCAGGATACCTGAAGATGGCTTAGATCTAGAAGGATGTATACCTTGAGATGGTGTAGATAAACAGGAAGATATATACCTGGAGATGGTTTAGATCTATAAGGATATATACCTGGAGATGGTTTAGATCTAGTAGGATACATACCTGGAGATGGTCTAGATCTAGTTGAACATATACTTGGGGATGGTTAAGATCTAGTAGGATATATATCTGGAGATGGTTTTGATTTATAGGATACATGCCTGGAGATTGTTTAGATCTAGAAGGATATATACCTGGAGATGGTTTAGATCTATATGGATATATACATGAAGATGGTCTTGGAATGGAAATATGCAATAGTAATAATAATAATAATAATAATAGTAACAATAATAATCAAAATAATAACAATAATAATAATAATAATAATTATAATAATAATAAATAGATAATTAGCTAGATAATTAAGAATTTACTGAGCGAAGGTTAAAAGAGATATATTTACGTTTAAGGTTCAGTCAGTTTAACTTACTCAAGGAACACTTTCGATTTAAATCAATCAGACAGCAGTGGTGATTATGTCAATATTACGAAAACGACTTTTAAAAATAAAATCGAAAGTCGTCTTCATTGTATTGATATAATCGCCTACCACTGTATACTTTACCAAACTATCATGATAAACATTGTAATTAACCAGTCACTTTCAAATAGTCTTAGTTCCGATTGGAATTATTTAGGAAACAACATTTTTGTACAGAGAGGTTTAAATTTGTAATAACTTTAAAGAAAAAAGAAAAGCTGAATTTTAGAAGATTATTAGAAGCCTAATCGTCGACCAGAGTCAAAACAATGACGATTTTTACTTCGTCCAATGATTCCTATGTTTGTACGCATACCCTGTATGTGTCTCTGTGTTTAGGGGTATCTTTCCTCCTGATCTTCTGTTGAACTAGACTGTATGAAGAAACAGGAAAATAAACCGGAACCGGAACTAGATAATAGATCAAAGCTGGAAAAGAATCTGGTACGTAAAAATATATAGGACTTGTAGCATAAACCGCTTGTAGAACTGTAAACGGAACTTGATGATAAACAGGAACTGGAGAATAAACCGGAATTAGATAATGAACCGGAACTGGAGAATAAACCGGAACTAGAGAATAAACCGGAACTGGAATTGGAAGATAACCTAGTTTGTTGTGCAAGCACTTCTGATGATGATGTTTGTAAAATTGTATAATTGAGGTTACAAAGATGTAAGTGTGCTAATTACTTGCTAATTACTCTCCTAGTACTTTAACTAATTATAACAGATGATGCAGATTCAACAAATATGTTTATTGATTATAAAAATAAATATTTAAACAATGTAACTTTTCATGTCGTCATCTCCGTGTAAAACCTGTGCCATTTTGAACTAGTCAGGTTTGTTTCGTGATGGCTCGATACAAAATATAAATAATAAATTGATTACGACTAGAACGAGTTGTGTATGGCTGATGTGTACAGTGTAACTAGCAAGATTTAGGTTGACCAGATCGAGAAATAGCTCCGAGAATAATTTCAATCAAACCTTCACCACCCTCCCTACAAATAATAAAAATGTTAATATAAATTGTCACCATTTAAAAAAATAATGTTTATAGTCGATTGCTTTAATTTCTTGTGCAATATTTGCAGCATTGCTTAAAGGGTGTGTTCGTCAAAAATAAAGGTAGTTAAATTTCAACTCGATCGCTACTCATTATTACTTTTGTGCGGTTAGGAGGAAAAAGTTTAAAACTGTAAATTCTTGGATATCACAAAAATGCGCGGCATTCTTGAAGAGTTCAGAGCTGAAAACTTTAGAATGGTGGATATCGGGATTAAGGCTTAATCCACTCTTTTTCTTAATCTGCAGATTAAATATTGCTTGTTCTCCACTCATTTTTAATCTCCAGATTAATTATCCGATCGGGATTAAGGATATCCCATTCAAAAGTTCCCATCTCAGGAGAACGATTAAACGATTTAAAATTATGTCTTCTTTAAAAAAATCCACTAAATTTGAATGGATATTTTTAAAAGTTATACTCGGATCCTATACAGAGCTGAAAACTTTAGAATTCATGAGGACAACAAGCAATATTTAATCTGGAGATTAAGAAAAAGGGCGGATTAAGCATTAATCCCGATATCCACCATTCTAAAGTTTTCAGCTCAGACCAAATAATATTATGAAATTTTATATGTATTCGAATGCCCGGATTATGACTTATCTCTAAAGAAAATTATGGAGGGATAGATATTGTATCACGTTCTCTCACAGTTCTATCAAAACAATAACAAAGATTGTAAACAAAGGCAGGATAAGAAGGCAGGACTTAACATTACAGTAAAATGTACGTCAATTGTATCCTCCTTTTACTCCTAAATATACCTGGCTGTTCCTATCCCGAAAGCTTTGCTCATAACACCACCGATAACCTCAGCAACAACCTCCTTCACAACATCAGCCATAATATCTCCAACACTTCTAAACAAATTATATCGTTAAAGGGACTGTAAGCGTAATTTCAACTTACCCTCCATGCAAAAAGGACAATACAACTGCAACCTAGAAACCTAAATCTGATCAAAAATATGAAAGATACCGTCAATTTTCTGACTCAAAAAATGTTTATTTCTGTGAATTTCTCCAGTCTTTCTTACAAGAAAAATGCTTAACTCACTTTCGGAGAGATCCCGCAAATGAAAATAAACAGTTTAACGTAACAAAAACATGTAGATCCTATTAATACTTGATCAGACAACGCTTTTAAGGGTACAGTTGTAAATCGGGCATTGCCAACTTTGCATTGAGGGTTACTTGAAATTACGCTTACAGTCCCTTTAAAGGGTTTGTTCACTTGATTCAAAATAACCAAAATATCCTAATTTTATCATCTTGGACCACAATTAAGCATATCTTTCCATTTAAAAATGTTCCTGAGAACCATAATGTTCAAAGTGTTCACTTAAACTCCACCTAAGACCAGTGTTTGCACAAATTCACGCAAATTAATGAATTTTTGCTTTTGTTTTGCTGTTTGCGCAGAAATACCAATTTTATATATTTAGAGAGGTTTTCAAGTGAACACTAAGCAGAGATTTTTTGGACATTCTAGCTCTCTTGAACATTTATGGACATTCTTTCTCTCTTGAACATTTTTGGACATTCTGTCTCTCTTGAACATTTTGGACATTCTGTCTCTCTTGAAAATTTTTGGACATTCTGACTCTCTTGAACATTTTTGGACATTCTGGCTCTCTTGAACATTTTTGGACATTCGATGGCTCTCTTGAACAGTTTTGGAAATTCTGTCTCTCTTGGACATTTTTGGACATTCTGGCTCTCTTGAACATTTTTTATTTTGTCCTTAATTTAAAAATAAGGGTAATATGTGCATTCCAAGATTGATTCTTAAAGATTTTTAAAGAAAAAGTTTTAAGATTTGTATTTCTTTGAAAATTGATTTGTAAAGATTTGAAAGAATTTTTTTATTAAATATCATTTTGACAGAATTAGTTATAAAACTCAAGCCTCACCTTTCATTAAATCTTGCAGCTCTATTTATACCCTGAGCAATTTCCACGACAGTGGTTCCATACTTTCCAAATATATCTCCTAGTCCTTCCTAATCAACACCATACTAGACATTAAACAGTCTCAAATAGTGATAAACTACTTTTTTTAATTAGAGATACAACCAAAAAAAAATTCAGTAAATCTGTGATCTTTGAAAATGTAGTTTTTACAAATAGCAATCATTAACAGCATTATAACGAAAATAAAATAAAAATGAAGATGATGCCATTACTCTGTGTCCTTTTAAGAATATTTTTTTTAGTATTTGATCTTGCAAAAAGGAACAAAAGAAATTTTGTTGCATTTTTAATAAAAAATCCCCCCCCCCTTGTTAACTATTTATAAAAATAAGTCTACAAATCCGTCCTTTATCTTTAAAATAAAGCTCTTCGCTTTTATTGGAATTAGATTTTTTGTTAAAAATTTGAAATTTATTTTTAAAAATTTGAAATTTTTTAAAAAGATTCAACTTTTTTTAAAATTCGATATTTTTATTCCACGGTAACGCCGGGCTCTTCAGCTAGTATTGTATATAATACATTGTATGATCTATATATATTCTTTGCTTGTCTGTTTGCTTGTTTGTATCTAATAAACGTCAAAACGGCTGAACCGATCGGGCCCACATTTTTTGTGGCACCTCTCGTGACCCCAGGGAAGGTTTATGAATGATAAAATTTCAAAAATTTGTATTAAAAGTTTTTTAATTTTGTAAAATTTTGAAAATGCGTGGAAAAATATTATGAAATCCGCAAACTTTTTAATGTTTTCTTTTACACTGTACACAGAGAAGAGCTCACAGATAAAGCCACAATTAAAGGTTGAAAAATAAGATTTAAGATACCAGTAATTAGGTATAAAGAAATAAACGTCTATCAATCAATCAATCAAAGTTGAAGAATAAGATGGGTACAAAGCGCCTAGTAATTGTATAATTGATTATGTTGAATTAAATAAATATAGTCTAATATAATTCCTGTAGTTCTTCTCCCATACCTACAACAGTCTCAGCAAACTGAAAAACAAATCTCGATTCAAATATTTTGTAGAATCAGAGCCAGTGATTTTTGAAATTTTAACAACGGACCGACCCTGAAGTGTCAATGGGCCATTACCCTTAGAGCTTGGCCTTCAGAATCAAACCACAATTCGGAAAGGTTAAAGAACATTTTTTTCATATTTATTATAACACCCATAAACAATCATATCTCTTGATGTTTTTTCAACGTTTTGGGGGGAGGGGGGGGGGTCGTTCTATATCTGATGTATCCCATAATCTACCTCGTCTTGTGACATATCCTCCATGTTTGCTGGAACCATGAGTTTCTCCTCCTCCTCCTGGAGCAATGACTCCGAACCTTGAATCTGGTTCGAGTTCACTTCAAACTCTTTCAACTGAAACAAATTAACATGTTAATCACAAACTGAAGTTTTTATCTATTTTCATATTTTTTTAGTTCTGCAATGTAATACTACAAGTCATGAAATATTCACTAAGGTATCATTAAAACTGTCTTTTATTATGCGAAAATAAAAAGTCATAATTTTTCTAACGGCAATGAAACTAAACTTTTTTATTTTCATGAAAAAAGCCTGACAAAGTTTTTGCGATAAATTCAAAATTTTTAATCCATGTAGCTTAGTAACCTGATGGTCTAAACCTTTAAGATTTCAAACTTAGGCCATTTTATCTAACATAATTCATAGTTTGATATATAAAAAGTCTGCGACACCAGGTTTCAAAGATATAGGAATAAAAAAATAAGGGAGTGTTGATAAACTCAGTTACTTTGAGTTGTTTTTGTTCAAAAAGAATGTCTGAGTTGGAGCAAAAAATCTACAAAAACTACTTGAACTCTAAAGCAAATTTACAGGAAGTGGTTTAATAAAGTTGTTCAGCAACCATGGAACAGATTTACAATAAACATTAAAAATGTCAGATTTCAAGGTTTAAGGTTTTATCCATAACTATTTTTCTCAGTCAAGCGTACACGTAGTGTTGTTGTTGTCGTATTGTTAACTCAACCGTACTTTTAATAAAGTATTAAAACCTCTTTAATCTTAGACATAAGTCTAATTTTGCCATATTTTAAATCATTTCAATATTTTTATTTGTGTTTTTTGTTAAATTATTCTGCGGATTTACATGCATAATCTATATATACGTCATGCTTGTCCGTCTGTCTGTCTATCCGTTTGTATCCAATAAACGCCAAAACGGCTGAACCGATCCGGTCCAAATGATCCAAGAAGAGGTTTATGAATGGTCAAAATTTTAAAAATTCGTTTGCAACAAAATTGGATTTTCATTAAATTTTAAAATCCACGAATTTCTTTTTAAAAATTCGGGAATTTTTTTTTGGTTTTGTTTTACAATGTATACAAAGAGAAGATATGCGCCCTAAAAGCCTAGTAATATAATACTTTTTAGATGTGAATCGTACATGTACAAATTATGTCAACAGTCCCTTTGATAAATTCTGTACAGTCGTCTCTGAAATCTAATTCTTAGTTGTAGCTATAGCTTTAAAATTAATCAATTAATGAATAATTTGCACCGAAAAAAATTATTCTGAGCTGAATCCGTTCATTAAACGTTTGTTTTTAATCTTTGTGAAGAACCAATCTCAAGAACTGACGAGGGTCAACCCAGACCGAAATATGTTTTCAATAAATGTGGAACTAACATCTACTTTTTTACTCTACAGAGGTTTGGTCCACCACCATCACCGAATTTGAAATAAACGTAAACGTAAAGCATAAAGTTAAATGAAGCTAACTTTGGGTATTAAACCTAACATGACAGTTGAGAGACACTTTAAGATCGTCTTGGATATCTGTTAACAATCTAGTTACACGAAATATGACAGTAGCAAGACGAATTGTACGTCGTCTTTGATTTTGACATAATTACTGACTTTTTTTGTCAATCTAATTTTAGAAGTAAAATTCTAGAAAAAATAATTACAAAATACCCCTAGTCCTGCCATTTTCAAAATGTGCTCTGCCTTTTTGCGCTTTCAATATTTCTCGAGATATGAAGAATTTCGTTCAGATTTTGACAATTTTGGCTTTATTTAACAAAATTGGAATCTGAACGAAATTTTTAATATCTTCGGCCAGCACAAAAAAGGCAGACCACGGTTTGGAAAGGTCAGGACTAGGGGAATCTTGTAGTTACTGCTTCAAGAATCATACATGTTAAAGTTGGTTGACGACTGAATGTCACAAATAAATTCCAAGATCAAAGACGACATTCAAGTCGTCTTGCTACTGTCATGTTTCGTGGGACACACTGTAGCTGCAAGCTGTTCATGAGGTACAGAGTCACCCTGTAAAGACGACCGGAAATTCTGAAAATATTAGGATCCCAAGGTAAAAATAAGTCTTCTGCCTCAGATATAGTTATCTAATGGCTTAATGATTTAACAAAGGGACAAATAAGTTTACAGTTGCAGAGAATCAAAAATATAAGGAAACATACAGTAAACATTCCGTGCAGTCATCTCTAAAGTCTCATCCTTTGTGGGTAACCCTGTACACTACATTTTAGTTATAAAAAGGTATAAAAATTACATTACGGAAAGCTTTTAGTTCAAGGTCGTATTTTGAATACACTTATATAGTTGATTAATCAATTAATTAACATTTAAGTATAAAGACGATCTTTCAATCTTTTCTCAACTGTCATCTGTCGAAGAACACACCGTATGTATATGTAGTTTGTTGTTTAGATTACAGTCGTCAAACATTTCTTTTCAATTTTATTAACGAAAAATAGATTTGATTGATTGTCGTCTTAGATTGACTTTGAATTTACCATTTCTCCACTTACTGGGGGATCGGGGTTAAAGACAATTCAGTTTCAGCTTACAAAATGTATAGGGGTATTTTATGATAAAATGACAATAATAATTCACACCATTATTTGTTTCTTAATGTACAGGGTTCCCCACAAAGGATGAGACTGTAAAGACGACCCAAAACTTAAAAAGTAAAGCGGTTTGAAGCTTGAATTTTGGTTTCTGCGTTAAAATGAGTAAATAAACCAGTTTTGGTTTACAGGTATCCTGAATGTAATAAAACGGGCGAAACAAATTCCGTAAAATCGTCTCATTCTTTGTGGGTAACCCTGCATTTTCATTGGTTGATATATACCTGTCTCTCTTCTAGAACATCAGGAAAAGATCCCTCCTGGAACCCTCCTTCAACAACAGGAACAGCCTGAACAAGTAGATCATCAACAAACGTCGAATGTTCTAAAAAAACGAGAAAAAAATTGTTTTCGGTCCAAACAACAAAAGTAATTGACGTAATAATAATTTTGTTCAAATTTCACTTTATTAAATACTAGCAGCGGCACCAGACTTTGCCTAGAACCTAGGTTTTCCCATAAACACCAGAGATATTCATCTCAACATTTCAACCCAAGCTATGAACATTCCCATAGTTCTGTTGAGTTCCTTATTCAAAATTTGAGAAAAATCGGTCAAGGGTTAACGTTCATTACACGAAGAAAAAGAGAAACCGAGATATCTACTTTTTATTCTGAAATATACCTGCAGAACTGGTGTTAGTGGAAATTCTTATTTTTGGTTTAGAATTTAAACCTGGAAATAATGTAACCGTACGAAAAAAAAACTCTTTTGGCGAAGCTCTTTTTTCAAGATAATTATTTAAAAAGTTTGAGCCCTCGTTTTTATAGTACTTGATGCTAGAGCACTTTTCAAAAATTCTAAAACTTTGTGTATTATTTGTATTTTGAATAAGATAAGGAATCCGTTTAAGAATATTACCTCTGCTACTGCTTTATCCACGATTCTCTTCCCCCCTCCAGACTTTATTCTATACTTCACCCTCATCCTTTCCTGGACAATATAGTTATATAACCTTTCATCCTTTCCTCAACAATATATTCATATATCCTTTCATCCTTTCCTGGACAATATAGTTACGAAACCTTTCCTGGACAATATATTTATATATCCTTTCATCCTTTCCTGGACAATATAGTTACGAAACCTTTCCTGGACAATATAGTTACGAAACCTTTCCTGGACAATATATTTATATATCCTTTCATCCTTTACTGGAAAATATAGTTACGTATCCTTTCCTGGACAATATATTCATATATCCTTTCCTGGACAATATATTTATATATCCTTTCATCCTTTCCTGGATAATAAAGTTACAAATCCTCTAATCCTTTCCTGAACTTTATAGTTACATATCCTTTACTGTACAGTTCATTTGTATTTCTTTTCATCCTTTCCTATACAACTCATTTATATATTTAATTTCCTAGGCAATTAATTTATATACATTTTATTCTTTCCTGGACAATATATTTTTATATATCTTTTCCTGTACAATTCATTTATCCTGGACAGTTAATTTATGAATCCTTTCATCCTTTCCTGGACAAAATATTTATATATCCTTTCCTAAACAATTCATTTTAATATCATTTCATCCTTTCCTTGAAAAATTCCATTCTTTCCTGGACAATATATTTATATATCCTTTCCTAAACAATTCATTTTAATATCATTTCATCCTTTCCTTGAAAAATTCCATTCTTTCCTGGACAATATATTTATATATCCTTTCCTAAACAATTCATTTTAATATCATTTCATCCTTTCCTTGAAAAATTCCATTCTATCATGGGCAATATATTTATAAATCCTTTTCTGGACAATTCATTCATATATCCGTTCCTTTAAAATTCTTTCTTATATCTAAATGTCCTTCCATATCAAACATTTTTACCCTTTCCTGGACAACGTATTTATATATTCTTTCGACCTTTCCTGTTCAATTCAATTATATATCTTTTCATGCTTTCCTGGACAATATAGTTATATATCCTTTCCTGGACAATATATTATATATCCTTTCCTGGACAATATATTATATATCCTTTCCTGGACAATATATTATATATCCTTTCCTGGACAATATATTATATATCCTTTCCTGGACAATATATTATATATCCTTTCCTGGACAATATATTATATATCCTTTCCTGGACAATACATTATATATCCTTTCCTGGACAATTCATTCATATATCCGTTCCTTTAAAATTCTTTTATATATCTAAAGGTCCTTTCATATAAAACATTTTTACCCTTTCCTGGACAACGTATTTATATATTCTTTCGACCTTTCCTGTTCAATTCAATTATATATCTTTTCATGCTTTCTTGAACAATATAGTTATATATCCTTTCCTGGACAATATATTATATATCCTTTCCTGGACAATTTATTTATAAATCCGTTCCTGTACAATTTTATAGAAAAATAACTGACACTAAAATACTAAAAAAATAACAGTGTTGCTGATTTAACTGCAGGCTTTTCTTCAACGTACATTTTATAATGATAATAATAAAAAACTGCCGATTTGTTGCTCCGGGGAGCTTTTACAAAATAAAGTAATCGAAAATTTTCTAGGGAAACTTTTTTTATTTGGCCTGCAATAAATCTTCTAGGTTCATATAATGTTAAAAATAAATAAAGTCTATAAATCATGTATATAAATAATATGGTTACTAGACCTGAGGCTGAGTAGCTCCGAACTCAACTAGAGTAAAGAGAACAAAGATAAAAGCTAAGGAACTCTAAACAAGGTCTTTAACTTACATCAGAAATTGAGAAAAGGTTTGCAAATAGAATATTAAAATCATTAATTTTAGAATATTTTTAATCAAATGAAATGGTTTGGTTGCAGAGATGGAAAGTTATAATGGATGAAACTGATCTAAATCGATTTAAATTCATTCTCTGTTGCAGGGAAGTGTTTAGCTAGCTTAATCATTTCTCTTGAGTTTAAAAGATCACACATGAGTTAAAAGCTTGGAAGTTCCACCATTAAGAGATCAGCTAATCCGGCGTTTGTTGACATATGTTCAAAAAATTATCTGAGCTTAACTTCATCTCGTTTAAGAGAGTCCACTTCATGATAAATGTATCATTTATTGTTATTTATTGTTAGGATAGGATATAAAAACATGAATTATCTGAGCTTAACTTCATCTCGTTTAAGAGAGTCCACTTCATGATAAATGTATCATTTATTGTTATTTATTGTTAGGATAGGATATAAAAAAGTTGTAGATCCTAAATATAAAGGGTTACAAAAAGACCTAAGTATGGGTTTCATTACCCAAAACTTTTATTCAATTCTAGGAAAATTTGTAACAAATAATACAGATGAAAATTGTTCTTTTTACGAAAAAAATATGTTTTGTATGCTTAATGCGGTAATTGTGAGAAAAATTTATATTATCCTTGATATCTATAACACCAGAGACACTGAAGAAGTATTTGTGGCTTGAAATAAGACTAATTTGAAATTATACAACTAATTTATCCAACAACTGATTGCATATTTATTTTGCGTATTGCAAATGGAAACCCTAGACTAAAGGTTTACGAAAATTAACAAATTCTATAGCTGTCTGGATTTGTGTTGAATAGGAAATGACTTATGAGATGAAATATAGAAATGTTTCTGCAGTATAAGTAATATCCCCAACTCAGCCAAAGAAACAATTTCCTCAATATTTGTCATATATAATGCTTGCAAAAGTAAAAATAGAATTGCACAAAAACATATCAAGTCTTTGTCTTTGCTAAAATATCTGATATCACTATTAGATTACAATGTAATCGCGGAACCCTTTTTAAGATGTTAACATTAGAATAGGATATATAAATATATATTTTTAAATGTAATCCTAAATTGAGATTTTATTTTATTTACTCAAGTAAAGGCAAGTTAAAGTTTCCTTAAACATTTTTTCTTCGTTATATCTGAATGTAGAATGGAATAAAGGTTGGTACAGGTGTGTATCCTGGACGTGGACGGAGAACTAAAAGGATCAGTAGAATATGTGTACCCGGAGTAAGGACGTGTACTGGAACGGAACGGGACGGATAAAGGAGGAGAATGACTAGAATCCAACCAACCCTGCAATGTCAATGTCAAGTTAGAATGTGTTAAATACTCATCTTGTCATTTTCAGGCGCTGAAACGGGCAGCAATCTTATAGATCAACATGAAAACACAATTATGACCAGTAAAAAAAATCAGGAATAATTTTAGAATAAGGTTGTAATTTGGCTAAGACTGACACCTCACACGATCACACACATCACGATACAAGATAGTTCCCGGGTTTCTCAATTTTCTTGGACACATTGATGATGAGGCATCAAAAACTATTTCCATTGTAACTCTCTCCTTCCTATTCCTAAAGTCCCGACTGCAAGAAATATTTGAGCCGGAAGTGTTGGTTTTAATACTCAATACTCATGAATTCATATCATCGTAAACTACAAAGTTTTAATAACAAAGATATTCTTTCATTTCTCATGGATTGAAAAAATTGAATCTAAAATAATGAGGACAGCTCGGATCTCTTTTTCAATATATTTATAATTTTAACTATTCGAAAAAATGGCAGTTCGACATAACGACCATTCTTATCTATCTTGACAATTTGCATAACGACCATTCTGATCTGTCTTGACAATTAGCATAACGACCATTCTGATCTATCTTGACAATTTGCATAACAACCATTCTGATCTATCTTGACAATTTGCATAACAACCATTCTGATCTATCTTGACAATTTGCATAACAACCATTCTGATCTATCTTGACAATTTGCATAACAACCATTCTGATCTATCTTGACAATTTGCATAACAATCTGTAAGAATTGACTAAGACTGATTTCTCCTCATCAGGTGAATGTATTGCTGTTTGTTCCTCACTTGTTTTAAAATGCACAGTGATCCAATGAGAATTGAGTCTTGGCCACTATTTCTGATTTTTTAATTCCTATATCTTTGCAACTCAATGGCATAGACCTTAGATATTTCAAACTTTGAATTCATGTAAGGTCAAATAATCGAAGATTGAAATATCAAAGGTTTACACTGTCAAGTTACAAAGATATAAGGATAAAAGAATTTGAGTTTGTGCAAAGACTCAATTTTTTTGCCGGGTTTTAAAAACTAGAGGTAAAAACAAGTGCTTAATAGTTCTCAGAACTAACTGTAAGGGATGTATTTTCATATAGGTGAACACTCCCTTTATATCTCAAGCTAAAAGTTAAAGTACCTTGTGCAGCTAGGCTCCATGTACAGGGTAGGATACATTGTACACTGTACAGCTAGGCTCCATGTACAGGGTAGGATACATTGTACACTGTACAGCTAGGCTCCATGTACAGGGTAGGATACATTGTACATTGTACAGCTAGGCCCCATGTACAGGGTAGGATACATTGTACACTATAAGCTAGGATTCAAGGGTATAGGGTAGGATATATTGTACATTGTACAGCTAGGCTCCATGTACAGGGTAGGATACATTGTACACTGTACAACTAGGCTCCATGTACAGGGTAGGATACATTGTAGATTGTACAGCTATGATTCAAGGGTACAGAGTACAGGGCAAAGTACAATCCTTATAGATGAAAGAACTGTTGCAGTAGAGATTGCTACACAGTGGTCCAAAGGTTGCAAGCTCTCACGCAAACTGATCCAAAGGTTGCAAGCTCTCACGCAAACTGATCCAAAGGTTGCAAGCACTCACGCAAAAATGAATAAGAAATTTTCCAAATATTTCCCTAAAACTAAAGCACAAAATTAGGGATTTAAAGTTTTAAAATATACATGTAAAGTACTACAAAAAATATAAGTAAGTAAATAAAGTAAAATCGACCTTTAAAGCCAAAGGTCGGTCTTGAAAAAATGATGCAACTTTTCCCAGCTGCCTGAATCGATGTGGCTACGCCTGGTTTCCTCGTCTCTGCATGGTTTGTTACCTATCCTAACCTTCGAGGACATTTTTCAAGGTTCACAATTTTGTCACGCCCTTCCATTTTTCATAAATCTTTATTTTTGGTTCTAAACGATTATAATAATTACCTTGTGTACTGGACACTTCAAATCCTTGAAACACAATTTATTGCCGTAAACATTCGTTTTTTCATAAAAAGGTTCAATGAAACAATGGTCAAATTTATTTTTTCAAAAACAAAATGAATGTCGAAAAACTCATAAAATAGATTTATTACAAGAAGAAATTTACACTTTTTAATGTTTTCTCGCAAGGCGCAAATTTGAAATTTGAATGAGGTCTAATGAGATGTTATATTTCTTAATGTTTGAATGTTTAATGAGCATAGAAAAAGCATGTTTACAGCTTCAGGCTACCCGGTAAGAATAATGTTTGTACAGTTAGAAGTAAAAAACTGTGGAATTGGAAAACGACCTAAACGTAATAATGAAGTGTGTTTGATGTTGCTAGGAAGCAAAAAGTTCTAGAAGAAGCTTGGAAATCAACTATTTAGTAAAATGGGTCTGTTTGCGCTGCACAATTGCTATGTCTCATGTTCCAAAATGAGGTTAATTTTTTTTGCAAATGCTAAATTTTTTTAATCTATTGATTATGTAAAAATTGAATTTCATACGGTATACGGGAGGAACCTTTAAAATATGTGAATACAAATATGTAAATAAAAATATGTGAATACAAATATGTGAATACAAATATGTGAATACAAATATGTGGATACAAATAACATTTCTTAATACCATTTAGAATGGCTTGCACACATAGCAATTCCACTTTTAAAGATTTTAATTAAAGACTGCGAATCCTCGACCGTTACGGACATGGTTCGAATCCCTCTCTCCATAACCCCCCCCCCCGCTCCCCCCCTCACGACCCCACACCTGCATGTGTTGCGTCTGACATCTAGCGTAACAAATTCTTAAACATGAAAAATAAATCTCATTTAATATTTAAGTTTTGTTAAAAATGTTCAGATTTACAGTATTTTTTCATGTTGACAACTTAAGACACTTTTAGGACCAAATTGGCTTTTTATGAGTTTTATGAGTCCCAAAGTGTACTGAAAATAAAAGAAAGTACACGTGATTTTTCGTAACTTGCAAATTGAGTTGCACAAAAAAGGTTTTTTTTTTAAATATGTTTCTTTAAATGATCGAACTCCTTAAAGTTACTGAACTTGTTGTAAAACAAGAGAACTTATTGAAACAATTTATATGAAAGCAAATAATTGAAAATTTATAATTACAATTCACTTTATATTATTTAGATTGAGATCGTTACATTTCTTTTTACAAAATGATTTTAAATATTTTTACATGATTCAATCTATATCAAACAAGTTGTCTCAGACCAAAGCTTAAGTCTAAGCGAAATAAAAAGACTTTAAGCAGTATTTATCAAAAAAATTAATAATAAAAAAGGTACATTAGACATTTTTCAAGGACAAGAGATGAAACGGTTGTAAAATTTATTTATCTGTTAATTAAACATATTTATTCAATTAATCTAAAACACCGACAACTAATCTTGTCCCATCTGAGTAATCAATAATTTAAATAAGGTGCATTGTTATACATGAACAGAAATATTTTTACATACATTAAACATGTTTAGAACATTTCTAGAAAGTTCTAATTTCAGATCAGAAAATATTGATAGTGTACTTTAGATGTATATAAACTATGTAGTAATTTTAAAAAGACCGTTCACTATTTGGGTAATTACATGGTAAACTAATTAGCCTATTAGCTATTCATTGCTATTAGTCTTTCTTTTCAAAGATATATGACCGGAGAAAAAGCTAATTTATTGTTTAGACTTCCAGTGGAAAGGTATGATACGTCTGCTTAGACACTATTTAAACGTTTTTCAGTAACAGCAGTCCAATCTAAAATTATCATATTTCATCGAAATCATATTTCAGCCATATTATATAATAAAATATAAAAACTTAGAATTAGCAAGAAATTTACGTTTTTCGTGTTCAAATATGATTTAGCAAATTAACACGTTTATACAAAGACGACTTTCTCTCTTAGACAAACCGGTTCCTAGATTCCAACTCTTCAATAAATCACGGGGATTTCCGAGGAAGTAGAAGAAAACGTATCAAACCGTCAAATGTTTAAAAGAACTTTTATTTTGAAAATAGACAATTTAAAAATAATTTTGAAAAAAATAAAGATATCTACAATTAACTATTAGATAAAACACTTAAATTTAATATTTGAAAATTTAAAAAAAATCCGTGACTATGACAAAAAGCATCAAATAGTGTCTTTGCATAGGTATACAATTGCGCTTGAAATTTGAGAAGTTCTACAAATTTTAAAATTGTTTTCTTTAAAAATTTACTTTTCTAACACTTTGCCAAACGTAGACCATGAAAGAAAATATTGGCTCGTTTTTCAGTTATATTTTTTAGAATAAAAATATTGCAAAGTTTAATAACAGCTAACTTTATCTAAATACAATTTTGAAATGTTAGAAATTTACCATATCTGCAGATTATTTTATCCTAATTAGGGATAACTGAAAAGAAGAGATTAAGCATTGATCCTCAAATTAAAAGTGCCCACAGTGATATCAAGATCCAGCTATCAGAATTATGAGTATCGCAGCACAAATTTACATAATATAGACTCATAAAGCATACAATTTTAAAATATGATCAGATTCTTGTTAACCCTTTCAAAGTAATTCTTTAATCCCTACCAAAAACAATGCCCCTCTATAGTTCTGGTATTAGATTAAGAACTCCAATGCCCCTCTATAGTTCTGGTATTAGATTAAGAACTCCAATGCCCATCTATGGTCCTGGTATTAGATTAAGAACTCCAATGCCCATCTATAGTTCTGGTATTAGATTAAGAACTCCAATTCCCATCCATAGTTCTAGTATTAGATTAATAACTCCAATTCCCATCCATAGTTCTAGTATTAGATTAAGAACTCCAATGCCCATCTATAGTTCTGGTATTAGATTAAGAACTCCAATTCCCATCCATAGTTCTAGTATTAGATTAATAACTCCAATTCCCATCCATAGTTCTAGTATTAGATTAAGAACTCCAATTCCCATCCATAGTTCTGGTATTAGATTAAGAACTCCAATTCCCATCTATAGTTCTAGTATTAGATTAATAACTCAGATTCCCATCTATAGTTCTGGTATTAGATTAAGAACTCCAATTCCCATCTATAGTTCTGGTATTAGATTAAGAACTCCAATTCCCATCTTTAGCTCTAGTATTAGATTAAGAACTCCAATTCCCATCTTTAGCTCTGGTATTAAATTAAGAACTCCGATTCCCATCTATAGTTCTAGTATTAGATTAAGAACTCCAATTCCCATCTATAGTTCTGGTATTAGATTAAGAACTCCAATTCCCATCTATAGTTCTGGTATTAGATTAAGAACTTCAATTCCCATCTATAGTTCTGGTATTAGATTAAGAACTCCAGGGTTCATGATCTAAAATTATCCTGGAGATCGTGAATGTTTATCAACTGTTCGATACCAAGAAGTTCGAGCTCCCCCCGAGGCTCATGTTTCTCTTCGAAAAATCGAGTTTTCGGGGGTTTAGGTACTTTCTCTGCCTTCTCCATCTTTAGGCTCCTCGGTAAACGAAACGAGGCTAACGATAAACTTCGACCTTTAGAGAATATTACTCGTTTTGCTTTCAGCTTTTTATCGAACTCTTTCTGGTCCAGAACTCGTTTGTGTGGGGGCGTCGGGGTGGACTTGGATGTATTTGAAGTAACGAAAGGTGGTGTAGGGACGTCGTTGACGATTATATCTTGGAGTAAAGGACTGTCTCTCTCTGAACTTCCACCCGAAATAGATCTAAGATCACAAACAATGATTAATAAAAATTCAAGTTTACTTAAATAGTCCTGAAAATAAAGTATGACTGACAAATAAATTTAATGTTAAATGTTTGTCAAAAATTTGTCGTTTGTGCCTTGTAAAGCAAAGAAATAGAGTCTTGGCCACAAACTCAAATTTTCTAATATTTCAAACTTTATCGAACAGAATTACTATCTAAGGTCTACGACATTGGGTTGCAAGATATAAAGGGATTAGAAAATCAGAGTTTGCGGCAAAGACTCAATTACTTTTTACTTAATGATAAAAGACAAGGTTTTTTTCTAGTGTAATGGTTGTGTTTAACCAAAATATTCTATAAATGTGTTTTTTTTAAGAACATTAATTTAGATATTTTAACAATTTCAAGGTAAAGTTACCCCCAAAGAATCTTATACGAATTGCAATTTCATTACTTCCTTTTATAGAAATTGTCATTAAATGTTAACAATCAAAGATATTATTATCACAACGGAAAAAAATCATCTTGTTATTTTAACATTATATATTTAGAATTAAATCAAACTGGTAAATCAACAACACCAAACTTTTAAAATAAAAACACGTAAATAGAATAGTTTGTTTTTAAGAGTGGTTGCCAAAGTATTTAAAAGCTTTCAACCTCTTCCGTGAGGACAAGTAAAGATAAAAGGTTTGTGAATATTATCAGAGCTGGGAACTTTTGAATGGTAGATATCGGGATTAAGGCTTAATCCACTCTTTTTCTTAATCTCCAGATTAACATAATCTTGCAAGAATATCTTAATAGTGTATGAAAAACGATAAAATTCAAATTAATATTAAATCATCTGAGAAACTGTAGCAGCCAATCAGAGAAAAGCGGGCAACCAATGAGAGAACAGAAATATTCTCATAGGAGAAAACAATTAACGGATATCCAAGAAGAGAGAAAAAGAGTGGATTAAGGACTAAAATGAAAAGTTTCCACAGTGGATATTCGGATCAAGAAGTCAGGATTAAAGTTTATCCATTCTAAAGTTTTCAGCTCAGGTTCTCTTTAGAAAAAATACGGCATCAGCTTACTATTACATAATGTGAAAATGTGTGTCATAAAACGTTCGTCATTGGTTAGATCTTTTGAACATTAAAGGGTCTGTAAGCGTAATTTTAAGTGACTTTTAGTGTAAACAAACAATACCCGATTTACAACGGTACCCTTTAAACCTTAATCTGATCAATAATGTGCAACGATAACGTTGCTTTTCTGACTCAAAAACTGTTTTCTTCTGATGATTTCTCAATTATTACTCATGAGCAAGAAAAAAACGCAAGTCGCCTTTACAGAGAAACCACAAATTAAAATAAACAGTTTAAAGAAACAAAAACGTGGATATATAATTCATACTTGATCAGACAAAGCTTTAAAGTTTCACTAAGTTTTTTTCCTTACATTTATGGATGTTATTATTTTAAACTTGTTGTTTCTTTCTTTCCCGAATTAAGTATGCAATTTAAAACATTATACAAGACAAAAAAATTCTGTTCGCTTTAAGTAAAAAATTTTAGGTCGTCAGAAAAGTCTCATTCTTTGTGGGTAACCTGTATATACGCAGATTATACCTGTATATACTCATATTATACCTGTATATACCCAGATTATACCTGTATATACGCAGAATATACCTGTATATACGCAGATTATACCTGTTCGGATACGAATACGCATCAGATTCAGAAACTTGCCGACTGCCAGATCGTCTAGAACCAAACCATCATTTCAATCATTTTAAAGCTTTTTTTCTTACATTTTAACGTATGCAAAAACTTCAATTTCTAAAGAAACCACCAGGAATTTATATGTTTTTGGGAATAAAATTATAAGATCTGGCACCAAAAACTCTTTAAAGTAAAAGTACTTTGAAAAAGAATTCCAGAAATTCAAACCCCAGAATTTTATTTCAAGTGATATTTTTTTTTGATACTTTTTTCAACTTTTTGCTTCCAGGCTTTATTTAGAATCTTTCTCCAAAGAGACTCTCTTAAATAATATTTATGCAGTACACATAATTCTTGTGTCGAATCCACAATAAACCTCGAGGCCTCAATAAGTTTACAAAGATGCAAAAACTTTATTTTCCTTCCAATATTCCCCTAGGATCAGAGATGGAATTGTATTTGATCCTCAAATAACTTTTATCAAAAATACAGAAAAAGAATGTATCCTGGAAGTTCTAAAAATGATATCTTGGTTCCCTGAAAACGTCTCCTTGACTCTGAAAAGCTCCTTGTAATCTTGTTCCTCTAAACTCCTTGAAATCTGTAGTTAACCCTTTGAAAGACATGGCTCGCGACAGGAAAGAATTCGTGTCTGAAAAAGTTTAGAAATTTGTTATTTACATGAATTCTAAAAATGTTTTTATATCAATGAACAAATTAAATAAAAAGGACAAGAAATTTAGTTTCCATCATTAGATCAAGATAATCAGCAATATCTGGACAATTTTATATAATTACTTGGCATAGGGGAACTGATTATTCTCTTTAACTTTTTTTCTAAACCTTATATCTCTGCATTCTCATTTCATAAATGTTTCATAACTCAAACATTGAATTCTACCAGATCAAATAGTCAAATGTTAAAATATAAAGGTTTTACACCATCAGTTTGCAAAGATATGAGGAATATTGGGGCAAGTGATCAGCTTCCTTTTTTCCTGTTTTACGTAAAATATTTTTAAACTCTATAAACAAGACAATTCTTCTTGTTTGCTTCATTTTATTGTAGAATATAATTTTAAACCAAAGCAAAAGATAAATGAAAACTTTTCATTTTTAACAAAAATTTGTATCCCAAGAACTGTATTGTTTATTTTCTCATTCAAAAATAATTTACATTTCAAAAATATTGATTCTCATTTACAAAAAAACTAAACACTTGCCACATACTCTAATTATTTAATCCATTATCTTTGCAACCTAAAGGTGTAAACCTTCGATATTTCGAATGATTACTATTTGATTCAGGATAATTTCCTAATCTGAAATATTAAAGATCTACGACATTAGAAATGTAGAATATAAGGAGAGTAATCAATTCCTTTCCATCTCCAAAAAGTATGATTCTACCTTCTAAAGATTTGTTTTGTCTGAAACCAGGAACCTCGCTGACAGGGGAGAAGGTTCCAGCAGTAAACGATGATCTAAAAGTAAATAGTTTTATTTATATTTCATTCCTGCACTATAGTCATAGACGTTTTTCTGAAATTTTTTTAAAAGGTTTTTGGAATTTTCAAAAACTATTTTATAAAAGTAAGGTTCCAACATTTCTAGATTATATTCTGTAAAAAAAAGATTGTGGAGAAGTTATAGTTCTACCTATTTGGTGGCCTGGTAAAAACTTCTTCTGGTTTCATGTTTGAGACTGTTTCCAGGAACCGCTGCTGCTCCATCAAGCTAGAATCAGACACCCTAAAAATGTGGTGTCATGTTTTAAAAGAAATTTTTTTTCGGATCCAGTCCAGTGAAAATTTGTAAACTTTTTGCACTCTTACACAACGTAAAGATATATTAGCGCTTTTATTTGAATCAGACTACCGAGCTCTCAGCTGAACTACCAATCCTTGGCGGATAAACAGATCAGACTACCGAGCTCTCAGCTGAACTACCAGTCCTTGGCGGATAAATAGATCAGACTACCGAGCTCTCAGCTGAACTACCAGTCCTTGGTGGATAAACAGATCAGATTACCGAGCTCTCAGCTGAACTACTAGTCCTTGGCGGATAAATAGATCAGACTACCGAGCTCTCAGCTGAACTACCAGTCCTTGGCGGATAAATAGATCACAATGCCCAGTATTTCTTAATCTGAAGATTATGCTCTGAGATTCCTTTTTTTCTGTTCCTAAAAGTATTGTTTGGTCAATATTTGGGCCATTAGATCCAATGCTGACCCTCTCCTGAATAGTTGGATTTACTGCTGCCAACCAATAGCTGGACAGATTACCCGGACCAATAGGACGGACAGGGTGAACCTAGCATTATTGCAGACCAAATCTATCAGAGTGTTAGAAAAATTAAACTGTCCTCTATTTTCAAAACATCTATTTATATTAAAAGATCCTGGTACCGAAAAATTGAAGAGGTCCCTGAACTACCTAGAGCCGGTTCACTTCTTTAATCACCGATTGAATCTTGAATCAGCTAATTTAAATTTGAACCGTTAGTAAGTTCAGCGACCTAGCTCACATATATTAACTTCGGCCTCTGATCAGGCACAAAAATATCAAAAGATCAAATTCCAAATGATCAAATGCCGAATTATACAGTACAAACGCAGTACATTTCAATTAGGTCTACAAGCTAGAAATGTAAACAAATCTGGGTAAAATCATATAAACTGGTCGTACTGCATTATTTATCTCAAAACTCGGATTTTTAAAAACCAATTTCTTTAAAACCAAATGTCGTAGACCGTAGATATTTCAAACTATGAATTCTGGTGGATCAAAAAATGTAAGTTTGAAATATGAAAGGTATGCATGATCTGGTTGTTGAGATATAGGTTTCATAAAAATGAGATTTGTGGCAAAAACTCAATTCCAATTTCCACAAGAAGAGAGAGAAAAGAAAGAAAAAAGAAAGAGATGAGAGAGAGCAGAGAAGGAAGAGAAGGAAGAGAAGGAAGAGAAGGAAGAGAAGGAAGAGAAGGAAGAGAAGGAAGAGAAGGAAGAGAAGGAAGAAAAGGAAGAGAAGGAAGAAAAGGAAGAGAAGGAAGAGAAGGAAGAAAAGGAAGAGAAGGAAGAAAAGGAAGAGATGGAAGAAAAGGAAGAGAAGGAAGAGAAGGAAGAGAAGAAAGAGAAGGAAGAGAAGGAAGAGAAGGAAGAGAAGGAAGAAAAGGAAGAGAAGGAAGAGAAGGAAGAGAAGGAAGAGAAGGAAGAGAAAAAAGAAAAGGAAGAGAAGGAAGAGAAGGAAGAAAAGGAAGAAAAGGAAGAGAAGGAAGAGAAGGAAGAAAAGGAAGAGAAGGAAGAGAAGGAAGAGAAGGAAGAGAAGGAAGAAAAGGAAGAGAAGGAAAAGAAGGAAGAGAAAAAAGAGAAGGAAGAGAAGGAAGAGAAGGAAGAGAGATTTTAAACACGTTTTATCATACAACCTTTTATGCATACCCAAAACTTCTAAAAGTTTCTGCTGAAATAATTTCTATATCATTTCTATTTCTATAATATTTTTGAAAAAGTAAGTAGCTGCCCCTACTGTTTAGCTAGCGTACACTTTTTTGATCATTTCAAGAGTTTTGATCATTTGGCATTTGATCTTTTGATATTTTTCCTGATCAGGCAAAGCATAAACAGTAAACATTAGTCTTTACTTGGCAGGGTTTCCCTGTAGCTCCGGGATAAAAATAGAATTGTAAGAGAATGAATAAATGAATGATATTATCTGGAGAATAAACAAGGAAAATAACCGTCTTCTGCCAACTATATTCCTACACTGACACAGTATTAAAATAACTTCTTCGTGTACAACATTTTAGTTCAAAGAAACCATCAAATAATCATACAAATAAAACATCAAATAATGATACAAATAAACCATCAAATAATCATACAAATAAACCATCAAATAATCAGACAAAAAAGCAACAAATAATCAGACAAAAAAGCATCAAATAATCAGACAAATAAAACATCAAATGATCAGACAAATTAACCACCAATTTTATGCTTAGAATAGATAGGTACATCATAGAGTGATAAGTGAATGTAGGTTAATCAGCTACTTACGACATAACAGAAGGATTAGTATTGACAGGTTCTTTAATCAGCTCCTCTCTCGACAAATCTCTCTCAGAATCAGAATCCTGAATCAAAATATTGTTTTAAATATGATTTTAAAAAGTACATATATAGGACTATTATAATTATATAGGAAGTACTAAATAACTTTTAAATTTCAAACTTTGAAATCTGTGAAATCAAATAATCTAATTTTAAAATATCACAGGTTTACACTTTAAGGTTGAAAAGATTTGAGTTATTTCAGGAATTTAGACCACTTTGGTTTTTTTACTTTTTAACTTTTACGCTTTCCTTAACCTTTTTTTTGATATATATATTTAATATTTTTATTTTAAAATTTTGGATGAGTATTAGCAAAAGCGACTAATTGATATAAAGATCTTCAATTTATTTAAAGATTGTCAACCCAAATATTGTCATAGTGTTACACTTACTTTACTTACTATACAGGTCCAACTGTTTACGGCTATTTACTATTTTTCGAAAACTATGATAGGATTTCATCTAACAGTTATATGTTAACCTGGATTAGTTCCTGATTTGGTTCAGCCTGTACACCCTTCTCGTCCATATCTACGGACCCAGGAAGGGATCTAATAATAAAAGAAATAATTTAAAAATGAAATGTAAAACTAAAGAAGTTTATTCTATTCTCTTCTAATTTGAAAATAGTAATTATATGATTTAGTATTCTTCAAGTAAAAATTAAGCTCCAAAATTATAAATTATTTAAGAAAGAAAACAAAAGTAAAAAAATCTATTCATTTCATCAATTTTCTGAAAGGCAAAAATAGTTTAAATGTGATAAAAAACGATTTTAAAGTTTAACCTGTTAAAAGAATCCATATTCTTGACTACTTCTCTCCTCTTGTGTTCAACCTTCGCCATCTCCTTAGCAACCCAGCATGGCGTAGACGGTATAGCAGCTGTCAGCAGCAGTAGCAGCAGTATCATCAAGTGCTGAAATATACAGCAGTAGTATTAGATAGAATAACCAGAAGGCAGAGGCCCATAGGAATTACGCTCATCCTCTCTCTCTGTCTTGTTGTTAAACGCTGCCTGCGTGGAACTCCTTTGGGCTTCTGCCTTAGTGTTCTTGTGGACGAAAAACCCCCTAAATCTTGATAAGACGACATCCAGTGTTCTATCTGAATTGTTATCAGTCAATGCATCAAGTGCTGAAATATGTAGCAGCTGTTATTACTAGCAGCAATATCAAGAAGTGCTGAAATATTAATATAATAGCTATTAGTAGCAGCAGTTTTATCAAATGTTGAAATATGTATACAGCAGCTGTTAGTAACAGCAGTATCATCAAATGCTGAAATATATAGCAGCTGTTAGTATAGTAGTAGCAGCAGTATTATTAAGTCCTAACAGCAGGTTGCTGGAGCAAATATTAGCAGCGAAGTATGAACAAATTAAATTTTTTTAAGAACTTTAAGATTCTGGTTTTCCATATCGTATTCATTTCAAATAAACTTATCAAATACTTATTAATCTGTTTTCATATAAATGAGCGAAAATATTTGTAAAAATTCACAATTAAGAAACCTGATTTGCAAAGATAAGAAATATGTCATTTCTTTTCTATTGAAGAAAGCAGGAACTTTTCTCTTAGAAATCATGAATTTTATAACAAAAACGCAAAATAAGATTTCTTACAATTAAGTAAAAAACAGCAATAAAACACCTGACCTCGAGTACAATGATAAGAATAACTTGTTGTACTGGAGTTATGTTTGGGAATATTCTATGTACAGGTCCTAGTAGCCCGATCAATCCACAGTTAACAACTACACCTACAAATATTTAAGTACGTTATACAAATGCATGAGTTCCTTGGGATTCACAAAGAGACTCATAAAACTGTGGAATAGGAAAACGACATTAAAGCAATAGTATGTGTAAATGATGTTGTTCTAATGCGAAAAGTATTACCAGTGTAACTACTAACAATGTCACTCCAAAAGTGTTCTGTAATTAATATCTATCTTACACTTAAAGTCCTCTAAATCTATTTCTCTATCGATTAATGCTTAACACAACCATTTAAATTCAGAGTATCTCTACAACCTTCTACATTTTGTCCAATAATACATTTAGTCTTATGGACTGACCGCTAATGTAATTAAGAAAACATATGATAAATAGATAAAAGGTTACAAATATGATAAGTACGATATAGTTTATTTATTAAACCAGTAGCTTAAAAAGCAACTTATGAACTGAAATGAGGCTATGCACACTGTACACTGTACAATTTTGTTTTTTTTTAGTTATTAAACTATTTAAAATCATTTCTTGGGTCTAACTGTCGTCTTTTTCCACGGCCTCACAGTAAAAACAACATTAAGAAATTTAGCGTCTTTTTACGAAAAAAAAATCGGCAGTTTTTGAAAAACAAACTTAGTCAATAGTCATGCTGGACTGATTTAAAAAAAAATTTGTATTTACATTGAACTTGATTTAGCCTAGCAAAACATCTGTAAAAAACAATAATATTTATTTTAGAATTCTGAGTATTACCAATTATTCCCATGACTTCCATTGCTGTTTGCCAGGAACCAATATTTTTAACTCGCTGGGAGAATGGTCTCTGATAGATGAAACAGAGCTTAAAGGCGTCACTTCTAACAAATCAATCAATTAAAATATAATGTTGTTCAAAATATCTAACAGACCAAAAAAACTGACAAACATGCATATCATAATTAAGTTTAGAGTTTATTGAAGAAAAAAAAAGAGTTTATTGCAGATTCTGAATAAATCGTTTTATTTTGATATTTTGTTTTACTGTTCTATCCTTGTCCCAACAAAATGTCACTTTCAGTCCTAATTTGTCCAACTAAACATCGATCTTTCGTTATTTTCTTTTATACTTCTTGTCTGTCGATGCGTTTTATAAAAAAGTATTAAAACAGTCTTGTAAGTTTAAAGATTGTCGAATGTTGAATTATAAATGAACCAAAATGAGATTGAATTAAAATTAAAAAAACCGATATAGTCCAGAACTGTAGTCCAGGGTGTGCTTAATATAATTCAATTGATTGATTGATTGAAAAATAAGTTTCCTGATTTCTATAATGTTGTTTAAAAGAGCGCAAAGCCCTGCCAGAGGATACGCAGAGCTAAACAAGGTGACGTATCCAAACTAGAGATACACACAGTAACTAACATATCCTGGTTTATTGGGACTAAAGACTCTACAGGGGATGGCATGTCCGATTCATAAATGTACCAGTAAAAGCTTTGTTGATCAAGAGTAAACAAGTTATTTATTTTGAAATTGAGAATTTTCAAATGTGGCTTCTCTATGAAGTGACTTGCATATTTCTGCTTCAGGAAAAAAAATAAGGAAAATTGTTGGAATCAAAAACTTTTCAGTATGAAAACAACTATATTTTCCACATTATTAATAAAAAAAAGTTGTGTATGGGTAACGTTGTGAATCATGTAAATGAGATTATAACAACAGGCTCTTTATGAATGTTTTAGAATAATTTTATTTTAGAATAATATAAAAATGTTAATTGCTTACTGTGAATTTAAATCTGTGGGAAATCAGTGTACCGTGAATAAGATTTGTTTATTTGGGAGGTTAAAACTTTTGTGTGAAATTGCGCTAATCTACACGCAATTTATCTTGACAGCCTGACGACAGAAAATCCAAAGAATGGAATTTTGGCCCCATAACTTAAATTTTCTAATCCCAATATCTTTGCAAACATGGTATAAACCTTTGATATTTCAAACTTAGATTATCTGATCTAACAGAATTCATAGTTCGAAATATCTAAGGTCTACTACATTCGGTTGCCAAGATATAGAGATAAAAAATAAGAGATTGGTATAATTACTTGATTCCAGGATTCACAATCACAACACAAAAGTTTAGATCTGAGGTTAACAATAAGTTAGTTATATTTCCTGAATAAACATCTCTAGATAATCATCAAATGTTCCTTCATACTGAAATAAAATATTTTTTTTTCATTATTTTGTATTTACTATATATATATATTTACTACACTTATGACTAGAAAGACCCGGAATTAATGGACAGTTAATCAGACAACTTTACATATATATCTCTGGTAATCTTAAACGCACAATAAAGGCAGACCACATTTTGGAGTTTGCAGGACTATTTTGTTATTTTCGTTTCATTAAATCATATTTGTAAAATTAGATTGTAAAGTTGTCTGATTAAGTATAAATTAATTTCGGGGTTTTCTGTGTAAGAATGTACATATATAATTAACTCGATTTAAAAAAAAAGATTTTTGCATCTTAAACCTACTGAAAATAAATAATAAAAATCTTGGTGCAATGGTAAATTCTGATCTTTTATCTTTAATTATTAGATTTTTGATAAATGTTTTCCTATCTGTGTAATAACTTTAATCAAGAATTTAAAGTTCCACTTTTATACAAAATCCTTTTTTTTAATTTCAAACAAAAGATTTGATCCTGACTTGAATGATAAATTAGATTTGAGAAAAACATGATGTTTTGAAAACTTGATTTTGAATATTAAAGATGACGGCTGGGAATGATTCAGCAAAAAATATGTAGTTCTAATAGACCAGGTTGGATCTGTAGATGTACTATTAAGTGACCTTTCATTTTTTGAGAGGAAAGTTTGATTCACAACGGTACCCTTTAAACCTTTGTCTGATCAACTTCAAGGGAAAACCAAATATCTTTTCCTAACTTAATTATGTTCTTTTTTGGTTTTTCTACAAAGTAACTTACGGATTTATGCTAAAACAAAAACAATAAAGGAAATAGTCAGAATTAAAATATACAATATGGAAAACGAAAAAAATCTTTCCTATTCCATATTGCTTATCAGAGATTTCAAGTGTACCCTAATAAATCATACATGCTAATTTTAAATTGTAAGGTCACTTAAAATTACGTCTACAGACTCTTTAATAAAGAAACTGGAAATTTTGTGTTTTCCTAATTAAAAAAAAGCTTTCTTCGTTATTAAACAAAATACACTGGCGCACACAGTTTTCAAGAGAAATTTAAATAATTTAAATAATTTAAATAATTTGAATAATTTATATTATTTAAATTATTTGAATAATTTGAATAATTTGAATAAATAAAGTCACAGGACTACAGACTACAGTCGGGTCTGTACTTTAAACGTTAGACTTGATACTAAGAGATTAAGACTTAAGGCGGTTAATTTTATCCACGGCCTCATTAACATAATCAACTTTTAAACTCTTTCAAAAACTATATCAATACCTGTGGAGTTGACCCCTCTATCTCAACCTGGCTCACAGCTCTAGATCCCTTCCTTCCTTCTTTTCCATTCGCATCAGTATCACCTCCAGTTGGTTCTGTTCCTCTTCTAAGTTGTTCCATCCCTGCTTCAGGTTGCTCTGCTCCTCTGTCTATGGGTAGTTCCGTTCCTTTGTCTCCTGGTAAATCAGTTTCTGTGCCTCCGGGAAGCTCTGATCGTCTTGCTCCAGGTAACTTCGTTCGCTCTGATCCGGGTAGCTCTGTTTCTTCGTCCTTGGGTATCTCCTTGCTTGTATTATTATCTCCGTCCGTCTTCTTATAATCCCATGGAAACGGTTTCTCCTCCGGAGAAGTTGGACTATAAGTGTGTAAAATATTTTTTTTAAAACTCAGCCTCAAATGTTCAAGGTCTCTTACTTTTTTTTCTGGAATGATCTTAGATCTAAGGTGAAATTCTCCTCACATATAATTCACTTTTTCAACCGTGTAAAAACATTCTGAGAGATGTTAGATAAAAAGAAAACAATAAAAATCCTCCTCTCTCCTTACCAGACCTTAAAGTTAAATAAAAGAGAGCATAATTCTTCCATGCCATATATAATATAATCTAAGAGTTGTTATACACTTTCGTGATGTATTTAAAAACAATAAAGAATAAAGTTTTTATATGATTTATATTTTCTTTTAATCCCTTTACTCCACAATAAGAAAATATTTGTTAATACACATTCCTAAGAGCTCCGAACAGATCAAAACTCATCTTGGCGAGCTTTATCTGTTTGGTTGCGTAGGGGAGGATGGACTCCTTCAGGTTTCCAACAACCTGCCTTGTGATCAACAGCGCAGCCAACAACTAGAAATAACAACTTCATGTTTTCAATGTTTAACACCTTGGAAACTCAAGTCACAATACTAGATATCAATAAACATGTGTGAGTTTCTTGATCTTTTAAAAATGTGGTCTACCTTTCTTGTATCTTTAAAATAGATATTATATTTCAACAATTTTGAATTGAAATCCGATAACTGTCGCCACTCAATTCTAATTGGAACACCTTGTAGAAAAGTTTAAGCCACAGCATATTGTTTTCCTGATATTGATTTACCCATTTACCTCTTTCAACTTATCCATGTCCTGTAGATAGAAGGCGGTGTAGAACAAAGCCAGGAAGGAGTTCACGAATTGGAACTTAAAATACAAAAAATATTTAAATATTTGGTTTGTCTCTCTTTCCGTTTGTGTCCAATAAACGTCTAAGCTCATTCAACATTTAGTATTTACTCACATTACTAGGAAAGATTTGCGGTTGGTCGAAATAAAATTATTTTTTCAACATAATTTTGAACTAAGGGAACTAAGCCTTTGACATTTTAAACTTATATGATTTGATTTAACAGAATTCATAGTTAGAAATATCTAAAGTCTACGACATTGGGTTGCTCAGATATCAGGATTAGAAAATGAGAGTTTGTGGCAAACACTCAATTCCTTAGCTAAATTTGCTTTTTAATAATATAATAACAAATGTTTCAGAGAAACATTTTAAACCTAAGTTTAATGCAAGAAAAAGCGTGGCAAAGAGGAGACTAAATTTTTAGTAAAAGAAAAAGCTATCTATTTTGGTTGAAAGTAGATTAACCTATTAGTAGAGATGAGAGTATTTATCAAATCTATTATCAAATCTATTATGTTAAAAGTAGAGATTAAACTTTTTTGTAGGGTTGATAGTATATACCAAACTATCTACAGGGTGTCCCAAAAAACACGGGAATTCAGTGACGAATTCGATATCGTCTTTGTTATGAATTAGCATTGTAATACCTAATTTCAAAATCCACAATATTATTATGTCTGCTAGAGTTTATTTTATACAAAGAGTGAAAGACTGTAAAGATGTGTCTATAATGTCTCAATGACGAGACGGACAAGTTTACTCTGTTTGTATAATACAATTTTCTTGTTTTACTAAGTACAACCGTATGCAGTCAAAACATAATCAAACAAAATGTGAACATAGCAGACGAAACTCTTACAGATTACAGCTTTCTCAGTAGGTATCACTATACTAAATCAAAGAATTATTTAAAAAGACGATATCGAATTCGTCACTGAATTCCCATGTTTATTAGGACATCCTGTATTATGGTTAATAGTAGAGATTAAACTATTTATTAGAGTTGAGAGCAGAGATTAAACTATTTAGAACAATGATTTGGAAACGAACAATTTAAATATTTAAAAAAACAGATGAAAAAGTGCATGATTGATTAATGCAAAGAACATTTTTATTTTAAACCTTGCTGATAAACTTTACATATTTTTATAATTACTAAATTAAAATAATACTTTAGATATTTGCAAATTGCAATGATTGTAGTTGAAAATTATAGATTTTGAATGATAAAAAATTTATAATTTTGCATTAAACTAATTTGTGCAGAGCTCCCTGAAAAAATCTTTACAAATAAAATGTCAAATAAACCCAAAAATATTACATGCATTACAAAAACAATAAAAAACTTACCATTGTCTTTTTAATAATAAGATGGTTCTCATAACTCTCTTCAGTTTTGTAATTCTCTAAAATTCAATCAGAATAATAAAAATAAAAAACAATACAAAACAAGCAAAAGACAATCACCCGAAAAAAGCGAAAGCAAAAGAAGAACTAGAAATGATGTCTAGAAATGATAACTAACCAGAATAAGTTTGAAAACTAAATGATCATCGTATTGATTAGAGGTTCGATAGTTTTCTGAAAACAAAAACAACTTATATATAAAGTTGTAAATTGGTTCGTCAAAATTTACAAATATTTAAATAGAAAAGTTTACGTTTTTAACAAAACAATATAAAACAAAATAGACATTTAAGTAGAAGTGCCCCTTTGTTAGATTCAAACCAAACATAAATTGCGATTTTCTCGGTTGATTTTTCATTTAATAAAGGAATAATTATGAGAAACATTAAATATTGGAGTCGTCGTCGTCGTTGCCCAGGTGTATTTTATTTTTCCTAGTTATAATTAATCCAACCATTTACCCGCGATTAATACTTATTCATGCTTTTAGAATTTCAAAAATTTCCAAATTTTGAGCCTATGTCACCCACAGGCCACAGGGTACCTCAAACTAATTCAGTAATTTTGGTCGTATATAGATGTTTGTATTTGTATTTATGCTTAAAGTCTATTGGGGGGGCTCAGTAACATTTTGTCTGGCTTTTCTTGGTCTATGGCACATTTGGTATAAATAACATTACGTCTTAAGTAACTTTTGGTCTTAAGTAACTTTTGGGCTAAAGTAACATCAAAGGTTTACGATATCAGATTACAAAGATATAGGGATTAGAAAATTTAAGTTTGTTGCTAGTTCTGAGGCCTCTTAAATGTTGAATAATGTGCTGTCTTTCACATTATTTTGGGTTAGATTAGGTTAGGAAAATCTTTCCCGGTCGAGCACTTAACATTTAACATTTAAGAGGCCGCAGCAGCACTCGACCTCCTAGCCGCAGCGCTCGGTCCAGAAATTGTCTTAACTAAAGGGGTGAAATACTGACAGAACTTGGCTTTAGACAAACGTTGCTTTAGACGAAATGTTGCGTTAGACCCAATGTTACTATAACTTAGGACGAAATATTATTTAGACTATGCGTTACTTATACCAAAAGTTCCTTGACAAAAAGTAATAAAATCAAAATAAATTAGACAAAATGTTACTGATCCTGTTAACTAGGGTTGTTAATTGTTTTTAAAAACGATTGTTTAACGATCTTTTTTATATTTAATCGTTTTCAAAAACGATCGTTTCGTTTTCGGAAAAAAACGATAGATTTTAAAAATCCACTCGTTTTGAACTTTTAGAAAACGAATAACGATCGTTTAAAAAAAAACGATTTGCGACCGTTTTTTATACGATTGTTTTTGAATAAACGATCGTTTTTGAAAAAAAAAATTATTGACAATTATATTAACGATCCTTAACGAAGGTTCGTCGTTAATGATCGTCAACGAAGGGTCGTCGTTAACGATCGTTAAAGAAGGGTCGTCGTTTGCAATCGTTAACGAAACGACGAGTTTTATAAAAACGACCATTTTTAAAAACGAACCTTTTAAAAAAACGATCTTCGTTTTCGATTTTTCGTCGTCGCTTTCATTATGAAACGATCGTTTTTCAAAAAAAAATGAAAACGTTAACATCCCGAATTATACCCCCTTTTCTTCATCCAAATGTATTTGCACCCTTCCCTATCGTAAGTTCTTTATTCGGAAATTAGAATAAGAATTAGTAATGATTAAATATTTTCAAAATACTTCCTAGGCCCTAGACTGAAGAAGAATTTCAGAACTTTTGTATATAATAACGCTAATCTACAACACTTGAAATTGCATTTACCTAAACACAATTCATAGTTTGAAATATCAAAGGTCTACGACATCGGGTTGCAATGATATAAAGATTAAAAATTTGAGTTAGGGGCAATAACTCATTTCCTTTGAAAGTTCCCACAATGAATATCGAGGTTAACGATATTCCACACCAAAAGGTCAGACCTCTAAACTTCCATAATTCCCTTTAGTTAATTGTATCTAGTAATTATATGTATTACCTTGCTCGTTTAACCATATTGCTACAGAGTTGTAAATACTGTCCAGAAGTGGTATTACAATAGCCAACAATATCTGAACACACAATTTTTTTCTCTGTGTACTTAATTACGTTTGTGGTCAGTTTCTGAAAATAGGGTTGGGCATTTTATGTCAATCGTTTTTAAGACTTTAAAATTTTTTGTGCGAAAAAAAGATTTTAAATTTGTAAAACTTGTTACAAATTATTTGGAACCTTTTAAACGTTCAAAAACCTTAAAAAACAAACAAGATGAAATGCCTAGTTGTTGAATTACCTTAGGTAGATATCTGAGTACTGATATTAGTTCATGTTCGTCTATCAATCTATCCATCCATTCCTAACCAAATATTCAAATATTCAAATAATATTCATAAAAGATATCTTTTCATGAAAATACATCTTATATTTTGTGGAATTTTAAGAAGCATATGTTATTGATCCCACTTTTTGCAAAATGCTTTTCGTTTGAAAGCTTTGAAGCTTTCTTTTAAAAATCTATTGAAATGCACATATAGAAAGAAGGATTCAATAAACACGAAAAAGCTGTTGTTACCAAAGAAATTGAGATTTTGTCACAAACTCAAATTTTCTAATTCCCTTAACTTTGAAACTGGCGGTTTATACCTTTAATATTTCAAATTTGGATTATTTGATCCAATAGAATTCACAGTTTGAAATATCTAAGATCTACGACATCAATTCCTTTGTCCCTTAATTAATTCAAAATTAAAGTTTCCAATGTGGATCGAGCCAAGGCATTGTATTTTAGAGTTAACTATATATAATGTTCCAACCTCTAATATTAACGAATAATTTTATGCAAAATTCATGAATTTAACCTTTACTAAATTGCTCAAACAAAATTAGTTTATAAATTATATTTCCAAGTAATTAAAAGGATTTACTTAAATAATGAATATAAAACAATAAACAGTAAACTATGTTTTGAACAGTTTGTTATCTTTTCTTCTATAGATGTTGAGTGCACTTTATTTCTCAGAGTAATCTTTGATGATATTGGATTCTTGATCCTTGATCCAGGGATTTAGAAAAATCTTACACAACATTTTATCAAAGAATGAATCTTAAATATTTAAAACTTTATCTTAAGAATAAAAAATTAGGAATTGCAACGAGGTTGTTTACACTTATCAGTTTTCACAGATAAGTTTAGCTGCTTATCAGTTTTCACAGATAAGTTAATCTGCTTATCAGTTGTCACAGATAAGTTAATCTGCTTATCAGTTTTATAATTCATTTGTGCACATCTGACTAAATAAAAAAGCAATGTATATGAGTGGGGACAGAAAGATAATATATTTAAAATATGTTTCCCTCTTCTGGAGAGTTTTGTTTATTCATTCTTCATTACTAGACTAAACCCAGTTTCACATGACAAAAACAATAATTTAATGTATTGAACAATTGTACACTAAACTATGGTTTTGTTATAAAAATACGTGGTTACGTAAGACTTCAATAACCGGTCATATATTATTCAACACAGTTCTAAGCCTCTTCCTTTGTTGGTAAATACTTCCAAATTGAAGAGTCTAATGTAAAGATTTCAAAATGGCTGATTTTTCATTATATATTTCAGATTCATGCAGTGCATCGAGGCTGAACTCGATATCCACCTTGTAAACTTTCGTTGATCAATGTACTGGAAATCCATAGCGGATAATTAATTAATGAATTAAACAGTGATTCTGCATCTACATAAGGCTAAATCAAATTAAACTTTACAAAATTTGTTATCTTAAAACAAAAAAAACTATCCGAAAACCGATCGTTTTAACACGTTCGCTTTTGGTTTTTTCTTGTGGTCAAAATTTGGCAAAGTGTAAGGAATGCAAATGTAAATTAAAATAATCTATTTTGAAAACATTATCACTGTGTATGTCAGAATTTGACCGTGAGAGAAAACATATGGAAACAACGATTCAAAAATTAGCCAAACCGATTAACATCACTACTCTATTTACTCAGGAATAGATGGGATCGTTACCTGGAATTCTAGCATTAGAAAGACTGAGAAGAATACAAGAAGAAGAGAGAAGGATATCACGGGAACTGTCACAAAATATCTAAATATATGAATAAATTACCTAAAACAACAAAACAGCTTTGAAACAGTTTTTCCAATCCCAAGTTTTCAATGGGATTTTAATCCAATTTCTGCAACTTCGATGTCAAAAGAAAAAATATCCTGAATGGGATTTTTAATAAGTTAAAATCAGCTAGTTTGATACTTATATACATATAAGGTGGGCTTTATTAACAAACTACTAACACAATTTGATGTGGTTTTTACTAATATCTGAAAATGAGTGCAAATATTATTAAAAAATATTTAATTCTTCTCTCTTACCTTTAACAAATAAGAAGTAACATTTACAAAAGAAAAAAGAAAATAATGAATTTAAAAGATCATAGAACGTTTGGTAAAAAGATGCGCAACAATAAACCTCTAAATTGTGTTTAATTTGTGGATATTTAAAATAAAACATTTCATAAGATTCTAAAAAATTAAAGTCCAAAACCATTATTTTCGCATAAATTTTTTTTCATCACATCCGGATTTTTACGATTTAAACCTTATTGAATTATCAAGACGGAATTTCAATACAACAACAGTGAATTATAGTATTCAAATTTTTTTTAATTAGTTGTTATAGAAAAAATTTTTTGGATATAAGCAATCTAATAAAAAAGTGGACCCTAGTTTTACCCTTTGATAAATTGTAACATTGTTTAAATTTGTTTTAATCTGAACCTGAAGCAGTTTCTCTTCCATGCAGGGTGATAGGGTTCAGGTTTACCAGTTATCTCACTTATTCTTTCCTCACCCTGTAGTCAATAATATCAATAAGAAAAGTAATTTAATTTCGGTATCTTTTGTTAATTTCACGTTCCTGAAAAGCCCTTGAAAAATATGTATGCAAAGATGTGCAAAGTCTGTTCAGTCTATAGTTCATAAAAAATTAAAAGATTGCATTTTAAAATGTGAAACAATAAAAATTGATTAATGGCAATTTAATGTGCATGCGCATTGCATATTTATCTCTAAGACCTTTCTACAGGGGGGGGGGGGGCAAACTGAATGTCCCCAAGCTAAACTTTTAAAAATAATCTTTCATTGTTACATAGCTTTCATTGCCTTCTGTTGTAATCCTATGTTCAGTTTGATGTCAAGAGTTTAAACAAACTTTCTTAAACTTTCTCCATCAATATCAAGATGAACATTTTCTTAACTTAGAAAACAACTAAACACTTTGATGATATCAGGAAGGGGGGAGGGGGGGGGGAATATTTAGGGAATTAATCTATAGAGGGAAATTAATAATATTAAGAAAACTATATTCATGATTCCCGACAAAAGAATTTCGGGTCTTCAACCTCTGATTTTCTAATCCTTATCTTTTAAAACCAATGTTGTAGACCTTGATATTTAAAACTATGTTGAGTTCTGTAAGATCAAATAATCTAAGTTTGAAATATAGAAGGTTTACACCATCAGGTTGTGAAGATAAAGTTAAAAGAAAATTTGAGTTAGTGGCAAAGACTAAATTCCTTACTAAATGACTAAATAAGGAACTGGAGATTTTGATGTCGAAGTAATTTCAATCAAATCATTTATCTAGTAGCATAAGGCATATATCGTCCTTTTCTTATGTTGAGACAATCAATTTCCTCAATTATTTCTCAAGCATAAATCCGTTCACAAATGTCTTTTGATAAAGAAACTGCCATTTTTCGATGGAATATCAAGGATATTTCGGTCATTTTTGCGGAAAAAAATGAACAAAACTACACTTTTTTACCTTATAAAGTGGTCTAGGTTCAGTTAAAAGTTCGTCTCTATTATCAATCGTACCCCACTTGTATGCCAGCTCTGCAGACCTAAATAAATATCAATATCACATTTAATAATGTATCATTTCAGATGTGTATCACGAAAAACTAGCAAGAGCTACTTTCAGAGGCGTATTTAGGGGGTGGGGGCTATTGGGGCTAAGAGAAATCTATTGATTTTAGGGGATTTTCAGCCCCCCCCTGGAAAGAGAAAAAAAATTAAGCCCCCCCCTGGACAAATTCCTGAATACGCCCCTGGCTACTTTTGTCTGAGAACATAAGAATAAATATAGAAAATAAATATCAATATTATACATATTTATAGCATTTATAATATCTATAAATATGCACGCGAAAGCGTTATAAATATGATCCTTATATTGGTCTAGTTTTTAAAGAAGGATTTTATAGATGTCAATTTCCAAGGGTCGACAATTCCAGGTTAACAAATATTTTGATGAGAATATGTATTTATAATTCTCTGGAAATGTTAATGCATATATTCAAATTTGTTGGATGTTTTGAAACTGTGGTTGGGGTTGAATATGATTATACGAAATAAATTAAGTTAGGAAACAACATTTTTCTATTAATATTTTTAAACTTTATTAATAATACATTCATATATCAAAGACAGATTGAAATTATTATCAGAAAACCAAAATATGAATTAAAATAAATAAATTGTTAAAGGGACTGTAGAGTGTAGACGTTATTATCAGTAACTCTCCAATAATGGTATGTCCGATTTACAACGGTACCTTTAAATGCTTTGTCTGCTTTAGAAACAAAGGGCGTATTTGTTGAATTAAGCAAGAAAACGAAGAGTATACACGAGAGAGAGATAAAGGTTTAAATAGTTCCGTTTTTAGTCGGGCCTTTAAATGTAATTTTTACTTGAACGACGGTCCTTTAAAAAAAATTTTGTTCGATTATTTTACCTTCGTTTCCAGGTAGCCAGGTAGATGGTTGCCCATATCACGTTGAAGAAGGAGAAAAGAACGAAACCTAAATCCTCTATAAGTTCGGCTCGGCCTCGGAAAAAAATCTAAAATAAAATACCTTTTTTAAATACACAAAACTCCATCAGAATTGAGAACCTTGCAACACATTAAAATATCCTAAATACAGTGTCTAAACGGACTATAAGCGTAATTTGAAGTATCCCTCCTTGCATAGATGGCAATACTACTTGAAATCTTTATCTAACCAATAATGTGGAACAAATTGCAGTTTTTCTAGGCTAAAATGGGTTTATTTCGGATCATTTCCACATGTTTTCTTGTTGTAGAAAGCGCAAGTCGCTTTTGTAGAAGAGAAACCAGAATTGAAAATATTCAGTTTTCCAAATTATAAACACGGATATTTAATAAGTGCTTTGTCAAAAAAGCTTTGAATGGTTCCCCGTTGTAGTAATTTGCAACAAGGGTTACTTGAAAATTGAAATTACGTTTACAATCCCTTTAAACAAAAAGATTCGGCTTTAAACCGATATTTTCAAACCAAAGAATTTCTAGTGGGATTCCAACCCAAATCCTTTGCAATCTATTTCATCCTTAATTTAATTTTCTTAGAATAACTTATCTTAAATTCTGACTACAGGAAATCGATATAACGACTTGAAAGTTTTCAAATTCAAATTTTTTATTTAAAATTTTTTTAATTGGAGTCCAAACAATTATTATTTATAAATTTATTTTAGAAAGGACTAAATAAAGAAAACGAAAGGGTTGAATTTGGCCTTAATTCTCTTTTACATTGCTATAATTTCATTTTCAACTTTTCCGGAATTTGAAGTTAAAATCCATTTCAAATGATCTCATAAATATCTACGTTGTGCTTAGATCAAATTAAAAATATTTCTTAGATTTTTCTTTGCTAAAATACATATCAACATGTTGTCCTGGAATTTTTAAAAGTTTAAGCTGTACAATACTAAACTCTTATTTGGTAATTTCAATATTATGTGATATTATAATTCTATTTGTTCAGGACCCTCCAGGCAAATATGGCAATGTCCGATTCAAACAGTACCCATAAAAGCTTTGTTTCAACAAGTAAGAATAAGAAATCAATATTTATAATTTCGAAAACTAATTATTTTCTATTGTGGGTTCCCTACAAAAGTGACTTGCATATTCTACTGCAGGAAAAGTTATAAAAGTTATCAGATTTAAACACTTTTAAACCAAGTAAAAATAGATATCTTCCACATTAATGGACAGATAAAGATTTCAAGGGTACCGTTGTAAATCGGGCACTGTCATCTTTGCAGAGAGGATCACTTAAAGTGACGCTTACAGTCTCTTTACTGACATAAAGCTTACCCAGAATAATGTTCCTACAACAGCAGGAGCAGTTAGAGCTGCAGTGTAGTGTCCCAACCAAGCAAAATAAAACGAAATCTTTATTCCGAAATATTCACTAATATCATCTGAAAGTATTAATAAATGTTTAGGATCAGAGGTCGTTTTTTGTTGTTTTTTTAATGAATCTAAATGATTTGAAATTAGTTCACCACGAACTGTTTACTCATCTCTTATTGATAAAGTGTTCTGAAGTGCAGGAACAATGAATTCAAGAGACGGTGGAACTTTTAAATTGTAAATCCTCTAAGATCCAGCGGATAAACTTAAATTTCTTTAGATATCTCAAAGGGTCCAAACTCGGTCATTGAGAATCAGCTGTTTTTCGCGGATTAAGTAATCGCTTAAAAAAAAGTGTTTGATGAGGATATCAAGTTCTGGTGTTGTAGATATAAGGCTATCTTATACAAAAGTTCCCCTCTAGTCATTTAGATAGGACATGAAATGTCGTGTACATGATAACCATTAAGCGTAAAATCTCGGTAAGCGAAAATACTAGAAGTATATATGTGTTATTCCATTTTTTTGCCTCAGCAGGTAATCTGATCGTAGCGCAATGGTGTAAATGTTAGTAAAACCAGATCTAGTCCAAAATGATATTCATTCTACCACAAAACATGTGTAAACTTTATGAAGATGAAAAGTGGTTCTCACCCAGTGGTTGGAGTCCAAATATTCTCTGAACCCAGGTTCTCTGTAGGTTCTGTAGAACAGGTAGCTCATGGAGGGGATAGATCTCCGATATTAAACCTAAAAATAAAAATAAAAATTTAGAATATTTAAATGTTCTGAAATCCCAAATACTATTGAAAAATCATTTTGTTCAGAAGTAAATTTAAAATTTCATTTGACTAGGAACAAATGAATAGTTTCCGTTAAAAACATTTAAAATGCATGATTTCTACCTTTGGAATAAAAATGTATTATAGAGCCCAAAAACCATGCTATTGAAAACATTTTTAAAAACAAAAAAAATATTCCAAAAAATGAAAAGAATATGAAATGCATGAATTCGTCCTTAGCTCCGGAACTTGGGAATACAAATTTGCATAGCCCCAAAACCATTTTGCTCAGCAGTTTTCATAATTTCTATGTCTTAGCTAATTGAGAACTTATTATATTTTAAAAGTTTTTAAGATTACAAAATGCATGATTTACCTTTACTCAGGCACTTAGGAATAATGGCCTCTCCGTCTCTGAATTTAATATTCTCTAAGATATCTCCAGGTCTAGCTCTAACATTAAACCATCTATTAAACCTCAACTCCAGGAAGAATATTATCAGTCATATATGACCAGAGCTGAAAACTTTAGAATGTGATATCCTTAATCCTGATCGCTTAATCTAAATATTTCCTGCTTCATCCGCTTTTTTCCCTCTCTTTTTGGACATCCCTTCTAGATTCCGACCAATGAGAGTTCTCACATTAAATGGCGCGTAAAATTTCAAATTTTCCGGTTCCTGATTGGTTGTTCGGGATTTTGCATACGTCAATTTATTGGTCGAGTTCTATACACTATTCAGGATAGAAACCAAAGATTAAATTAATCTTGAGATTTAAAAAAAGAGGAAATCAATCATTCTGCAATGATCTCAATATCCACAATTCTAACATTTTCACCAAGGCTTCCAGAATATTTTGCGCCTTTCTTGTAATAATTTCAGCTTTAGAATCAAATTTTCTCTTGAACATTTTTCTTCATAAACAATATAAATATAGAACAATGGAATTTTTCTCAGATTTGAATTGAGTCTTTGCCAAAAACTCTGATTTTCTAATCCCTATCTTTTTAACTCAATGTTTATTGATTATAAAATTGAAGCTTGTGACAAAGACTAAATTCCTTTGTGAAAAGTTCAGTCATTAGCCTTTCCTGCCTGGACTCGTATATGAGGTCTTCCAAAAAATTTGGGCCAATTGTTTAGGATATTTTGACGTTTATCGGATTTTCTTGAGGTTTACATTCATAAATTTATTATTCACATAAAAGGGATTTGAGTGATGGAAACAGTTTTATGATGTTGCATGCATATCTTAATCTTATTCGAGAGACCCCTGTTTCCAAATCCTTTATATGCCCGTGATTATGACATGAAATATTGGTTGCAGCTAAAATCAATTTAACGAATAATATTAATAATTTCTGAACAGTTTATTCATGAAATATTGGTTGCAGCTAAAATCAATTTAACGAATAATATTAATAATTTCTGAACAGTTTATTCATTCTGTGTGGGACACCCTGTAAATAAGAGTGTACTAGCATGATAAATTACCACCCACTCTTTCTTCAAGAAAATATTTTTATTTATAAATATTTTACCATATAACGAGAAACATTATTCTATAGTAAGGATTAGACCTAGAATGGGATTATGACTAAACACTAAAGAAAAGCAAGTTAAGCATATTTTCAAATTGTACCAGTACCTAGATCAGATCAGAGAATCCCTCTGGGTTATTACTCAATCGATTTACCTAAACCGTGTGGAAATACGCAATTTTCAAATTTTCTAAATGTCAAATTCTAACCAAAAACCTCTTTTTTTATCTAACCTCGTTCATCTTTTATTTTTTTCTCTTTTTTGAAAAAAGTTTTTTTCTTCTCTCCATTCTCATACTTACCCGTATTTACTTCTCCTATTTCCTCCTATTTTTAATTTTTTCTTTCTTTCTCTCCTTCAACATTCGTTCTTTTTTTAACAGTTTCCTTTCTCCTCATTCTTGCAATATAATCTCTGTATTATTTTATTTGTCTTTCTTTTTTCTCACAAAACCAGGATAAAATAAACAAGAGAAAGAGTAACTGTGACGTATAGGAAGAAAACTAAGGAACCAGGATAAAATAAACAAGAGAAAGGGTAACTGTATTATAGGAAGAAAACTAAGGAACCAGGATAAAATAAACAAGAGAAAGGGTAACTGTGACGTATTATAGGAAGAAAACTAAGAAACCAGGATAAAATAAACAATAACTGCATACAAAGATGAATAAATTGACTGAAAGAAAATTAACTGAAAATATCTGGATAACTGCAAACTAGACAGAAGGAGAATGTCAATGTGAAATTACTGCCAAAACTTGATGACCTCGTAGCTCCTCTAATTTTGATTATAGCTTAGAAATTCAAAACATTTTCGTTCTTCTCAATAAATCTTGAATAAGAAAAGTAATGATTAAAAACATTTAAGATGTCGTTCTTACTTTAGCAATTTACTTAAGCTTGAAGTTTGATTTAGGACTAGTAGAAGGTTCCTGATACTGTTGATTAAATGGAATAGGATGGATTGTCTCTCCGCACTGCTCAGGAATAACTCCGGAGTCTCAACCTAGAAATATTTGAAAACTGGGTTATCTTAGTATTATTTCTTAGAACAAATAAACTTATAATTAATTGCTGCTCTAAAACATTAAACAACCCGATTTTAATTAGAGAAACCCGTATTTGGCAAATAATGATAGGAAAATAAAAGAGGGTGGTAAAGGGGAAATTTCCCAACCTAAACTCCTGGCCCCTAATAATCTCATTTTCCTCTCGTAAAACTTAATAACACCAAATAATCACCTTGAATCCCACATATCAAACAAAATTGGCGCCAATTCACACAATTTCCTCCACCCTTTATCTTATCCTGTACTTTTTGTGTGCCTGGCACTGGTTCCTGTTAGCTTTCTTATTTTTTCTTATTGTAGTGACTTTCGATACTAGTGGAATTGTAACCTTATTCCTCCCCGAAGGGAATATGTAGAAAACATAAAGATATTTTATAGACAGATAGATAGATAGATATACAAACATATAGATATATATGGATAGATATATACATATAGAGTGTCCAGCAACAACAATAGAACATGTTCTAGACTTATTTTAAGAAGATATAGATATATATATATATATATATATATATACATATATATATATATAAAGATATAAATTAATAATTATTGATATATATAAAAACATATAGATATATAAAGACAAGAATGTAAGGCAAGGAAAGTTTATTGCGGTCGTGTATACTCTGCGTATATATTGAAACCAGTTCTCTTTGGGCGGAATTTGTAAACAAGAATAGATGCATCAGTGTTCGTTTAGTATCCGAGAAGGTTAAGAGCATTAAATTTTGAAAATTTTGATAATTCACATAATAGTTTCCAATGACCAGAATATTTCATCGATTTTTTATGTGAAAGATGGATCCCATGTCAGGCTTCGACATCCGTCTTGTGTTTACATTACCGCCCAGAGACAGTACACTGCAGTACAACAGATGTGTACACTTCTGAAATAACTTTCCTTGCCTTACAATCCTTGTATAAAGATAAATAGTAATATTGGAGACATCCCCAGATTGAATTCTATCTAAGTTGTAACTTCGTCTTCTCCTAACCAAGCAACAGCTAGTTCTAATATTCTATTGGAAAATACCTCTCACTCAATGAAATATAGAAAACCATCTGAAAGCTGAATCTCCAACATATCATTCGTTGAAGATTCAGCTTTTGTAAAATCATTTTATATCCAGAAATTATAAAAGCAAACTAGTTTGGTTAAAGTTAAAAATTCTTTTCGAAAATTTGAGTGAAAAGAATCTAATGGTTCGAAATATTTTTCCAATGTAAATGTACACTTGTATCCTTTTCCCCACAGCTGAAATGAATCTTTTTGATCTTGCTCAATTCAACAAGAACATACAAGAAAATGTTTAGACGGATTATTATTCTTATGAAAATAAAAACAGCTCCTATATTCGATCGTAAAACGTCACAATTTCAGAATTTACAAATTACAAACATAATAAACCACAATTTGCGAAACTAAATACCAAATAAAATGGGTTAAAATTTAATAAAATTCAATTAAGAAATATCATACTGAAAATACACGTACTCAAGCTGAAATTTTTAGATATTAAAAAATGAATTTGAACACTAGTCTAAAGCGCTAATTTTCTTCTCCTTTTACCTTTGCAACCTAATTTTTTGATTTATTAAACGATGAATTTTGATAGGTAAATTGGCAAAAATGGCAAAATCAAAGATTTATCCCATCAGGTTCCAAAGATATACATAGGGAATAGAACTTGAGTCATGGTAAAGTTTGTTTGGTGTGACGCACTGTATACAATGTACATTGCATCACGTTTCCAGTTTTCTTATGCCAAAAATACAAGATTTAACTTTAAATTTAATCCACCAGTCCTACGCCTACAAACATGAAAACTTGATACATAGATTTACCTGATTAAAGCTTGACATCTCATGAATAGAAAACTCTTTAAATCCACCCCCATGATCCTCACGGAGAGGTTTAGGAATATTCAACTCATCCAACCCTTGTAGTAACCTAGATATAGAACTCTTTAAATCCACCCCCATGATCATCACGGAGTGGTTGAGGAATATTCAACTCATCCAACCCTTGTAGTAACCTAGATAGAAAACTCTTTAAATCCACCCCCGTGATCCTCACGGAGAGGTTTAGGGATATTCAACTCATCCAACCCTTGAAGTAACCTAGATATAGAACTCTTTATATCCAACCCCATGAGCATCACAGAGTGGTTTAGGGATATTAAACTCATCCAACCCTTGAAGTAACCTAGATATAGAACTCTTTATATCCAACCCCATGATCATCACGGAGAGGTTTATGGATATTCAACTCATCCAACCCTTGCAGTAACCTAGATATAGAACTCTTTATATCCAACCCCATGATCATCACGGAGAGGTTTAGGAATATTCAACTCATCCAACCCTTGAAGTAACCTAGATATAGAAGTTAGAACTCTTAAAATCCAACCCCATGATCATCACGAAGAGGTTTAGGGATATTCAACTCATCCAACCCTTGTAGTAACCTAGATATAGAACTCTTTAAATCCGCCCCCATGATCATCACGGAGAGGTTTAGGAATATTCAACTCATCCAACCCTTGTAGTAACCTAGATATAAAACTCTTTATATCCAACCCCGTTATCCTCACGGAGAGGTTTAGGAATATTCAACTCATCCAACCCTTGTAGTAACCTAGATATAGAACTCTTTAAATCCGCCCCCGTGATCATCACGGAGTGGTTTAGGAATATTCAACTCATCCAACTATTGTAAAAACCTAGATAAAGAACTCTTTAAACCCGCCTCCGTGATCATCACGGAGTGGTTTAGGAATATTCAGCTCATCCAACCCTTGAAGTAACCTAGATATAGAAATTATAACTCTTAATATTCAACCCCATGATCATCACGGAGTGGTTTAGGGATATTCAACTCATCCAACCCTTGCAGTAACCTAGATATAGAACTCTTTAAAACCACCACCATGATCCTCACGGAGAGGTTTATGAATATTCAACTCATTCAACCCTTGTAGTAACCTAGATATAGAACTCTTTAAATCCACCCCCATGATCCTCACGGAGAGGTTTAGGTATATATTTAACTCATCCAACCCTTGAATTAACCTAGATATAGAAGTTAGAACTCTTCATATCCAACCCCATGATCATCACAGAGAGGTTTAGAGATATTTAACCAACCCTTTTAGTAACCTAGATAGTAGATGTAGAACTCTTAATAAACTCCGTGAGGATCACGGGAAGGTTTAGGGATATTAAACTCATCCAACCCTCGTAGTAACCCAGAGATAAAATAATAATAATAATAAAAAAATAATAATAATAATAATAATAATAATAATAATAATAATTATTATTATTATAATAAAAAGAAATGATAATTATAATGATAGTATTGATAAAAATAATAGTATGCTTACGCATGATAGCTTGCTGTGATCTGGAATGCGTAGCATGCTGCTAGTTTGCCGCGCGTTCTTCTCGAAATTGAAACTTCTCTAGTCATAATCGTAAGTTCACGAATACGCTGCATCTGCGCACGTATCCACGTGATAGTCAGCTCTGAAGTTTCCGGTGGAAAAATCAGCACGATGTCACAATCCTAAATTAAATGGGTTGGTTGGTTTCTTTTTTTAAATACACATTATTCCATACATATATTTCACCGCCTTTTGTAATGTTTTATTAAGACATTTATTAAGAGACACAACAAACTCCTTATATGCTACATCCCATTTTATTTAATTGATTTTCCCTTTAAAGAAGAACAAAGGAATAAGTTTTATTAAAAATCCTATTTTTGAGTTATCAAAGAATTCTCCTACCTGGGATGGTAGAGTTTGAAGCCAGAATCGCTTTGCGGTCATCAGATGACCGGACTGTGGGATACGGCGTCGAAGCATCTTTGAGGCTAGAAAAAATAAGAATAGTAATAAAAAAAATCAGTTCCTTGCAATAACAGAGTTAAAAAACAGAAAATGAACTGTGACTAAATTTAATGAATAGGCAGAAGTAAATGAACCTATTCCCTTGTTGTTTCTAGTAAGCTAGAAATTGATGATATTTGTTAATTTATTATCTAATCTGATCATTTCAGCTGAAATATGATGCTATGTAAAGCTCACACAGAGAATTGTTATAAATTTTATTAATATCAATGGAATTGAGTCTTTGCCACAGACTCAAATATTTTAATCTCTATATCTTTGGGACCTAATGCCACAGACCTTAGACATTTCAAACTATGAATTCTGTTAGATCACACAATCTAAGTTTGAAATATGAAGTTGCAAAGATATTGGGATTTGAAAATTTGAGTTTGTGTTAAGACTCAATTTCTTTAGTCATATATAGCTTTTTGTGTTAAGACTCAATTTCTTTAGTCATATATAGCTTTTTATTTTCTCGCAAAATAAAAAGTTCACTCTAAAAAATCCTTTTAGACCTAATTTTAACTGTATTATCTGAGAAAAATAATATATTAAACTAGAATTTGATCTTGCAGGAAGGGGGCGCTGCCCACCCATAAAGAATCACGTTCCTGGTTTACCCCCCCCCCCTCAGCTACGATCCTGGTTAAACCCTTATTCTATTGAGCACCATCAGTTCAAGTTTAAGAGAATTGGTTTAAAAGTTCAACTTTTTCTTGTTATAAAAATGGTCCCTATTCAACTCAAACCATCAAATACTAAATCTCTATTTATCATGCAACCGTATGATGCAAACCTTTTATATTTCAAACTTCTACTGATAAATTCATAGTTTGAATTATCAAAGGTTTATGACACTATGTTGTATCAATATAAATAAGAGTATAGTATAAGAGAAACGATATAGTTTCTTTTTACCGGTAAAAAATCTTTTTTTCTTCGATATCCAAAGAAGTAAAATCTCTTCCTTACCATTGTAATTTTCCCGTCTACAGTATAATAACAGAAAATGTGATCTCCCAAATATAGGTCAATGACTTTCTGATTTACATATTAAGGATATTTTAGAGGATTTTATCTTTTTCCCTTTGTCAGGAGTGTGTGCATGGAATACCATGACATGCAATCTTCAGAAAGCGTTTAGACAACTTGTACATTTTGGCGCAACTAAGGTATAAACTGCAGGGGAATTGCGGAATCGTATAAAAAAGTAAATTATGGGGGATTTATTTAAAATGTTTGAAGGGAGAAACATGGTTTTTGGGCAATTGTAAGCTTAACTGCAGGCACCTCGGACTAACCATTCGGTTTCTTCTATTTAAAATCAATCACGCGGTCTATAATTCAACAACCTTTCAAATTACGGAGTTTGAAAAACTAGGCCGCGCCAACAAAAAGGTATAAAATAGAAAAAGTGAAAAAATTATGTTTAATAGGTAAAATTATGATCGAAAGAAATAGTTCTCTGGGAAGGACCGAACCGTGAAATCTGCGTGTGGGGAGATAAATTAAAAAAAAAACGCAGGAGGGGATATAGACTGAAAAGGTTTATAACTATCCCCCACCCCATATATTGTGCCCTTGTCACTCAAACTTACAGTTTTCTGCATATGTATTATTTGATTCAGGGTTACTTATTTTTTCAATGTATCAATATATTCTATGGAAATTAGTAACAGGTAATGTTTCTTGACCACAAACTCCAATTTTCTAATTTCCTATATCTTTGCGACCTGTTGGTGTAAACAATTTATATTTCAAACTTTGATAATTTGATCTAACAGAATTCATAGTTTGACATGTCTGTGACATTGGGTTGCAAAGATGTAGGGATTATAAAATCAGAGTTTGTGGCAAAGATTTAATTCTTCATGTTAACGCAATATAAACAATATTTTGATATTTTAAATCGAATTTAACAAAAACAATTTTCTTCGCTGAAAGTAAAATCACTAAATTTTGTGTTTAGAAAAAAGAAAAAACGTTAATTTCAAGCAACGTACTTCAGTCCCTATCTTACACTGACAACTGATGTGGAAGTTAGAGGCCGTGAATATGTGTTCTTGGCCTCGAATAGAGGCTGGTTTAGAGGGTATATACTATACAGGGCCTGGAAAGGGGGGGGGGGGGCAAACCGGATCTTCATAACAAAACAAGTGTTCCAGGCGTAATACGCATTGTGATATCAAAACATGTTTGCAATAGAGCCGGAGGATGTTTGATCAAACATAACAAACTTTTAGAAAAAATATATTTAAAATATAATGCTTACAATGTCATCATTTTACAGAAAATATCATTAAAAAACATTTCTTACTTATAATAGGGTTAAAAATCGTAAAGGGTTAAAACTGTGTTTCCTATAAAACAATTTATTATAGCTTAGCTTTCGTGGACATTTTTTACATTTTTACATTTTTATTCATACATTCGTGTTAAAAATCAGCGATTACAAAGAATTCTAAAAGTAGGAAAATGCTAAAAAACGCGAAAAGAAAAAGTCCGGGTTATTTTTCCTGAAACTTAAATTAAATTGAAAGTTTGGATAATATCATTGAAAAGATTTCAATCTTTTTTTGAAAATATGTGTTAAAACCAATATAAATATATTTTTATCTGTCTTGTATAAATATACTAAGCATTATGGGCGCTTTGCACCCTTCTTCTACATCAATTGTGAACATTTTCTCTTTGTCTCTGGGGTAATTTGAAGTCACTATCGGTTCAGCCGTTCTGACGTTTATTGGATACAAACAGACAGAAATACAATGTATATATATACAAGAAGAATTATGGTTGTTCAGAATTATAAAAATTTGTATCCATAAGCTTTTGATTTTTGTTTAAAATTGCATGAAAAATTATTTTAATGTCCGTAAACGTTTTTAAGTTTTTGTTTTATACTGTACAAAGAGAGGATGCTTGCACAGATAGAGCCACAATTAAAAGTTAAAATAGAGAAGGGGGTGATTTATTGAGCTGTAGATTTAGATTTTAGAACCAGTCGCATATTCCAAATTTTAGCCAAGGGATTTTTTAAAATACCCCCCCCCTCCCCCAGGGGAGGCAAGATTTCCCCCCCCTCTCTCTGGACCTTGAGTAGCATTTATTTACTTCTAAGTTTATATATCTCATATTTAGCCCACTGTAGTCAAAATTTAATAAAAATTAACAACGTATTCTTCTCTGTATAGTTCAGTACTAATATACATATATATATTTATCTAAATGCCATGAGGACAATCATTAGTCCATATATTCTATTTTCGTTTTTTATCCAAAGCTTCAAAAGTCATTCTTAAAAAAAACATGCCCGTGATTTTCTTCTGAAAAGGTCTTTAAGCTTAATTTCAAGTGACCCTTCCTGCAAAGAGCAAGTTTGGGTTAGATATCAATGTTTATAATTTTGTAAACTTTTCACTTTTCACTGAGGTTACTCTGCAAAATCAACTTGCGCATTTCTACTGCAGGGAAACGTATGGGAATTAACAGAACCACTTTTAAACCTAAAAAACCGACAATATTATCCACTTTCTTGATCAGATAAAGGTATCAAGGGTGCCATTGTGAATCTGACACTGCCATCTTTGCATGAAGATCTTTTGATATAACTGTAAAAGCAAAAATATCTGTAATGCAACGTCTTAGATTCGAAATTTATGAACGATCCCTTTCAAAGTAAAAAGTAAGAAAACATTTGAAGCGGAAACATCCTGAGGAAATTATGGTTTTTACTCAACTGTTGATAAATTATCAAATATTTTGCAACATTTCTTTACTTTCCCAGTTTTAACTCCAATTGGTGGAATTGTAACAATTAAATAAACTTTCCCTATATTTTTTGATCACCGAAAGGAATTATGTCAAACTCTAATTGTCTTTGCAACACAGTGTGTCACACACCTTAGATAATTCAATTTTGTACATCAAATAATCCATGTCTGAAATATCAAATGTTTACACCATGTCCTTACGGTTGCAAAGTTTAGATTTCAGAAAGTTTGATTTTGTGGCATAGGCTCAGTTCTTAATTCTTAATTCAATGATTATGTACATCTACTTTACAGGGAAAGTTAAGGGAATTTTACTTTACCAAGGGTTCCCAAGACAAATTTTGTCTTCTAAAGATCCAGAGCGCAACGAGGGATGTTTTGTAGACAAAATTGGTCTTGGGAACCCGTGGTTAAGTATAATTTGTAATTTCCGGAAAAGTAGTTGTACATAATTTTATCGTCTTTTGAGATGAACTGAGCGGATGTTTTCCCAAAAACTTCGCAGAATTCGAGTTGTTATTTTACATAACTGTCTCAAGGGACGTTAAGTAACCTATAACCTCCCTTTGTTGGGGGAATCCTAGGTCGGTAATGTTGGTAAAAATGCGGTAAAATTGTATTTCCTCTCATCCGTTTCATCCGATATAACTTTCTCTCAATAACTCTGAAGGACTACCAGAAAAGGTGTTATTCTTTTACAACCTTGCCTTGTAAAATTATAACAAAAGCCTGCAATATATCGACTATTTTCTAAAGGAACCATTGATAGAATTGATATAATGACAATGGCTGTCAGTGTCCTATCTACACGTACTATAGCTAAAATATATTCATTATACAACATGAAAACAAATAAATATCAAAAGATAATATATGAAGATTATATGTATATGTCAAATGTAGACTTTCAAGAATGTATTCTTTCTTTTTTCCAACTTAATCTTATCTTTCACTTATAGTAGGTATAGCAAGAAGGATGAACGATACTCCACTGAACTGTCAGTGCTAGGATTTAAGCAATTTGATATTTTTATCTTTGATAAAACAGAATTCGTAGTTTGAAATAAAAAAGTCTGCGATATTTGATTTCAAATATATGGGATAAAAAATCAGAGCTTGTGGCAGGAACTCAGTTCCTTTCCTTCAGAAACTCAGTTCCTTTCCTCAAATAATAATCATCATATCAAAATCTTTAAATCTATTCCTTAAGGAACTCAGTTCCTTTCCTTCAGGAACTCAGTTCCTTTCCTCAAATAACAATTATCATATCAAAATCTTTAAATCTAGTTCTTCCTTCACAATTATTTATTAAATTATTTATTAAATTTATTAAAAGGTTTATAATATTTTTATTAAATTTATTAAAAGGTTTATAATATGCATTGATTTATTTATTAAATTTATTAAAAGGTTTATAATATTCATTGATTTATATATTAAATTTATTAAAAGGTTTATAACATGCATTGATTTATTTATTAAATTTATTAAAAGGTTTATAATATGCATTGATTTTTTTTATGAAGTTTATTAAAAGGTTTATAATATGCATTGATTTATTTATTAAATTTATTAAAAGGTTTATAATATTCATTGATTTATTTTTCCGAAGAAAATCATGTGGCTTGTTGAAGGGAGAGCTGCAGCTGATATTAATTTCCTTTGAATTGACCTTAAGATTATAAAGTCTAGTACAAACGTCGGACGGTATAAACGTCTGACTAGTACAAATGTCGGACAGCTGCACAAACTTCGGACTTACAAACGTCGGACAGCTGCACAAACGTCTGAATGTAACAAACGTCGGACAAGTACAGACATCAGAACAGTACAAACGTCGGACGGGTCTCTGGTACATTTATAAGGAAAAAGTCGGAATTTCGTTGAAAAAAAGACTATTGTCAACTCAAAGTTGTTATCAAAAATCGCTCACTTATTGTGATAAAAATCAAGTCTCATCCTGTGAAGGTAGCACTGTATAAGCAACAAACCAAAAAGGAGTTAAAACTCTTGTCACAAACTCTAATGTTTTAACGCCTAAATCTTTGCAACCCGATGTCGTAGACCTTTGATATTTCATCCTATAAATCTATAAGATCAAACAGTTTCAGTTTGAAAGTACCAAAGGTTAATACCATCAGGTTGCAAAGATAGAGGGATGAGAATATTGGAGTTTGTGACAATAACTCAGTTTCTTTGGGAAGATTTTAATTAGACCATTCGATAGAAGGAAATACCTTTTTAATAAAAAAATCTTAAAATTCAAATTCTTCCAAAGTCCGATGTTTGTACTGGTCTGACTTTGTACTGTCCGACGTTTGTACCAGTGCGACGTTTGTACTGTTCCGACGTTTGAACTGTCCGATGTTTGTAAGTCTTAGGTTTGTCCCGTCCGACGTTTGTTGGTCCACCGTTTGTACATAGTACCGATTATAAGTAACTAAACTGAATTTGGTGTTTCATTTTAGAAACCGATAAATGTTTTGTTTCAATTAGTTAAAATACTGACAAACTGTTAAATTATTGAAATTATTGAGGATTTTTTTTTTTGGCAAAGGGTGACCCAAAGAACGGAGAATAAAGAACAATATTCTAAACGAACTATGTCTATATATAGAATCGTTTAATATCGGGGCTTAAAGACTTTTTTAATATCTACGTCAAATTTCTGATTCATTGAGTCTAAAAATGACAAAATTATTGGAACCAAGAGTTTCCAAATTGATGAAACAAATTACTAGCTCGAGTTAAATATTCTTAGGAATCTAAAAATTAAGCTTATCAGTTCTACAAGCCTGCAGAAAGTATTAATTTAGATTTATTACATCAGAAATATTATGTGAATATTAAAATTGGTATCAATCTTGAAAATCTTATCTTAAATTAGTCTGTAAACCATCATTACCGTTGTTTGGGACGCCTACTGTTTATGTTTTTGTTTGCACAAATACCTTAGAACAATGATAATGTGCAATCAACTAAATACCTTTGTGCAAATTGTGTTTCGCATCCGTCCATCCTCCTTTCCCGAACCCTGGAAATAAATATCAAATTAATAATAATCCGTCCATCCTCCTTTCCCGAACCCAGGAAATAGATGTTAAATATCAAATTAATAATAATCCGTCCCTCCTCCTTTCTCGAACCCTGGAAATAAATGTCAAATTAATAATAATCCGTCCATCCTCCTTTCCCGAACCCTGGAAATAAATATCAAATAAATAATAATCCGTCCATCCTCCTTTCCCGAACCCAGGAAATAGATGTTAAATTAATAATAATCCGTCCTTCCTCCTTTCCCGTACCCTGGAAATAAATGTCAAATTAACAAGAATCCGTCCCTCCTCCTTTCTCGAACTCTAGAAATAAAAGTCAAATTAATAATAATCCGTCCCTCCTCCTTTCTCGAACCCTGGAAATAAATATCAAATTAAAAGAATCCGTCCCTCTTCCTTTCCCGAACCCTGGAAATGAATATCAAATTAATAATAATCCGTCCCTCCTCCTTTCTCGAACCCTGGAAATAAATATCAAATTAACAAGAATCCGTCCCTCCTCCTTTCTCGAACCCTGGAAATAAATGTCAAATTAATAAGAATCCGTCCCTCCTCCTTTCTCGAACCCTGGAAATAAATGTCAAATTAATAAGAATCCGTCACTCCTCCTTTCTCGAACCCTAGAAATAAAAGTCAAATTAATAATAATCCGTCCCTCCTCCTTTCTCGAACCCTAGAAATAAATGTCAAATTAATAATAATCCGCCCCTCCTCCTTTCCCGAACCCTGGAAATAAAAGTCAAATTAACAATAATAAACTCTTGAAATATAATTAAGCTATATTGAAAACCCAGCTTTGGCGGGAAACTAAACTTTCTTAATAATAATTACCAATACCAATTGAGTTCCTCAATCATAATTTGAGTTTAGACGGTGAAGGGGTTCTTGCATTATGACCAGACATAAAAAACCCACCAAAACAGAGATTACTACTTTAGATAAAGAAAACTAACTTGGGAACCCAGATTTACCTGGAAACTAAGTTTTCCCTTTAAAATTCAACCTATAGAATTTTTAAACCAAGCCAAGAATATTCCCGGCCCATGGTTCTTATTTATTAATTACTACCCTATGTATGTGTACATGTATTGTATATATAGATGTTAATTGTTAAAACATATCCCAAATCATGAAAGGAATTGCACTCTTTGCAACAAACTCTGATTTTCTAATCCCTATATCTTCGAATTCCAAAGTCGTAAACCTTTGAAATTTCAAACTATGACTTTTGTTAGATCAAAAAATATAAGTTTGAAATATCAAATGTTTACGACATTGGGTTCCAAAGATATTTGGATTAGAAAATCAGAGTTTGTGGCAAAGAGTCAATTCCTTTATCTTGCGGAAATTCTCGTTAAGAATTAAAATAAAATAATATATTTCGACAAATATATTATATTGAAACTATTTAAAGTTGGCCATTGTTAATAGTTAGAATTGAAGATTAAACACTTGTTAACTGATTAAAATGATGTTTACATGTATTTAATGTATAAAAATTTGAAAATATTTTATATTTATGATATTTTATATTTATGAAAAAGCTCATAAATTTTTTACTTCTGAAATCGAACTCTTAGCACCAATATTATTAATTGGATTAAAAAGTTTAAAATTGCAAGGATGTAGAACAAGAAAGCAAACTTTTCTAAAGAGGGTTAAATATTAGTTTTAAAATAAAGGAATTGAGTCTTTGCCACAAACTAAAATTTTCTAATCCCTATATCTTTTCAACCTGATGGTGTAGACCTTTGATATTTTAAACTTAGATAATTTGATCTATTAGAATTCATATAGTTTGAAATATCTAAGGTCTACGACATGGTGATACTTAGATATAGGAATTAGAAAATCAGAGATTATGACAAGAACTCAATTCATTTTCTCTTTACCTGAAGAATCTGAGGGTTTCATTAAAGTCTTTAAAACATTTCTACAACGATTGTTCATGTGCAGGAGCACTCTTAAAAAGTAAAAACATAACGTTTAAAAACAATTGTCTTTTCTATGGTTTTTGTTGTTGCTAGTATATAGATACAGTAAATATGGCCAAAAATCGAATAAACTAATGTTTGTGAACACGAGGTGTGGTTCATAAAAATTGGAATAAACAGATATATTTTATAAACATAAATAAAACAAATGTCCTTGTTTTTATTTTATATATATAAATGTTACACTGCAAACTATAGCCATGAAGGAGAAGGTAAAATTATGCGACAACACTGGTAATACTTTGTGACCTCGTAGCTCCTCTAGTTTTGATTTTGTGCACAATTATGGAACTCTAATTTATCTGGTTACATATATGTAATTCAAAACATTTTAGTTCTTCTTCATGACTCTTTAATAAGAGGAGTTATGATTGAAAACATAAAGTTTCAATCTTACGTGTCTTTTACTTTAGTTGGACGTGGTTAATAACAACTTAAACATAATTATTTATTGATAAAACGTGGTCAATTGTCATTTAAAAAGTTCCAATAGAATAAAAGCAAATTGCGTTCAAGTATAAGCTTTACATTTTGATACAATTATCTTTTTTATGAGAAAGTTTTTAACTGAAATGTTTTTTCCAAGATTTAAATAAATAAATGTCCTGTTTTTATTTCAGCTGAAAAGCAAGTATGAAAAATTGATATTTGCCGTTAAAATATGATCAGTTTTCTAAGTCTTATTAAAATAAAAATCACATAACAAATTCAAGCAATTGTCTTTTTATGACTATCTTAAGACTAAAGGAATGAAGTTTTTGCCACAAACTTTGATTTTTTAATCCCTTTATTTTACAACCCAATATGGTTGCTTTTTTATATTTTAAACTATGCAATAGAAAATTTGAGTTAGTGGCAAAAACTCAGTTTCTCTGGTACACACTTTTTCTAAAATTCACATAAACAAATGTCCTGTGTCCTAATTTAATGAATTTAAGCAGCGTCTCAAATCCCCCCAAAAACCGGTTTCAATTGAGCGCCGGCTTAAATATTAAGAAATTTAATACAAATTTAAGTGTTACCAACAAAATTTGAGTTGCGGCTTAAATTTAAACTTCGGCACAAATTCTTTAAATTCGGCCTCTGTTTTATGTTTTTTTTAAATTAAACATTTATATAAATTGGCTAAACATTTATATAAATTAGTTAAACTTTTATGTGAATAGGTTTACCATTTATGTAAATTGGTTAAACATTCATATAAATTGGTTAAACATTTATGTAAATTGGTTAACCATTTATGAAAATTGGATAAACATTTATATAAATTGGTTAAACATTTATATAAATTGGTTAAACATTTATTTAAGTTGGCTAAACATTTATACAAATTGGTTAAACAATATGTTTATGTAAATTGGGTAAACATTTATGTAAATTAGTTCACCATTTATATAAATTGGTTGACCATTTTTGTAAATTGGTTGACCATTTATTAAATTGGTTAACCATTTATGTAAATTGGTTGACCATTTATGTGAATAGGTTCACCATTTATGTAAGTTGGTTGACCATTTTAGTAAGTTGGTTAAACATTAATGTAAATTGGTTGACCGTTTACTAAATTGGTTGAAAATTTATGTAAATTACTTAAACATTTTTGTAACTTGAGCAAGCATTTATGTAAATTAGTTAAACACTTATGTAAATTGGGTAAACAATTATATGACTTGGTTAAACATTTATGTGAATTGGTTAACCATTTTTGTAAATTTGGTTAAACATTTATGTAAATTGGTTAAACATTTACGTTAATTTGTTAAGCATTTATGTAAATTGGTTAAACATTTATGTAAATTGGTTAAAAATTTATGTAAATTGGTTAAAAATTTATGTAAATTGGTTAAACATTTATGTAAATTAGTTAAACATTTATGTAAATTAGTTAAACATTTATGTAAATTAGTTAAACATTTATGTAAATTGGTTAAACATTTATATAAATTGATTGAACATTTATGTAAATTGGCTAAACATTTATACAAATTGGTTAAACAATGTGTTTATGTAAATTAGTTAAACATTTATGTAAATTGGCTAAACATTTATACAAATTGGTTAAACATTTATACAAATTTGTTAAACAATATGTTTATGTAAATTGGGTAAACATTTATGTAAATTAGTTCACCATTTATGTAAATTGGTTGACCATTTATTAAATTAGTTCACCATTTATGTAAATGGTTGACCATTTATGTGAATAGGTTGACCATTTATGTAAGTTGGTTGACCATTTAAGTAAGTTGGTTAAACATTTATGTAAATTGGTTGACCATTTACTAAATTGGTTGAAAATTTATGTAAATTACTTAAACATTTATGTAACTTGAGCAAACATTTATGTAAATTAGTTAAACACTTATGTAAATTGGGTAAACAATTATATGACTTGGTTAAACATTTATGTGAATTGTTTGATTAATTTATGTAAATTGTTTGATTAATTTATGTAAATTGGTTAAACATTTATGTAAATTAGTTAAACATTTATGTAAATTAGTTAAAAATTTATGTAACTTAGTTAAACATTCATTTAACTTGGTTAAACATTTATGTAGATCACTATTTACTATTAATGGTTAAACCCTGGTCCATTTTTCTCAGATTTTGGTTTGTTGTTAAGAAAGAACTATTTCGTTGACTGATCTCTAGTAAGAGGGGAGGTATATAAGGATTCAGAGAAACCAGCTGATTAATGTTTACAACCAACCACTATATACTATACTATACACATACAACAATACGACACAGAAACTTACAATTCAGGATTGAATAATACAAAAAGATTAGATAGGTAGATACACACAACTATTGGTTTTGCAATTTTAATTACTGAAAATATAAAATTGTAAGATATTGTGGAAAGTTTACATATTCAGCTTTCTCTTTGGTTTTACCGGGTTATGTAAAAAGAAAGCTACAGGGTGTCCTTTTAATCTTGCCAATTTTCAAATTGCTGTAACTTTGCTATTGCTTGAAATGTTTCCAATTTGTAAAATAATTTGAGTAATCAAAATATGAACTTTTTGTTGTATACAATGAAAATTCACAATTCTAATGCCAAAAAAGGTGCAAATTCAGTAATTTCATTTGAGCCATATTCCAATATGCTGTTTTCTAAAAAAAACCAAGATTTGGATTGTTCAGAACTATTCTTCTTACAAAGGATTAACTCAGCTTCGCAGGAATTACATTGTTAAAATGTACCACCACTAACAAGAAGACTGTTCCTGTTCTGAAAGCCTGCAAGAGAGTGATTGTTGAGAACGTTGCCAAGTATGCCAAGGGATACTCTGCTCAGGTTTGCTGATAATTTTTGTACCAGAGCAAAACTATGCATTCAAGAGAATGGTGGGCATTTTGAATATATGTTAAAGAAAAAGAAGTGAACCAATTGATATAACAAAACGTTCATATTTGTAGATTAAAAGTGTCACTGAATAAATGTAACCAGATCTATGTTCATAATTAAGGTTTCAAAATTGGCACAATTGGAAGGACAACCTGAATGATTTCTATTTTGCAGCATAATAGCTAAAGAAATTATATATTCAGTGACAAAATTACTGAAATAGTTGGGGCTATACAAGTTTCAAGGGAATTCTAATTTTTGTTGAATGTTTTATTGTCTTACGCTTTTATAAATATATACATAAGCTCCGTAAGCAAGCTTCTTTTTGTATAGTTTTTATAGTGTTTATAGTGTTTATGTATTACTTTCTGAATTTGCATGGACGTTATACGTTCTTTGGTATGAGTCGTTTATATCAAAGGAATTGAGTCTTTGCCACAAACTCTAATTTTCTAATCATATAATCTTTGGAACCAAATGTTGCAGATTATAGATATTTCAAACTATGAATTCTGTTAGATCAAATAATCTGAGTTTGAAATATCAAAGGTTTACAACATCTAGTTCTGAAGATATTGAGGTTTAAATATTTGATTTTGTTCCAAAGAATCAATTCCTTTCTCCTTATAGACGCAACAAATATAAGTATGATTAGTAGCGAACACCATCAAAAATTGTCATAATTTAGTTTTTTAGTTCAAATTTCACAATAAATTGGATGTCAAGCTGCAATTATGTTGATTTTGATATTTCTACTCACGTTCACTGATTTTGAACTGTGCGGAGGACAATATTGAAACGGAGGCAATGATTGGAGTCAAGATACTAAAACGTTGGGCTGCCTGTTTACTAAAAATTATCTCAATGCGCCCAAAGCAATATCTATCTTCATTTAAAAGATATTTTCAAAAACCCTTACTGTGTTTAGATTTTTGTACTCGCCTACTCGAGTTCAACATCGTACAACAAACAGGGGCGTATTCAGGAATTTGTCTAGGGGGGAGGCTTAAATTTTTTTCACTTTCCAAGGCCCCTCAGCACCTGTTGGGGCCTGAAAACCCCCCTAAAATCAATAGATTTCATTGGTCCGGGGGCCACCCAGCTAACATTAAATCTTCGCCAGAGTTGGTTTTCCGCCGTCTGTATATACTCCAAAGCACCGATGTCGAAGTGTAGATTTTGGAGTTCATTTGTGCGCTGTCGCATGTACGATTTTGTATATACGACAGATCTGGGTGTGATCCTTTTACTATACCCCCAAGACCGACATCGAACCAGGTGATCGGAGCTTCGCTCAACTCCAGCGAAGCTTGTCGTAGAACAAGGCGGTATAACCGCCGTCGGTCTTTATGCTAGCTGGGCAGCCCCCATAGCCCCCCCCCCTGAATACGCCTCTGACAACAAAACATAATTACATGCATAGAAAGAAAAAATAAATTTAGAACAATTGGTCTCATCGCGCCACTATAATATATAGTGAAGTATTAAATTAAGTTTACCAATTATTTCTATCGCTTTCATTGCATATAATTGAGTATGCGCGCATGCGTAAAGGTTTAAAAACCTAATTTTATTTCTAGCTATAGCTCGCAATTCATGTGGCATATTTATAGATTTATTTTCGAAACAGAAGAGCAATAAAGAAAGCTTTAAGAATATTGTGCGCCATATCCAGCTGGAAAATTTCTCTCTATCGGAATTCCGATTTCTGACTTGAGAAATTCCGACTTAGGAGTGAAATTGCTCTGCTTTTTCGGAGATCGATAGCGTAAACAGGGTGGTTGAACTGATCAGTTTACCGATCGGTAGACCAACACCTGTAGAGAAAAAGGACAAGTTTTGTGTGGCAGTTTTGAAACTCCCATGAATGGATGATTTAATTGGTCCCCCCCCCCCACAGCCAGTGGGACAAAATCTTTCTCCCCCCACCCTCCCTAGGTACTACGGCAATTGTTTTAAAATCATTAGGTTATAACAGTTTTGTTTTCTTTAAATATCTCAATAAAATTAATAAAGAGATATGTTTTTAGTAACAACATTTTATGAAGAAAACTTTTTTTATGTCTTATTACTAAAAGTTATTCATAATAAAGCGCCAGGCCCATTCCAAGATTTGTTAATAAAAAAAATCTATAAATAAAGCTATTTTCTCCCCGATCACTTTAATTGTAAAAAGAAAAAAAATATTTAGCAAATGTTAAGGACTATAAGATTGACTAGCGTGCTTAAGTTATCGAATTTGTCCCGTTTTAAGTAGAAATTGACGACTGTAAATGGAAGATCATTCCCGGAAGACTGCTTGGGGGAGGTTTGGAAGATGGGGACGCGCACTACCGCAAGAGGTAAAATGAGGTTCGGAAGCTGTGCGGGAGAGGTTGCCTTCCATCCCTCGGAATCAGGGGCGTGTCTGGGAATTTGTCCATAGGGGGCTTAAATTTTTCTTTTTTGGAGAGGGGGGATCAGTTAAACGATCGGTATCAAGTTGAAGAAGCTGCCTATTATAGAGATACGGAACTCCTGGGGGGGTCCAAAAATCGTTCACTAGGACAGACCCATAAAATCGTCCGTTCATATTTAACTTATTTTATGTGAGTTAAACATTCTTTACTTTTGATTTAGTTCTGTTGTGCCTACTTTTTGCGTTAAAAACACGCCTTTCTATCATTATTTTGTTACCGTTGATTTTGAACTTTACTCTTTCGGTGCTAAAACAATTTTAGGATACTCGAATCACGCATTTATGCGTCCCTTTTACTTCCTCAATTGCGAGAAAATTTTTCAATTCTAATTTTTAATTTTCTTCTGGTAGGGAATGTCTGATCTGGTCGCTATGGATTTGGTTCCTGAGCCCAGTATTGTTGCTGCAGCACTCAGGGCTTGCAGAAGGTAATTAATTTCATGATTTCCGAGTAAAGTGATTAAACACTATCTCAGACCAAACCCATGGGTAGTCTATGGGTGCAGTTTGTTGACGACGTGTTATATTAGCGTTGGAGGGATGATTATTTTTAAGCAAAATAACACAATTAGATGTTGGGTTATGATTACCTAATAGTTAACTACATTTCGGTTCATTTTAAGAGTTACAAGTTTTGTAAATTGTAAATGCAATCTTCAAATTCTTTAAATATTTTTATCTCAAATAACTAACTGAAGTTCTCGAAATTTTTATTTATGTTCATTTCTCGATGCATTCCCGGGGTGAGGGGGATACTAAAATAAACAGCTGGCATAGGTCCGATATTGCGGTAGGTCGGAAAGTTAGTAGGTCAGAAGTTCAGTAGGGGGGATGTTGCGTATAGACGATGTAACATTACCTTAGAATCATCTAGGTCGGAATATACGGCACCGAACGCCCAGCTGACTACAAAGACGACCTGTCCCTTATAAAAGTAAAAATGGCTACTCTCCCTTCTGCCTGTCCCATAAACAGCTGATTCTACAAAATGACTGACTCCTTCCCGTTAATTTCTTTCAATTCATCGAAGTTTAAGCATGTACCTTTCAACTATTCTTTTTGGGGTCCGTTAAAAGGTTTTTTTTTTAAATGTGAGATTAATTCTAAGGTCTGAAATGAGTATTTCTATTTTGTTTTGATGATATAGTTATACTACTTTGCTCGTTAATAAACGTGGAGGCGCTACTTAATTGTGAACTAATTCTGAATTCTAAATGTTTTCTTGTATGCCATGTTTCCCGTATCTAAATTGAAACAAATTATTTAGAATTGAAAATGTTTCGGATTGCCTTGAGGTCAGTTCCTCGGCTGTCGGCCCTGAGGACCGCCACCAGGACCAAGCAAACCGTCATGTCTGCCACCAACCTCAAGATCACACAGCAGGTTATTAATGCTTTTGATCACAAATATTTTTGAAATTTAGATAAACTCGGTGCCAATCATGCCAACAAGCTAGACATTCATTTAAAATATAGTATAAATTGATATCGGTGAATACCTCTCCGATATCGAATGTAGATTTTGGTGAAGAAGTCATCGCTGTAGTATATACTCCAAAGCACCGTTCAGCCGGAACCCATTGACCGATTTACCTCAAATTTTGATTGGGGAACTTGGAAGAACCATATCAATATTGAAAGCGACCATCATTCTTTCGTTCAGTGGGTTCACTTACAAAGGGAAAGTGCAGTACCAAGTAAACGCTGGGTTTCCAAACATAGTTCTTTGTGTTGCATACATATAATGACTGCTGATTTTTCATGCTGAATTTGTTATTCTCCCTTTAAAAATAATAACCTAATAATTTCTTTCTTGCGGCAGAAAAAGAAAACTTGAATGTTCCTAGATTAAGATTTGTAATTTCTATTGTCTAGGTTCGTTTTATGTCCGCTGCTGGAACCTCTGATGCTGAGTTTGATGCTAGATACGAGGCTTACTTCAACCGTGCTGATATTGATGGTTGGGAGATCAGGAAGGTTAGGTCTTTTCTTTCGAGAACCAGAGGTTTAAATTTCTATTTTTCTTCACAATCTGTGAAAAAAAAACGGGCAAGTAAATTTTTTAGGAGGGAATGTTAACTAATTTAGAGCAATAATTTCGGATTCATTCTTATATTTTTATTTTCCTTGGAAATTAATTTGGATAAATATTTAGAACATGCAGTCAGAAGAAGGCAGTTTTTATTATTATCAACCCCTTGTACAATAAAATCGGTAATTTTCTAGAGAACGATTTTTGGAAAAATAAAACATGTGGCCGCAGCACTCGGCCCCCTAGCCTGTCCTAGGTTAGTTAAGACACTTTCTGGGCCGAGCGCTGCGGCTAGTCAAAGCTTCGTGGATAAACATGAAGGCAGGACTTCTTTATCTTAAGACTGAGCTCCAAAAAATAACATTTCTCAGAACCTAACTTGGGCTCCCCTGAACATTTCATTAACTGAGGAGCCTATGAATGTTTTATCAATTTATATTAATTACAAATAATTGTATTTAGGGTGAACGACTACGCTCTTACAACCAGGATCATGGAGATCGTGAAGATCAAGTGCGCTGACAAGGAGTCAGAGATCTGGCCCTACATGATTCAGGTACTTCACGTGACAAGGGGAGAGTACTGGTAAAGAGGAAGACGAGTAATCTTGCGTGCGTTGTTGTAAAGCCAATATTCTACTTATAGCATGAAAATTAACTCATTAAGTGAAAAAGTAAATGTAGTCATATATTTTGTACAATGAGCATTTTTTGTATTATCTGGATTATTTAAAATAGACTAATTAAAGTCGTGTATAAAGTATTTGTTTTCCTACATTTGTAAAAGCTTGAATTTTTAGAAATAGGTTTTCTAACTTGGCTTTATTTAGGACTTTATTAAGTATCTATAGATTGAAGAGTCATTGAATTACTCTTTTGCTTTTTAGTTGATTTTTTCACATACTTCTTGTATCATCGACCCCTTCCCACCTGAACAATTTTATGTTATAGGAGCTGAAGCCAACCCTAGAGGAGCTTGGTATCAACACCCCTACAGAGATGGGATACGACCAACCGGAGCTTGCCCTCCCCAACCCCTATGAGATCCACTAATTGTTTCCACCCTTCGAGATGAAAAAATATCCACAAAAACCCTCTTAAATATTTACTTGTCTCACTCGTGTAGCTTTTTCAGATAAACAATAATGTCGCTGAAGCCTAAACGTGTCGACTTCTCGTCGACCTGGGCGGATTTACAAGATACAGTCAAGGAAGGTTCCCAATAATCGCTTCTTCTGGAAACTAAACAAAGATTCACATTTTAATCTAAAGATTTTGCTGGTTTTTACACAAATTAATCTAAACTTAGAATGCGTGTATTCAATTTATATGCTTGTATTTGTTAAACATGAATAAATATTGTTAATTGTCAAATCTTTTTTTTGTTGAACTGTTGGTCAAATATTTCTCCAACTAAGAATAAATTTAAATAGTAAAAACGTTAATAGCAGAGAAATGGACAAGATTTTTTAAAACTAGAATAAATTTGATTTTACGTCATTGTATATAATAACACTTAAGTAAGATATGTATTCATGTAAATGTATAGTATCGCAAATGTTAATAATGTATGAAATATGAAAAATGATTGATTGCGGAATCTGTAGGGTGTAATAACCCTGGGCAGTGTAGCCCGGGCAACCTGGAATGACCGGTTTTCTGACGTGTACAGCTTGTGTGTAGCGCACCCTGACCCCCAGGCGGACAGACTATACTCGGAAACTAAACATTTCCTGGAGTCCCACGTCTCGCAGGAGCTGGCTAAGGTACAGGGACGGTTCAAGTGGGTTAGTAAAATAGGTGTATTTAATGTATAAAAGCTCAATTCAATATTCATTACATCTAAGCCTAAACTGGTAGTCTTAAAGTGCTACAAAGTAGTTAAGTACATAATCTGAAACTGAATTTTATAAAACTGCTGAATTGTAAAGGAATGACTTGATTAAATAACGGTTGCGATGTTTTGAGGCCTGGTCAGTGGTTACGTAATGAAAATTAGTTTTCTTATTATTATTTCTTTTTGAATATTAAAATTTCTATCTTTAAATATTTATTTGTTCTACTTTTTTCTATTCATTTCTTTTTTATAGTTTATTAAATCATTTTACTCTTAATTCAAAAATTCATAACATTCAAAGCTTTGGAAGGTTTTTATGTTTTAAATGCCGAAAAAATCTTTTGGAGAAAATGATGTTAAAAAAGGGAATTGTTACGGCTTTGTTAGATTTATGTTAGATCTATATCCATATACCCCGGAGCAACTAATTCATGTCCTGTTTATCCATATACCCCGGAGCAACTAATTCATGTCCTGTTTCCATATAACTCCTGTCCTGTTTATTCATATACTCCGGAGAAACTAATTCTTATCCTGTTTATCCATAAAACCCGGAGTAACTAATTTTTGTCTTGTTTATTCATATACTCCGGAGTAACTAATTCTTGTCCTGTTTATCCATAAAACCCGGAGCAAATAATTCTGTCCTGTTTATCCATGTACCCTGGAGCAAATAATTCTTGTCCTGTTTATCCATGTACCCTGGAGCAAATAATTCTTGTCCTATCGATCCATATACCCCGGAGCAACTAATTCTTGTCCTGTTTATTCATTTACCTCGGAGCAACTAATTCTTGTACTGGTTCAGGTTCGGAAAGGCGGAGACAAAAATCTTCTCGCGTCCTATCATCAAAGCTGGAAACAGTTCAGGAAAATACATTCAGAACAGTCTAAAAATATATTAAATACTGTTGTTTATGATTATAAGAAACTATGGAATTTCAGTTTCTTGTTCATTTTAAATATCTAGATCAAACCTACTTTTCTTTGTTTGTTTTTTTACACACAAAAAGCTATATTATTGTGATTTAATGAGCTTAAACACTTAAAATTTGAAAATAATTTAATATTTTGCTTAAACAAATGTATTTATGCAGTCGAGGTATTGATTACTTGCATAAACTCTACCTGTACCTTAACACACAACATATTAAAAAACAGAAATTGAGGTTAGTATTTTTGTATTCATTCCTCCTTTCTCTACATGTCGTCAGCTTAGGGAATTTTGAAATGCATGGAATTTATTAATATCGAAAATACCAATTTATTAATATCGAATCTTAAAGCGGAACTAATAAATTTCCAGCAAGAAAACAATATATCGGCAAGTCTCAGTCTTTTGTTTTGATTGAATTATAATTCGTTAATGTATTAATGCTAAAAGATGTAAAAAATATAAAAAAGAAGAATTATGTTGAACTTAAATGTTAATCTAAAAAAGGGTTTTCTGTTAAGAATGTAAATAATCAAAAAAAAAAATTTTATTTACTGATGGGGTTAAAAATGGATTGTTAGCCACTGAATGGTTTTGTTCTCTTCCAACACTTGCAAAAACGTCGTAAAATCCGTACTGTTATTTTTTTACGCATTGTTTGGTTATGTGACGCATTGTTTTGTCAAGCAAGTGTTTGTGTGACTTAGGCTATTAGCGTAATGCTTGCAGCGTTGTTTGGTTAAATATCGAATAATTTGATTTAGTGACGCATTGTTGTTATGATAAATTGGTTAGTTAGTTACACATTGTTTGGTTAGTGACGCATTGTTTGGTCAAGTGACGCTTATTATTTGATTTAGTGACGCTGAGTTGACCTACGGGAGTTTGAGCGTCGATGCAACTGAGCAGATGAAGGAGATTGGTGAACTAGGTTTACATATCTGGAAAACTCAGATGATAGAACCGCTAACGAAGGTAAAAGGTTGCATTTAAAATGATTTGGTCAGATGAAAAAGGAGCAAAATCACAACTGATTTATTGTAATCCATGTTCCGTCTTAATATATACAATTTCTGGTAAAGCTGGTATTTACAACGAAAAATGAAAAGTTAGTATAAATCTATAAAGGACGCTAAAATTCCTTAATTTCGCACGGACAAAATAAAGTTCTAAAGTAATGTTTTATTTTATTAATGATACAATAACATAAATTTGATTTAAAGATGAATCAATAAAACAGGAAAGAGTGTACTACTTAAATAAAGTTAAAATAAATGATGTTTTTGAAGGATCTGGTTGGACATCTGTTAGAGGGTATAAAGTATGATCGGAGGGGTGGGGTGACCGGAGGCTCCCACTTCCAGTCCGACAGCACCATCTACGGAGTTATCCAGAGCTTTGTATCCGTCGAGGAGTACAAGAAGAAGGGGAACCTCGACCTTTACGAGGATATTTTCGAGAAACCCTTTCTGCTCGCTACAGGTGTGTTTCAGAGCATAGATTAAATATACATAGATACATAGACAGGTAGAAACCTCCTGCCTAGATAGCTTGCAAGAGACAACTCATATTTCAACCTGCAAACTTATCTGTATATTTAATCATGTAAGATACAAGTTTTGAAATTATTCCTACACCCCCAGCAGGGGAAATCAAAAATGAAATCAAATGGCAAGCCCCCCCCCTCATTACTTTTTTNTACATAAAAACGCAAAATTTAATCAACGAGGGCAATTTACACGGGAGTAGGCACACAATAGACATTAGACAAAGATAAAAGTAATTATAAAATATATAATCAAACACTTATTATATCTTGATATTATCTAGGAGAATATTACCGGGAAGAGGCTGCAAAATTGTTACAGGAGGCCAGTATCTCACAGTACATGGAGAAGGTTATTCAGAGGATAGAGGCCGAGGATGTTAGGTAAATGGAGGATTGTAACTATGGGGTTAAGAGAATTAGGAGTGGCAGAGTGGTCTTCAAATAAAAAAATTTAAAAAGAATTACAAAAAACATCAACTTCTATTTTTTAAATGATTTTAGACTTCAAGTTTGTAGTAAAAACCGAAACAGACTTAATTAATTTTTAATTCGAAACTAAACTTGATATTAAGAAAGATCCAAAAATAAATCTTGTTTTAGATCCCGTAAGTTCCTTTATCCGTCCTCGTATCAGAAGGTTACAGGAGAGTGTGAGCAGAGGATGGTTGGAGATCATCTAACATATCTTCACTCAGAATGCAAACCTATGGTGTCAGGTAGTGTCTTGTTTCCAGAAAATAATAGATATACTCTAAGGTCGAAACTTTTTATGGAATATCGCTAATCTGTACATTTGAACTCGAAACGTCAAGTGCTTAAAGAGTAAAACACAATGGACTTGTGCCCTAAACCTCGGATGTCGGAACAATTATTCAAATTACTTAAAATAAGGTTAAGCTCCCTAAACTTAAACCTATTTATATTAAGGGGAAAGACAAGAGACCAGGCATACTTTTATAGACTGCTTACTGCTTAAACGTTTTATATTAAGGAGAAAGACAAGGAGACCTGGCAAACTTATATAGATTGCTTAAACCTATTTATATTAAGGAGAAAGACGAGGAGACCTGGCAAACTTGTATAGATTGCTTAAACCTATTTATATTAAGGGGAAAGACGAGGAGACCTGGCAAACTTATATAGATTGCTTAAACCTATTTATATTAAGGAGAAAGACGAGGAGACCTGGCAAACTTGTATAGACTGTTTAAACCTATTTATATTAAGGGGAAAGACGAGGAGACCTGGCAAACTTGTATAGACTGTTCAAAGAAAAGTAATTCTCTTCTTTCGATTAATGGATTTTCAACCGATTTTGGGAAATCTCAGTCACGTCTTACTTTTTGTCACAAGCTTTTTTAGCTTAAAATTTAGCTTTATCGATTTCCCCATTATTCAACAATTATATATATATGAATTATAAATCTGAACTGGTCAGGGTGAGACAATGCATCTAGACTTTGTAGAGAATATGCTCAGGGTACATAATAAGTACAAGGAGCTTATACAGGTATACCAGGGAGTACATGTTAACATACGTTCACATAAAAGATCAGATCAGTTCTAAATACATTTAACTGTGAAATATTTTAAGAACAAGGTTTTTTTTAATTCCTTTTACAAAGGGTTATTTCTTTTCCTCATAAATCCCCTCCCCGGTCCCCTTCCCTCCTAATCATCACGTTTCCTCAATGTGGTTTTAGAGGCTAGTTATCGCCAAATTTTAATCGTTTGGCGAATTAAATTATTATTTTTTAGGAAAAGTTGTTAAACTCCTTTCTCCCCTTACATATACCCATGGTCTTATATGATTTTATTAACTTAACTTTTAAATCTAATGAAAACTATACATGAAACATACTGAAAACAAATTTATTTTTCTTGTGAAGTAAAACTTAATTTCAATCAATACTTTTTAGGACGTGTTTCAAGGAGATCAAGCTTTCGTCGGAGCCATGGACCGTGCTTGTACTGCTGTTATTAATCATAGGTAGCATTTTTACCAACTTTACAGGGACTGTCATTGTAAAATTTTAAGTTATCATTTTATAAAGAGTTTGCCAGATTTTCTTTTCATTCGACAAACGCTCATAGATCTTTATTATCTTAACATTGAGATAAAAGTTTAAGGATTACGGTTGCAGGGATATTCATTTTTCACTTACTCTCTTCTTCAGTATTTACAAATTCAAGAGCAAAATTTGATAATTATTATAGCCGACTTTTCAGTAAAATAAACCACTACTTCGAGAATGCATTTCTAAAAGATTTCTCAAAAATATGATAGATCTGAGGTTTGTGTGGAGTATAGTTAATCTTGAACGTATGACTAACACTGGATATCGAAGATGATTGGAGATCAATGCTTGATACCTAAATTCATAACACCAATTTTTTGTCTAGGGAACCCAAAACACCGAGTAAATCCCCGGAACTGCTCGCACGATACTGTGATTCGTTGCTCAAGAAATCTAGCAAAGGTAAAAAATAAACTTTTCGGATGAATAATACAAATTATTCGACCACTAATTTGAATATTTTTTTTAAATATCAGGGACTGAATTTAAGTAACAACCTATTTGCATAAAATTGGTGCAATTTGAACTACCTACCACCGGTTTTTTAATCCCAAGTTAAAGGTTTTATGAGGACTTGAATCAGTTATTTAGGATTTAGGTAATTTATATTCGGTCCTAAGTAAATTATTTTTTGAAAAATTCATTTCGCAATTTATTTTTACGGTTTTTTCCAAAGATGATTCATTATAATATGATTTTGAAGTCCTCATGTTGAGTATTGATATTTATGATATATCATGTTTTCTTGAAATATATCGCCCCGGTTTTCCCTCCAAAACTTTATTAAAATGTTTGATTTGCTTGTGAAAATAATATACCCCTGGTTTTCCCTCCATAACTTTATTATAATGTTTGATTTGCTTGTGAAAATAATATACCCCTGGTTTTCCCTCCAAAACTTTATTATAATGTTTGATTTGCTTGTGAAAATAATATACCCCTGGTTTTCCCTCCAAAACTTTATTATAATGAGTGATTTGCTTGTGAAAATTGGTGGGCCTATTTCATTAAATATCAATATCAATCGATTCATTACTTTTTTCAAATTATCCCGATTTACTTCGAACTAGGAATATCTGAGAGTGAGATTGAGGAGAAGTTAGCCTCTAGTATCACCATCTTCAAGTACCTGGACGACAAGGATGTGTTCCAAAAATTTTACGCCAGGTAAACTTGGAATGGGGGTAGGAGACGTTGCTTTTCTATGGGTAGGGTTTTCCCCCTCCTAATTCAGCGAATAAAACCTAACCTAATCGTATTGGGAAAAGAACAGTAACATAAAAAATAATGTTTAAGTAATGTTAGGTTCTGATTTTCAAATGGTTTAAACACTGTTCAAATGAATGAATGTATTATTTAGAATGTTTACTGATATACTCACGGCAGAAGATCTTAATGCAAAATTCAGCACTTTTCTCAGGTAATTAATAATTCATTGTGTTATTTTCTAGAACGCGATTCGTGGATTTCTGACTTTGAAAAAGGCAAGACTTTTGTGGCATTTATTAATGACTGATTTAGTTTTAAAGTAGTCATAAAGTAGGACCAAAATAACCTTTATTGTTAAGTTATGATGAGCACATTTTCTCTTTTCTATTCTTCTTTTTCTCTCGGAAATTTGATTTTTTCAATTGGGGTTTCTTTACAGAAGGAATTTTCGGATTTATGCTAAAGAGGTAATAAAGAAAATTGACATAATTCCAGTGCGTAGGATTCATTTCATTTTGATGCGGATCCGTATCCAGGGCTTGAAGATTTACTGAAATTTTTTTTAAGAAAGCTGAATTGTCAAATTATTTTTCTGTTTTGCTTATTTTTATATTAAAACTTCATGAACAATTCAGAGAGATCAGGAAATTTTTAATATTTTTCGTTTTTTCAACAGTTCAGATTTAGGTTTCGAGAGTAAAAAAGTTTTTTTGCAGTTTTTGGTTGGATCCGAATTCGTGGATTCACATATTTTGCGGATCCGGATCCAGGAAGCCGAAATATTGCGGATCTAATGGATTCGGATCCCTAGCAATGCATAATTACGATATCTCCCTAATTATTACTCAAGATAAAGAGCGAAAGGGTAAAATGTGAATCAAATATTACAACCTAAACTTATCAAAATTAATATTTTTCTTTTCCGCTCAGTTCTAATGTTATTTAACACAATGTTAAAATATTTCAGTAATGCAAGCACAGAAGTTGGACTCAGTTATTTTATCAGAGTTTTACAGCAGGTTAGTTTTACGATTAAAGGAGAGGGGTTGTCTATTGCCTGACATATTTTTTTAGAAAGCATGGTTATTTTTAAACTGCTATATTTGTTGCCATTTTCGATTAAATCAGAAGGACTTGGCCAAAATTTAAGCTTTTTGATAAGTGACACTGTTAAAAATAAAATTTAAATACGCATTTGTTTTTGAATTAGACTTACCCTAATCCTACTTTAAAATTGTGTTTCACAGTTGAGATTTTTTAAAATCGGAGACAAATATAAATTTTTAATCCTTGTTTTTGATCGATAAATGGTAAATGATGGGTCTGTCGACGTGTTTCAAGAAACCCTCGTGTAACGGAAAGCAGAGAAAGATGGAAAAGCATCGACGATAATTTCTCCATCGTTGCGCATAGAAATACTTGTAAATCGAGTATATGCACATCTTTAAATAGATGCGTTACTTGAAAATACGTTTACAGTCCCTTTAGTAGAAATAAGGAGAGTGGACAGGGTTTGTTTACGTTAAAATGTGATGTATTACGACATATTAGGAATAAGGCTCGGTATTAGGGTATCCGGTTTATTGTAAACAAGATGTTGATGTCTTAAAACGTCACAGTAGGATGTAAACAAGCCCTATAATATCCCCCACCTTTATTATATATCTCTTTGAATTTTTCTAATTAAAAAAAGTAAAGTTAGATTAACGTATATATTTGAGTATATACACACAGGGTTGACAATGACTATTTTTTTTACAACTGACGTGTTGATAGGACTATTTTATCACATGCACTAGACGACTAATATTACTAAAATCACCACAATTGTGTAGAAGTTACTACACAGTCAAGATAAGGTTAAAAATCTGTTGTATCAACAGAACTATGTGTACTATAATTTTAAAAACTAATATCACAAAATGTTCAGGGTGCCTGGCCGCTGTCCCACAACGGTTTATCTCCTATTGCAATCCCTCTTCAATTGGAGAAAACAGTGCAGATGTTTGAAGCCTTCTACAGGTACTGTTTATAAGAAAGATGCTTCAAATTTAACTTGGGATCGGGCTGTGAGTCGCTTCCTAACCTGTTCCCTCTGGGGAGTGTGGTTGTGCGTGTACCGACTGTTTGACAACCTCCCCTCGACAGACGTGCACGTGAAACTGCAACCTTCTTGGGAGCAGGTCCAGTGGATAGTACGCCCGCGGGATTGGTTCATCGGCCCCTTCCTCTTCCGGAGTAGGAAGTTGTTCAGGATCATTTGTGTGTTTTTACGTTGGGATAATACAAACTCTATGTTTTGTTGTGGATTGCACATTTTGATCAAGTTCTTTAGATCCTCTGGGACTAGATATTTACAGTTTATGTTCTCTGTGTTTAATGGGGTAGATGCATGGAAGGGGTTGTGGTGGGTTGTTGAGGGGGTTTGAGGGTAGGATGGTTCTGGGGAGAGTGGAGATTCAGCTAGCATGGGAGAGAGATCAGGAAGTGGGTCGTAGGTTTGAAAACTTGCCACGCTCTCCGATCCATTTGAGTAAGCTGAATACTCGCTGCACCTGGAGACACATCTTGACTCTGGTCTAGAGAAGGCTGCAGGGTTGGAGTTGGTGGAGTTAAATGACGAGTAGGGATTAGATTGATATTGTGAATACACACTCGACCCAGATGACGGAGTAGAGAAGGAGGAGAGAGATTGATCAATTGTACTCCTAGTGTAACAGGAACCAGGAGAAACTGAACTCATCCTTGTTGAAGATCTAGGGATAGGTGAGAAAAATCCTGGTCCTGCTATGAACACGTTAGGTTGTGTCTGTTGGTTTGCTGTTGCAACCGCCATGGTTACAAGTAGATTGATATTCTCCTTACAATTATGCTGCAGAATCAGATGTTTTTCTAGTATACTCAGATCCGAGGAAGGAAACCCTTCTAAGCATAGAACACATTGAACTTCCTGAAAATAAAGAAATTGTCAATAAAAGCGACGAACTCCGACGAAAATATTTTAAGAATTATTTTTGAAATTTGAACTGAATGATGTTGGTCTTAATGCTAAACTTACCATGATTGAAGTTATCTGAACCTCGATCAATGTTGAACTGAAAGGATTATTGACCGTTCCAGATTTTATACTTGTGCTCGGTCAATGTACCGTGGTTGGGGGGTCGCCTGCGTTCTGACCGGCCCCTCACCATCGGCGCAGCATTATTGGGGGAGTTTGACCGGAATTATTCACAGCTTTGTACGATTTTCATTTTATTGTTTCTTCATGAAATATCTATGTTGTACTGAAGTTTGTGTACACTAATTGTGTAGAGTAACTTGTTTATAACCTAATGTACAGTTCAGTGTGTACACATGATATGTACAGTTCATAGAGTATAATATAAATCTGAACACATTTACTTTGTACACGTACAGTAAGCTTAAGAAAACACGAGTAATGTTCGGGATACAGTTTTGTTTTACGTGATTTTGTAATATTTAACTTGTTCAAAGAATTAGCATTTTCTGCTCAATATTTTAAAATAGTAAAGGAAATCATAATGTACATATGTTAACCTAAAATTTTTTTATTTATTTACGAAAACAGAAATTTGGTTGAATGGTTTATTTTTTTGTAAAATTTTTAATTTAAGTTATATTTGAATATTGAACCAAATCGAGTTTTTTTAATACAGTGCTGACCAAAAAACAGTGAAAAGATGAAAGTATTTTTTTTCAAGTTTCTTGTAATTTGTAACTCAGTTGTTTTTAAAAGTTTGCCATGAACAATTTTAGAAATATATCTAAAGTTAGCTTGGGAATCCAACATAGTATGGAAACCAAACCTTCACTATAAATGATCGGACATGCAAACAGACGACAAAATATCCAAACAGAGTTTACAACTTAACATATAAAGATAACAAATTAACATACAACTTAACATATATAGATAACAAATTAACATACATCTTAACATATATAGATAACAAATTAACATACAACTTATCATATATAGATAACAAATTAACATACAACTTATCATATATAGATAACAAATTAACATACAACTTAACATAATATAGATTACAAATTAACATACAAATTAACATATGTAGATAACAAATTAACATACAACTTAACATAGATAGATAACAAATTAACATACATCTTAACATATATAGATAACAAATTAACATAAAATTTAACATATATAGATAACAAATTAACATACAACTTACCATATATAGATAACAAATTAACATACAACTTAACATAATATAGATAACAAATTAACATACAACTTAACATAATATAGATAACAAATTAACATACAACTTAACATATATAGATAACAAATTAACATACAACTTAACATATATAGATAACAAATTAACATACAACTTAATATATATAGATAAAAAATTAACATACATCTTAACATATACAGATAACAAATTAACATACAACTTAACATATATAGATAACAAATTAACATACATATTAACATATATAGATAACAAATTAACATAAAATTTAACATATATAGATTACAAATTATCATACAACTTAACATATATAGATAACAAACAAATTGTAGAATCCGTATTTTTTAATTCATTGTAATTTGGAATTAATCTGTTGTTAAAAATTTGTCATGGACAAGTTTAAAATACATCCAAAAATAACAAAATGAAAACCCATAGATGATAAGTTTCTGCTTAATACAACTGTACATTTAAGAAAAATATTTTAAATTGTCTGAAGCTCTTAAGTATTTTAACAGAAAGATTTTGATTGATATATTTAATCTAAATGCACATTTTGATGTTATTTCTAGAAGTATGTATGTATTTTTGAAATATTTTTAAGACGAATAATCTTTACAATTGTAATATTTAGTAAACAGTTTTCTGGTCGTAAACTGACCTGGCTCCATCACCTCTCTAACGGAGATGTCAAGCTAGGATATACTTCTAAAACTTACATCATAAATATGACAACAACTCAGGTAACAAAATATTTTTTACTTTTTAAAATTATTTAATAATGTGTGACGTATCATTATACGTAATACATTATTAGTAGTCAAATCATGATCATATTTTCACTAAGTTTTGTTTAAACGCATTTATTTTCTGTGAACGCCTTACTAAATTCACCCTCCCCCACCCCTTATTTTCAAATAAGTCCTCCTTTCATATCATAGCTCGTAGTGATCAATTGTCAAACCTGGTGTGGGAATTTTATCCCCCCCTCCCATGCTTCGTTTTGCGACTTATCTTATGACCATCTTCTCTTCATCATCCCTTTTTTGGAATATTTTATTGACGAACAGATTAAAGTTTTAAATAAATTTTACCATTAACGGGCTAACTGAACTCAGGTTTTCTGTTTCTCTTTAAGATGCGAGACTGCATACTATAAAAAGGTTTTAAAAACCCAATGCAACCCAATAATACACACATCCCATTGAATACCACGGCATACCAATTCTAAAATAGTTTCAGTATTTAATTCATTATTCATATCTAATCTAAATGTCTCTGCAACATAAGAAAAGATGCCGATACTAATAATTCTACCAAAAATGATTAACGGTTTTAATACTTATTTGATGTGTAGATGGCTGTTCTACTGCTGTTTGAAAAGTCTGATAGTCTCTCCTATGAAGATTTAAAGGAGACAACCAAACTAACAGATGATCAGTTTCCTAGGTTAGATCTCTTAATATTTTTTCAATTGTCAAAAACAGAAATTAGATTTTTTATAATTAAAAATTAAATAAATTACGTAAAACATTGTTTTTTACATTGTAAAAATAATATTGTTCTGTTTTAAAGGAAATGAAGGCGTAGTATCAAGTCTGATTAACAACAGTACCCTTAAACATATCTGATCAAATATGAATCCTAGTTTTTTTTTAAATCTGACGTTTGATAATTTTCTATTCTGGGTTCACGAAAAAGAAACTTATGGATTTATGCAACCGGTAAAAAAATTAAATTGTCTGAATGTATTACGTTTAAGACAAGCAACGATATCTTCTATAGGTTGATCATATGAACGTCAAATGGGTACCATAAATAGTGAATCGACTCGAAGGGACTGATCATCGATTCAGTCCCTTCAACCTTCTAAGTGATTTTTTTAAACTTTAGTAAAATAATGAAAAAAGGTAAATTTGTGATTTATGTAGGTATGTTCAGTCCCTGCTTGATGCTAAACTACTCCTAACCAGTACTGAGACCCTAGAACCTAGCTCCACTATCTCCTTAAACCTCAAATATACAAACAAGAGAACCAAGTTTAAGATTGCAGGAACAGTCCAGAAAGAAACTCCACAGGTAATTATCATGGGTTTGTTTTTTATTATTTTATCTTTAAGTCACAAAGCTCTCCTTATTTTATAAAATTTCATATAATGTTATTTTTCTCTCTCACATTTTGTTCATAGCCTACAAAAATGAAAAATATGACATTGAAGTGCAAATTTTTCACCCCTGATATCCTTTTCTCCCCCAAAAAATCATAAATTTCCCGCTAAGAATCATTTTTTCCCAGCCAAGTGAATCAAACCCGAAAATAAATTTTGCGCTCCGCACAAACTCACATTTTTCAAGAAATTATATTATATAGTAATCATATGGAATATTATCTCTAATTATAATACTTCGATTCTCTTTATTGTTTTCATAATTTTCATTTAATAAATTCTCCCACTGACTTAATCTTCTTTAAAATCTTTTTTGTTTTTGTTTTTAGGAGGTTGAAGCCACACATCACGCGGTTGAAGAAGATAGAAAGATGTATCTTCAGGTATATACTTTCGTATAAAGCTGCAAATTAAAGTATATGTTTTACTGATAGTGATTTCAATTCATAAAAATCTTTAAAGCAACTTGGATTATTATGGTTTTGATCTCACATCGACAAAAAACCTTAAATATATCTGTTTTAGGCCGCAATAGTTCGAATCATGAAGTCTAGGAAGGTTTTAAAGCACACGACACTGGTCCAGGAAGTGCTAAGTCAAAGCAAGGTAATGTTTCAACTTTCACCTCCAGAATGAAAGAAAAAATGTATGTATTACGACATATTAGGAATAAGGCTCGGTATTAGGGTATCCGGTTTATTGTAAACAAGATGTTGATGTCTTAAAACGTCACAGTAGGATGTAAACAANTATTTATTACGTTTAATTAGATTTAACTCATAGGAATTCATTATAAACAATAAACATCGCATTGTTAAAACTAAAATACTTTTGTTTTTATTCTTAACTAAGTGTTTTTCTACAAAAAAAGAATTCTTTTTATGAAAAAAATGATTAGATCACTCTTCATACTCCTAATTTTCTAATCCATAAGTCTTTAAAGCCTCATGAATTCTGCAAAATCTAATAATCAAAGTTTTAAATGTCTTAAGTTTTCACCATCAGGTTGCACAGATATAGGAAACTCCCATAAATTAATGTGTAATGTATTTTCTGGGAGATATCTAGACACACGCAGTGCTGCCTAGGCTGAGCTTTGTTTACATTTCCCCCAGAAAGTGCAGTATACATCATTTTTTTAAAGTTCCTTTTATATTCCTTGGAGGCGAGTATCCAATATTGTAAATATTATTATTATTATTTTGAAATATTTAGGCTCGGTTTGCTCCGTCCATCTCCATTATCAAGAAGTGTATCGAGATGCTCATAGATAAACAATACATTGAGAGAACTCAGAACTCAACAGACGAATATTCTTACGTTGCATAATCTACATATTCTCTATACAATGTACATTATACAACATCCATCTATATTCAATTAAACCCATTCAATATTCAACATGTCATCTTTCTAAACTTTTCCTTTAGATAAATATGTTCATAGGCGCAACCAATCATTGAATAATTATCAAAACCTAAATGTCACATTAAATTAATAAAATTATTTCTTAATCATTACGTAAGTTTGGTAACTTGTATTGCATGGTAAAATAAAAACATCTTATTGCACAATGCATAGCCTAGTGTCATACTATAACGAGTTGATTAAGTCTCAAGTTGCGGCGATAAACTTTTGTCTTTGGGCAGTAAATGTGATTCTATTCCCTTGTGATTATTTGTAATAACAATATCATATTCGAATCCTTAAAAATGTGATCCTAAAACTAGAGATATTAAGAGAATGTCAGTTGGACAAATTTAAACCTGAAAATGAAACAGAACTGGATAAATTTGCAAAAATTGTAATTTTCATTGTTTTGTTCTGCTGTCTTTCTAGTTAGTTTCCCTTGCTCTATTGTCATCTTTATCATTAACATGCCACGCCAACCGCAGAATTTAACAGATGGCCGCCTTATTCCCGCTGATAAACTAAGAATTATCTTAAATACAGAGAATTGTTAAATAGAGGCATGTAAGAAGTCCTGTGATCTATGTAATAATGTTATATATTAGGGCTCAGTAACATTGTGCTTAGTTCTCGAATGCCTAGTTCACTATGCCAAGTTCGTAATGCATAATGACTAGACAACATTGTGCCTAGATAACACTATGCCTAGATAACATTTTGCCTAGATTTCTAAATGCCTAGATAACATAAGAGCGAATTGAATGCCTAGACATCATGGTCTAAATTTTAACGTTTACATTTATTGAAAGTCCTCAGTACCATTAAGAAAAAAGAAAAAATGCACATTTTCAGAAAGTTCTTTGCGGATTTTTGTTATAAATGTTCCCGAATTGTATTTTTTTCCTTTCTCTTTAATATTTTTATATCTTGTTGAAATAAGTTGTCTAGACATTCACTGCAATCTTATGTTATCTAGGCATTCATGAATCTAGACATTGTGTTATCTAGGCATTCATGAACCTAGACATTGTGTTATCTAGGCATTATGAAATGTAGGCACAATGTTGTCTAGGCATTCACGGAATAGGCATTATTGTAATATAAATAATATTTATAGAAAACCCTCTAATTTTCTTTTTACTATCGAGTATCTATCTGTCCGTTCCAGAATATGATTTCCAAAGCTTTGTTGAACCAGAATCAGAGAAATAAAATGATAAAACTTTGCCAGTTTAACTAATTTCTTTCAGACAATATGCATCGGAAGAAAACAAGACAAGAGATTAATCTAAGGTATTATTTAAAGTTTGCGTGGAAATCAGGGTTGCCAATGTTTTCCGGACCAATTTAAGTTCCGCCAGGCCTACACAGAGCCTTTATTACCCGATTTTCAAAAAAATCATGCACCCTAGATGCTGAACAGAATCAGGTGTGACACGCTGAAAAGGTATTTGGGGACCGAATTTAATGAATTTAAACTGCCTTTCGCCGGTTCAAATTTGAATCACCGATTCAAATTTAAACCGGCAGTGTTGTTCCGCGAAGCATCTCAAATACAATAAATGCTGTCCCAGAATAATTATTCCCTACTGGATTGAACAAGAATAATCTAAGAAGGTTAGTGTTGATAAAATGTTTTAAACACCTTTGGTCAGTTGAAAGATGGGTTAAAGAACGTTTATTAAAAGAGGTATTATAGACAAAAGTTTGAAGCTGATTTTTTTTTCTCAACTTCTAAAATTTTTCTATTCTAGTCGGTTACTTGTTCGTTGTATAGAGATGGCAAACTCCACCCCAGACCTTCAGCAGGAATATAACATGTCAATTTAATTACGTCAAAGAAATAACAAGGGGATGTAGTCTGTACCATTCAGAGATCTTCTCGATTTTTAAGAAAGAATTCACTGATTTTGTTCCGGAAAGACTAATATTTTGATCTTTTTAATAAAGCTGAGAACTTTTAAACGGATAGAATAAGTTGGATTCTTTTTAAGACAGGATTATCTTATTGGTCAAAACCTCGGGATTAAACCAATGAAAAATAGGATAATCTTAACCTGATGGGAGATTTAGCTTAACTCATATACGGTTTTAATCCCAGCAATAGGTATTTCTTCTAGTTTCTACAATACTTTTTTATGCTTTTTAATTTTAATTTAAGTCGAAATATTTTTTTAAAATAATTTTACAAAAGTATATTCTAGAAAGCAAAAAATTAATCACAATACAAAACAAACACATGCAATAGCGTACACAGGAGAGGACCATGGGACGCTCAGCCCCACTCTGAATTAGTAAAATCTATTTTTTTGCCAGGGTGTTTCAGGCACCTAAGGGTGCTGAGCCCCCCTGGAATCAAAAAGAATTGAAGACCACCTTGGAGTAATTTCTGTGTACGCCCCTGATATCATTTTTTGATAATTATTCCTGTTTTTATCATGATAATTGACATGGTGGTGTGGTAAGGAATGGAGATTACCTAAGTTTATAAAAGCTGCAGAACAGATGTATGCTAACCTACCCTCTCCCCCTGACCCTGCAGGTGCTTATTCTATCAACAAATTTATTTTCTTCTGGAAATNTCAGAGAAATATTAAGGTTTTATTCGTTGAACTGGGGAAATTAATGCGATTTAAGAGAGAATAAATGAATTTTTTTGGGAAAACTGATACAAATCATTGGAACTTACTTATTGATGTCCAATTTATCATTCCCCCCCCCCCACATAATAAAATTATTTTCCCTCAGGGTGGGGAGTTAGGGGTGTAATTCATAAAATTACACACTCTTGTGCGAACATTTGCCCTATATTTGAACAAATCTCGATTCTTTCTCCTTTAATAAATCTTTTTTTTTCTAGCTCCGAGTAGTGATGATAAACTTGAATACCAAAAACAACTTCAGTTCCTACAAAATATTGCAAAGGTAACAAATTTTAAATTAAATATTCCCCCCCCCCCCCCACCATCCCTACCCCCAAAAAATTTGACCCGGAGTAACAAATTTATGCTTTTTGGGAAAAATAAACCCAACTGAATAAACCAAATGTTGTTATGATGCTAAACTGCATAAATCTAACTTTAACTATAAAATGTACGCATAAGTAAAAATAATTTATTTTTTAGGAAGTTTTAACTGAAAATTTTGACGACACTGAAAACGAATCAAATATCCCAGGTGAACATATTAATATGAAGATAAAAACAGAATGAATCATCGGCGTATTAATATTTTATTTCATTATCTCATGTTTTAGAATAATTTCGTTGAAACTGTCTTTTATTGAACTTTTATGTTGGAACCAGGGGTTTCTTGGACCCGGCTACCGTCTTTACGTTATTTCTTATCACTATATCTTTGCAACCCAATGTCATAGACCTTAGATATTAATTTAATTTATCAGTTTTATTATTTTTGGGTGCGTAAGGGGAAGAAACCAGGTGTCCCACAACATATTGGATCATTTGCAAAGAATTACACCTAAGTTGATTAATTTTTAGTGATAACCTCCCCGAAGGTTTTACTTCCCCGAGGTCCAGCCTCGACAAAAGACACATTGTCCAAACAAATCGTCCAGAAAGCTGCTGAGAGGTAAGAGCGAAAAGATTTAACTTTAAAAAATATTAAGTTTAAGTTCTTGACCAGGGTCCACTTTTACTATTCCAGGGCCCACCAGACGCAGAGAGAGAATTTGTTCGGAAGCAAACCTACTGAAAACGGAGAAAGTCTTCAAGAGCAGGATTTTGATAGATTGCTTGCTCTGCATAGGTATTTTATCACTTATGACAGTAAAGGCATATTTATCATTATTCATTACTAGTCTTAAAATTCTTCTCTTTTATTTGTAATTTTATCCTCAATTTATTAAGTGCCATAACGATTTCCAACAAAATCTCATCTGGATATCGAAGATGGAGATATCTTTATTTTTTATTTAGTCATTTCTAGAAAGTGACTCGTGGATTTCTAAGAACTGGCAAACAGAAAATGAATCCGATAGGGTTCAAAGGTACTGGTGTAAAGCGTTAATGACTAATTGATGGGAGTGTTAACAATCCCATTAATCCCATTAAAGGTGAACCAGAGATCGGAACTTCAGTGTTGATATTGATAATCTTAAATACTTTATCACGATATTCAATGTAGGCACTTTTAAATTTGGGATACAATGCTTAGTTCCTAAGTTAAAGTTATCCCTGTAGTGAATGACTATCAGTTATCACGGGATATCTAAGAGGAACTAAATCAATTAACAGGTCTACATAAGATGGAGATCAATGCTTGTTCCTGTTGTCTGCTAACCCTGTGTTTACTGTAGAGATCAGCAGGAGAAGGTTGCCGAGGAAATGTTAGGAATGACGAGGAGACTCAAGGAACAAACTCTAGCAGCTAAATCTTTAGTTCAGGTCAGTTTATTTCTCATTCAAGATCTTTATTTTCTTTCTTTTATCCCTTTCTTTTTCTCTTCTTTTCTTGCATTTTTTTTTACTTCTGGGGAATATTTGTGTTGTTCTTTTTGTTCATAGAATAACAAAATCAGAGGTTTATAACATACCTGGGACTCTCCTCCTCCTTTTTCCCGCACCTCTTTGCCGCCCATTGTACCTACGGCTTCCTACATACATCTAGTGATTTATGTATTGTTCTTTGATCAAATTCCGAGAATCCCCATTTTATTTTCCAGGAGGATACGGATCGGATAGAAAGAATAAACAAACGAGCAGATGATAACCTTTCCAAAATACAGGTATCAGAGATCCGTCATTTACAGTGCGATTAAACTATATTTTGGATAAAAATTTTTATGAATAATTCCTTCCCCCCATTTTCGATGTTTAAGGTTGAAATTGCAAAAATAGGGTTTAAATTCATCGATTGGAAACTTTTAACCAAAAATGATTGTATATAAATAAAAGTCTAAAAAAATTACGTAACATTTTGGGAAAGCAATTATAAACATAAGGGGGGGGGGGGAGGTATTTTTCAAGAAAATAAAATTTACTACAATTTTTTGTGAATAATATTTTTCTTCTTACAGAGTGAGGGTGGAAGAGTATCTAAGTTAGCATCCCGTTGGAACTGCAGATGCTGGATTTGGTTGGCGATGCTCATTGTAGTTCTTACATTCGTAGGTAATATAATCTTCCTCCAATTCAACCATTTTGGAAGAAAACAAATTTTGTTTTAAGAATTCGGCAAATATCTTGGCAAAAACTTTACTTATTTGAACTCGCTTACCACAGTAGTCCTCATTTATTTGAACTGCAACAGATCTTACTACATATCGCTAAAGCACCATCATTATGTAAAATCCAAAAATATTTTTTATAATCCTCGAAAGTCAGTCCCCCGGTTACAGGATGGCGGCCTTCCGTTAGCTATTGCGAGGGAAGGAATGTTGCTTCCCTATCCAATAGGGAGTTGTAAAAAATTTAGGGTAATGGTGAAAAATTTGAATTTCTTGATAATAATACTTTGTATAACTCTAACAGCAATCGAAATCTAATTACATCTTATCTTATCTTTTTTTAGGAATGGTTTTATTGATGAAATTGTTTAAGAAAACGATAGTCTTGGAAACCTCTAAGAAGACAGAACTCTGAATAAAAACTGTGATACTGAACGATTTCTGAGTGAATTTTAGAGTTTATTTTTGTTAAAAGATGCATTTTCGTAATTTTAAAACGTAATCTGTAATTGTTACAAATTTTTGTTTCAAACTTGCATGTGCAAATGTTTTTTGTACATGGTATCTGATAGTGTATGTACAAATGATATATTTATATACATGGCTTCATTTTATCTATGTACAAATAATATGAACATGGTTTCAGTCAATCTATTTACAAATAGTATATTTATGTACATGGTTTCAGTCAATCTATGTACAAATGGTATATTTATTTACATGGTTTCAGTCAAACTATGTACCAATGATGTAGTTATGTACACTATCCAAATAACATAATCTATGTACATTGTTTCAGATAATCTTTGAACAGATGGTGAGTAGTATAATGGAAGATGAGGATAGAGAAGTAGAGAAGACTGAGGATAAACAAATTCAAACATTAGAAATACAATCTATACAGTAAGCTAACTTTTCCTAACTATACTTTATTGATTTTAATGACACTCAATAAGAAGTCAGAAGTACATATACACTAGTATGATCAGAGCTGGAAACTTATTATTGGATAATTTTGAAGTTTTAATCCTGATCGCTTTATCTCGATATCCACGTTGGACCCTTAATTTGAGGATCAACAAAAAACTAGACATTTCCATATCTTCATTACAAATATTCCTACCATGATCAAAGCTCCTTTCAACTTCTGATTGGGTACGATTATCATGCGGGACATCGAATAAAGATCAAATTAACCTGCAGGTTAACAAAAGATCAAGATCAACCATTGATCTCGATATCCACAATAAAAGAATATCTTGTATAATAAAATTAACCAGTCAATCTTCATTCTATATGAATCAATGCTGAGTCCTCGTCAAAATATAATAAATATTTAGGTATGAGGGATACAAGTGTGAGCTACAGATGCCAGATATTATGAGATTAATTCAAGCAGATCTTTCAGGGAATCAATCAATCAATCATCCCATTGTTAAAATAAAATTTAAGAAAACCACGAACATTTTTTTGCTTTTAATGTATTTGCTACGAGAATCTTAAAACATTTATATTATTTTTTTAAAAATAAATATCACACTTGTCACACAATACATTACAATGATTTAACACTCTCCAACAAGATATTGAATATGCAGCATGTTCTTTTATTAACATATCATTATAAAAACATCTCGTAAAAAATATATTGTACACGATAAAGGCGTTTTTGATGTTTTGAAAGGTATCCATTGTAGAAACCCATGCTCAATATATCATATTTGTTCGTAAAAAAAACTATTTGTTTCCAGTGGGACATGTTGTATCTGCATTGTAGTGTTCATTAACGTTGTACATTTACACTTTTAGCAGACGATTAAACCCCTAAATCCTAAGGGGTTTCTTTAAAAATTTAAAGATCAACGATTAGAGCCATTGAAAATTTAAAAAAAAATTCTTATTTTAAATCAGCTTCATCTTTAAACTGTGTCGTCCCTGTAAATAATCTTGCAAGATGCACTGGTGCTATTATATTTTGGTTGGTTGATTGATTGATTGGTTGGTTGATTGATTGATTGGCTGATTGATTGATTGGCTGATTGATTGATTGATTAATTTGATCAGAACCTTACAGTATTTATACATACCGATACTTTATACACAACTGGCCAAACCTCTGCTATATTGCTAGGAATGTATATTCTTAGCTTTCATACATATTTGATAAGTTTTAAGATAAAAAATTTAAAAAATGTAAAATGATTGCAATGTTCATAAGATTAAATGAATCATTTTTCATTAATTTCATAATGAATCATTTTTCATTAATTTCATAAATTCTAGGTTGAATCATATACTCTCCAAGCACAGATTTTAAAACCTTGTTGAATCATTAACACAGTCAATCTTTTATAAAAAAAACTTAAGAATATGGATTTAGGCATGGTTCTAAATACGTTGGAGCCATTGTATGTAAACTTGATTATCACAAGGTAATTTTAAAGTGGGTAATTTATCGGTATACTTAGAAATTTGAATGGCTTTTATTAGCAAAAAAAATGTGAGTTAATTGTTAATTGTTGTTTCCCTTACAATTTGTTACTTACTTTTTACTTACATTCAGAGTACACTACGACGCATTCTTAATTTATGATTTTTTCTAACTCCTGATTCCATTAATGTGTAAATTTTTATTTCTAGAATTGTACACATTCTTTTGATGTTATGATATTTTAAGGGTGCTGTGACGAAACGTGGTTATATAGCAATGTTAGCAGTCGACGAGAATTATAGAAAGCGAAAAATTGGCGCAACTCTAGTAAAAAAAGCAATTGAGGTAAAAATTGTTTAAAAAGGAAAAAATATGATGTGCATAATTGATATGTTCTTTTTAGTTAATCCATTTGTGATGCATTTAAATTAGTTTTTTTTCTATTCCTTTGTTTTGGGTAAATTTTCTATTGTTTTTTTCATATCGTAAAAACAAAAATCTTGTACATTTTCGAATCCCTTTTTTGCAGCCTGATGGACAGACTGATGGTGTATACCATTGATTGATATGTTATACTTTAGATATTAAATAAAGCAGAATTCTTAGTTTGAACTATCAATCAAAGATCTACGACACTAGGTTGCATATTTAAAAGGATAAACAAATTGGAGTTTCATAATTAGTTCCATTCTCCGACTTTCGAGTTTTAATGATTCTTGGTTATCATTATTATTGTTATTATCATTTTACTATTTTATAGGCTATGATTCTGGATATGGCCGACGAGGTTGTGCTTGAGACCGAGGTTACAAACAAGGCCGCCCTCCAGCTCTACGAACGCCTCGGGTTTGTCAGGGATAAGAGATTGTTCCGATATTATCTCAACGGCGTGGATGCTCTCAGATTAAAACTCTGGTTGAAATAAACAATGAATTATTTCGTATTAAAATGTCTCAAATATTCAAATAAGATTTGTGAAATCGAACCGGTGTGGCGTTATTTCTGGATAAACATTAAGTAATGGTAGTAGACTCTACGTAGCAAATTTTCCCCGGCATCCGCGCATTTTTTTGCAGTTTACGACAATTATATTCATTAGAAATTATTTTTATACACTTAAATATAAAATTTATACTTTATAATGCGAGTACAGAAGTAATTAACTATACATTAAACTCTCATTAGTTGCAAGTATCAAAATCGAAACAATTAACTTAAGTAAACTAAGTTGTAATATCGATCCATAATGTTAAAACAATTGATTTTTACTGTCTGTCGCTCAGCAAAACTTGATTGATTCTCAAATATGAGAAATACTTTCACTTAATTTACTGTTTACATTCACAGAATTGTGCGCGAATGCCGCGGAAAATTTGCTGCGTAGAGACTACTACCATTATTTAACGTTTACCCAGAAATAACGCCACACCTGTGAACCATGGAACTCTGCCATGATTTTGATCCTAAGCAACTCTCCCGAGGTTCTGTTTATCCTCCAGTATTTATTTATTTGTTATAGAAGTGTATCATCATTCTTTTCCTTTGTTGAAAAAAAATTATTGTTAAAATTGCGTTTCAGATAAAATGTCCGCTACGGAGTTAGACGGGGTGCTAGAGCCCCTAGCTTCCGAAGAACCCGGAGTTTGGAAACCCCAGCAGTTCCTGGAACCCTATCTTGCAGAAGGAAACAACGTTTTACCTTTTTTATTGTTAAATAAAGTGGAAACCAAGAACAGTTGATTGTATGGATGTCGTCTTCTTTATTTCTTTTTATTCTGAAATATCACAGGGATTTTTTTTTTAACTGATATGTTAAGATTTTAAAAATTAAATTAGAACTGAAAAAATTTAATGTTGTGAATCTCGGAATCAAGCATTTACCATCCATCTACTGCCAGATCAACGGATTAGTTTAATTCCATTTTGATATCCCGTGATGGTCATACCCTGCAGGGATACTTTTAACTGAGATTCAAGATTACGAGGCTATTAAGGCGCTTCGCGTCCATCTCTTTTTTTCAATTTTCAATAGTTGCTCATTGCTCAATCTTTCCCTAGGGTCATGTGAGGTCCCACACAAGATTTGGGCCCAAACGGTTCAGCTATGGCCTGTGTTAATGTTTATTGTACACAAACGGGCAAAAAAACATGTACAGACAAGTTTTTTTTTTATAAAAAAGGGAAACTACTGTCATTTACCGTATTTTCTGTTTTTTTTTTTTTTTTTTATACTGCTATGCAAATTACAATAGTTCACTGAGTTAGTTTTTTTTTCTCGCGGTAAATACAAACTTGACTACGGATAGTTAATCGTAGAGTAGTAAATGAAAGATAAATAAAAATTCATTCTCCCCTCCCTAAACCTTGATAACATCAACATTCAACAAGTGTTACCTTATATCTTCTTTCTTTACAAGTATTTGTTGATTTTGGTAGATTTTGAGGTAGAATCTCATGCAACCAGTATACTACAGCAGGGTAATATTAATCAAGAGGTAGGTTTAATAACTAACCCGGATGTAGAACTTTGAAATGATTGGTTCTAGAAGCTTTTTAGTGTGGGGGGGGGGGGGTCGAACAATTATACATCAATTGCCCCCCCCCCCTTACTCATCGATACTCCCCTAAAATTTATGTATTATCCCTAATTCCGCGATCGGCGATAGCATACCCTCCTAAACTATGTAACCCCTGATTATGAAACCATAGTAAAATTAAGTACAATGTACATAATGTTATGAAGTTGCGATTGAGGAAGGGGCATGATAGTTAAGGCCCTCCCTGTACGCTTGGTCCAGCACTACAAGTATCAAATATAAATTTGATGTAGCTGCCAACTTGGAATCTTTTTATTTACAATTTCATGCAGTTGAAATTCACAAGTTCACAACTTTATAGTCCATGAATTTTACCTTTTATTCGGTGAACAAGACGTGTCCTTGAATTTTAGCTTTTATTAGATAACCAAGACGTGTCCTTGAATTTTACCTTTTATTAGGTAAACAAGACGTGTCCTTGAATTTTACCTTTTATTAGCTGAACAAGACGTGTCCTTGATTTTTACCTTTTATTAGCTGAACAAGACGTGTCCTTGAATTTTACCTTTTATTAGCTGAACAAGACGTGTCCATGAATTTTACCTTCTATTAGGTGAACAAGACGTGTCCTTGAATTTTACCTTTTATTAGGTGAACAAGACGTGTCCTTGAATTTTACCTTTATTAGGTGAACAAGACGTGTCCTTGATTTTTACCTTCTATTAGGTGAACAAGACGTGTCCTTGAATTTTACTTTTTTTAGGTGAACAAGCTGAGTATTGCGTTATCTGACCTGGACTCTACTATACAGTCTCATGTATCTCTGCACTACAATGATCTACTATCCAGGGCTGTATCCAACTCACAGCTAGAGCAGAGCCTAGCTGCCATGGCAACGCATATTGGTAGGAACTAACATTTTGTGTGGATTCTTACTTTCTTCTTGGATTATTTGTCGTTGTATTTTTCTGACCTCGTCATGATTTCTCACTTCTTATGAAAAGAAATCTCAGGCAAGAGGGTGTAGTGTTAAAAAAGATTAGATTTGTTACTCAGTTTTTTTTGCACTTTTACACCCATTTCAATTACTGCTTCCTTCACCTCATAAGTTATACATTTAATCTTCCTAGAAAAAAAACTATTCATATTTTGATCCTAATTCATGATTAACCAACCAATCCATTTTACCAGGGAGTTTGGAGTTGAGCAGTGAGAGATTACGATCTAGAGTAGCAGAACCTTATGGCAAGATTAAACAGGGAACACAGAGTCTGGAGAGATTACAGAACACTGCTGATATCCTCAGGTAAGATAAATCAGGGAACACAGAGTCTGGAGAGATTACAGAACACTGCTGATATCCTCAGGTAAGATAAATCAGGGAACACAGAGTCTGGAGAGTTTACAGAACACTGCTGATATCCTCAGGTAAGATAAATCAGGGAACACAGAGTAATGAGAGATTACAGAACACTGCTGGTATCTTCAAGTTAGATAAATCAGGGAACACAGAGTATTGAGAGATTACAGAACACTGCTGGTATCTTCAGGATAGATAAATCAGGGAACACAGAATATTGAGAGATTACAAAACACTGCTGATATCCTCAGGTTAGATAAATCGGGGAACACCGAGTGTTGAGAGATTACAGAACACAGCCGATATCCTTTCTAGGTTATATAAATCCGGCCCCAGTCAAAAAGTTCAGAAATAGTACTTTTCTGGGTGGACAGAGTCTCTCTTTAAATTATTTTTAACTTGATTGCTTCCCCAAGATAAAAGGTGGTATTTAATACTGAAAATATTATTTTTTTGTCAGTCATGGGCCTGTGCCTTGACAGTCGGAATGTTGGCACACACAAGACTTTTTTCATTTCCAACTGGATGATAGTTGACTGGTTATTAATCAAATTTATTTAAATGTTCAGACGAGTTATCCGTATCCTTCAGCTGTCTAAACGCTTATCTGTACAGCTGGCTGGAACTGGGGACCTAGATCTTGCTAAAGCAGCGTCAGGTACTTAATAAATACAGGGGACTAGATGACGACTTTCAAGATGTTACATCTGCTTCTTTATATCTGATAATATTTGACTTTGATGATTATATAGAACGTTTCATTTATAAAGCAAAATATCATTTAGATAAAACTTTAAACTTCGTTTTTACTTGTTTCTTGGCAAACTTACTCTAAAATAATTTCCCATCAAACTGGAGATATTTGAAGAAAGCTTCTTGTTTAAGGTCTAGCTGAGCTTGGAGAACTGGTTGAAGGGGATCTATCTGGTATTGAAGTGGTGGAAGGAGAGGTTCGTCTATTTTATTATATTTATAACTTGCAAGTTTATAACCAGAAGGAAAACCAGAAATTATATATTTTCTGAATCTGAAAATTAACCCCCAAAAAATTTTAAAAAGAAAATATAGTGGAACTCATAAAACTGTGGAATAGGAAGACGACTTTTAAACTCATATTTTATAACTTAAAAACGCAGCAAGTGTGCAGTGTAAACAGACCCATTTAAATTAACTACTTGATTTTTGCTACTTGTAAAACTATTTGCTTTAAAATAACATTTAATAAACATTATAATACTTGATATGTCGTCTTTCATCACCACAGATTTACGGGTCTTATAGTGCCTCAATTGTAAATTAAATACTATCCAATCTTAGGTTCGGAGAATGTGGGCGTGGAGAACAGATGTTGAGAGACAGGGGGAGACACTGCTCACCAGAGGTATGGAGACTGCAAACCAGTCCCATCTTGGCACAGGACTACAGGTATAATTATAGTTTTATTGACTGATCCGAAATAATCTATCAACTTGTGACAAACATCACTACCAATGATTCTCTCAGTCCTACTACTATGGTGGAATCTTATTTTTCATCTGCTGCCCTTGGTATAATTAAAAAAAACATAGGAGATCAAGGGAAAATCCAGTGTTTAGAGTTGTCTTTGAATTTGGGATTAATTTCTACTGCAAAACATCCCTCGTTGCAGATAATTTACAGGCAGTATTAGCTTTTTGAACCCTTATTCATCTATAATACCGGCCTTAACTTCCTTGTTAAGTATTTATAAACGTTTAAAATGTGACTAAATAAGCCAAATAAAATAAATACTATTTTATTTTAAGGTTTTCTACAATCTTGGAACTCTTCCTGAGGTTCTAACTAAACTGTTGGATACTTCTCTCACTAGGCTTAAAACTCAAGCCTCTGATCTGCTAGATATTAGGTTGGTTTCAGCCTCACTCATTTTTTAGAGACATTTTACTTAAATGCCTTCAACCGACATTTATATGATAATTTTAGAAATGATAGTTTTAGGGAAAAAAAACTTTATGGTTTTGCCTTGTCAAGTTTAACACCAGATTTCTTAACATGTTTTGTGAAATATTTTCAAAAATATTTCTTTTGTCTTCTAGGAAGATATCTGCTGCGGCGGATGAGGCGGGTAAAGGCGGAAGTAAGAATGGTGGAGCTAGTAAAGGAGGTGGACCTGGTAAAGCGTCGATGCCAGCACCAAGTAATATGGCAGCATTTAGAGCAACTCTCTGGACAAATCTGGATCAGGTTTCTAATCGATTTTATTCAAAAATTAACCTGTCTTAAAGAGTGGCATTCCTGATTTACAACGATACCATTTATCTAATCCGTGATGTGAAAGATTTTTTCGTTTTTCAAGCTAGAAAATTGTTTAATTTTAAACTTACTTGTTAATCAATTTTAATAAGAGAAATTTATGGATATCTTATGCATTCTTGATCCGACAACGCGTTTAAGGCTACTGTTGTGAATCGGACATGCCTTTTAAAAATGGAAGGACACTGAAGTATCATAACGACAGTCTTTTTAATTGTGTTTCACAGGTTCTTGAATTAGTGCGGACTACAATATCTCGGATTCTCCAGCTTCAGAAATTATTAGCTAAGAAACAAGATCCTAATACACATCTGCCTTACATATCCGCCCTCGCTCAGGTTAGATACACATCTGCCCTACATATCCGCCCTCGCTCAGGTTAGATACACATCTGCCTTACATATCCGCCCTCGTTCAGGTTAGATACACATCTGCTCTACATATCCGCCCTCGCTGAGGTTAGATACACATCTGCCTTACATATTTGCCCTCGCTCAGGTTAGATACACATATGCCTTACATATCCGACCTCACTCAGGTTAGATACACATATGCCTTACATATGCGTCCTCGCTCAGGTTAGATACACATATGCCTTACATATCCGCCCTTGTTAAGGTTAGATACACATATGCCTTACATATCGGCCATCGTCCAGGTTAGATACACATCTGCATTGCATACCCCTCCTTGCTCAGGTTAGATACACATCTGACTTACATATCCGCCCTCGCTAAGGTAAGATGCACATTACACATCTACCTTACACATTCTCTCTTTACAAAATATAATTAAACAATTAGAAGTAAATTACTTTTGTGGTATTCTATCCTAAAAAATCCACTAGAACCCAAGTAGACAAAGGTAAGTGGTTTGAAATCGACCCTGGAGCTCAACGTAACATAGCCTTCAGGACATGATACTTTGACTGTAGGTTGAATGTTAATAATTTTAATTATCCTAGGAGGGGCATGATCCCAGTATAGTTGATCTATCCTGGAGTAAAGTAACGAAGATTCTTCGTGATGTTCTTGTTACATCAGCCTCTAAATCCAACTTCATTAAGCAGGCACGTTGCAAATTTTTAAGGGAGTTCTAGTTCCAAAAATATAATTATTTTTTTTACCGTCCTTGATTTTCTTGTCTTTTTTGTTTTTGTGCAGGCGTTTGAAGGAGAATATCCTAAAATGCTTCGTCTTTATCTTGAAACCTGGAGCAAGCTTAGATTAAGTGCTGTACAAGTAAACACTACAGGTATCCTCCCTAGTCCCTACCCACTGCCTTCCCTGTTCCCTGACCCCCTACACTTTCCCACATTTCTATGCATATAATAACTGTTGCTCAATAAACTAAATATAACTAAAACATAAGTTACTGAGCTCTCGAGATACTTTTGTAAAGTAAAAAATTTACAATGTATCTGAAGTTTTTAATCTATGTTTTTTCTTCTTTTGATTTACTAAATACATAGCTAAAATCTTATGTAAAAATAATTTTGTTTAACAAGGACTGATTATGGATGAATCTCTGATAATAAAAGATCCATTTTTAAACGAAGAACTTGGAGCAGATTTAAGGTAATCTATTCTTAAGATGTAATTCGTTTTTAATGGAGTTTTAGATAGAGTTTTTAATGGAGTTTTTAATGGAGTATTTAATTGAGTTTTTAATGGAGTTTTAAGTAGAGTTTTTAAAGGAGTTATAATGAAGTTTTTAATGGAGTTGTTAATGGAGTTTTTAATGGAGTTTTTAATGGAGTTTTTAATGGAGTTTTTAATGGAGTTTTTAATGGAGTTTTAAATAGAGTAGTTTTTAATAGAGTTTTAATGGAGTTTTTAATGGAGTTTTTAATGGAGTTTTAAATAGAGTTTTAAATAGAGTTTTAAATAGAGTTTTTAATGGAGTTTTTAATGGAGTTTCTTTATGGAGTTTTTAATGGAGTTTTTAATGGGGTTTTTAATGGAGTTTTTAATGGAGTTTTTAATGGAGTTTTTAATGGAGTTTTAAATGGAGTTTTAAATGGAGTTTTAAATGGAGTTTTAAATGGAGTTTCAAATGGAGAATTTATATGGAGATTTTGTGGAGTTTTAATGAAGTGTTTAATGGAATTTTTCACAATGTGATCATTGATTGATAGAAGTAAGACCTGCAGGCGAGGACGGTAGTGTTTATATCCATTTTAAGACGCATTATATAAGATAGTTAATGAACTAGAATTTTTGTAAACAATAACAAAGATTTTGAACAAGGCTCGGATTTCTAGGGTACAGGAAAAGAGGGTAATCACTGTTTACTACCCGTTTGTTAACGATATAACTAGTTTAAAAGTTGTTGCAATACGTCATTGATAAAATGTAATTAATTCCTATCGACCTCTTTCTCTCGGTATTGATAAATAAAATAAATAATTAAAAGGAAAACCTAAATTGTTTTTCGTAAATAGTTTAAATTATCTATTCTAGTGAGAGTTTGGAACAGTTTGAACACGCCTATCTTGCCAGATCTCTCTCCAGGCTCTTCGATCCGGTCAACCTCATGTTCAGCGGAGGTAAGTAACTTTTTGTTCTTCATTTTACTTTTTGAGATGTTTCGTTTAACAGTTTATTTTAAATAAAAAAAGTTTTAAACAAAATTTTAAAAAAAGAGCAGTGAATTTTTTGGTCTGACTGTTGTATCTTCTTTTTAGCTGATCATACATCTGTTTTCTGTTCTTCTCTTTTAGATCTACACAATCTAATCTTTTGTAGACAAGGGAAAATGCATTTTGACGCATATTTCTGATTATTCGTTCTTGTTTATGTATGGTCTGACTAAGCATTCCCATTTCAGGATACAGCTTTCTCAGCGCCTATGCAATGTATAGCTTACAATAACAGCTTGGGAGATATATTAATTTCTGTTTTCCCAAGTAGAGTGTACTGCCATGTTATTCCACACAGGGTTCTGTTCAGCCACAAGAACTGGAGAGAGTTGTATAAGAACCTGACTGTTCAGATCTCCCTTGATGCTTACACACATAGAACCAGATTCATTTGAAAGAATTAAAGTCTTTCCGACGAGTTCGGATACTTAATAACAGCTACCCAGGCTTGATATTAAGGGGTTTATTTAAAGCTGCTAGTAGTAAATTCTGGATCTAGCTAGTGTACAATCCCAGAAATTTTGTTACTTTTTGAGCATCTGGGAAAAGTAGGGGTCTTGTAAAACACACTCTTTGGAATCTTTTATGCACTCGTTTTGAAAGAAGATGTAGGTTTAGAGTTTATTTTCATCTCTCAACACGGTGAAAAACTAAAAATACAAAAATTAGTTTTTAATAAAATTAATTAAAATTTTGTTCCAAGCTTTTATATTTCTAAAATTTCATTAGATAGACTTCTAAGCTTGAAGTTTATTTTGAGTTGAAATTGTCCATCCTTGAATCTTATTTTCATCTTGTTCTGGTTCCTGCAGTCTGATCCTTAAATAGTTAAAGGTATTACAGCTAGGGTAAAAACCTCCATTCTCCAGGTTAAAACAGCGTGAAAAGATTAATGTAGGCCTTCAATGTTTCTTGTAGTTCCGTTTTTTCTTTTCCATTTGTGTGCAGGAGGTGTTTACTGTTTACCCCCCCATATACACCCCTGGCTAAAGTTTCTCTAGTTTTCCATTTTCTCTCTCTCGCCCTGTATCTCTGAATACCCAGTTGTTGCCTCTCTAAAAGCTGAATGTACAGTGTACACTGACTTTTTGAGATGTTTAAAATGCAATCGGAAACTAGTCATAAATCTGTCTAGGGGGCTTTTTATCTTTCTATAATGAGGGGGGGGGGGGCTCATCAACCAATGGGACCCCAAAATCCCCTTGAAACCATAGATGGATGCTGAGCCACCATAACCCCTGAGGACGCCTCTGCTGGAAGTGGTATTTTTTGTCTTGTGTAGGGTTGAACCAAAATAAGCTGTGTACGAAAATTTTTTTTCAAGTAAATCTCAAAAAAGTTTAACAACATATTGGAGGAAAAAAAGAGGATTGTTAGCATTTGTTTCTCAAGGAATAGCTCATTTTCGTACCCTTTCCTCTTATAAAAATAATTGTTCAGTTTTGAAATGCTAGATTTTAAAACATATTTAAACAAGAAGGAATTATGAGAAAATGTCCAACGTACTTCTGAAGGTCGCGTTTTCATCGAAACTTAAAAATAAATCAAATCTTGCTTTATGTTTTGTAAAGTAATGTAATATATACTTATGTCAAGTAAACATCCATTCTCGTTGCTGTTGCATTTTTGGCGGCGGTCCGCAATCTTGCAGAACATTTTTTATTCATTCATTTTTAGTAACTTATTTGTGTAGGTGGAGTGCCAAGCCAGACCGAGGTGTCAGGTATATTCACTACCCTCAGTAGTGAGCTCAATATCGGAGCAGTTGAACCTAGGCTTCAGGCTTCAGTCCTCAGTAATGTTTCTAAAACGATTAAACTGTTCTGTGTGAAATGTGAGCAGGCGGCGAAGGCAGATTCAGATGCCAGTCAAGTTATAGGTAACAATAGTAAAATTGATAGTTATCATAAGAAAACTCATATTCTCGCCCCACTCCCCCCCCCCTCCATTTGAAATTCAGTTCTCTAAGTCCTAGTATGCATGTAAGGCCAGTTGTTAATTGTTTTTGGTTTTTTTTTTTAATTTTTCTGTCCTGCCTTATTTCCGCTAGTCGCTGGTGATCAATCATATGTAAGTTAGAAAAACTTTACTACAGTGATAACCAGAAAACTCTGAAATAAAAAGACGACTTTTTGACTCAAGTTATGACTTTGAATAGTCCAATAAGCATGGGACACAGCAATTGTGCAGTGTAAACAGACCCATTTCATTTAATTAGTGATTTGATAAACGTCTAGTAAATCAATTTTTTTTGTAACAACATCAAATAGGCTTAAGTATTGCAATAAAATCGTCTTCTTATTTCAGAGTTTTCTGGTTATCACTGTACATATTTTTTTACTTCTTGGATAAGAAGATGATAACATTCTTATAATTGACGAATTCCTAATTCTAAGTCTATCGTCCCTGAAAGCCAACAATTTATTCGTTATCATAATCTAGGTTACCCAACAGTTGCGCAGAAGCAGAATGTCGAGCTTGTGAATATTTTGGCAGATTTCCAGGTTTTTAAATATTCTTTTTTATTCAATAATATGTTTTGCAGACTTTTCAGAGCCCTTATGCATATACTTCTGGGGTTTGGTGTCTTCTTAAAATCTTCTCGACCAATCAAGAAAACTAAAAATCGTTGCTTTGTAGATTCTAAGAAAAATGTTTGAACTAAAATAAGATTTTGTTGAAACCAAGTGGTTTGACTTCTCGTAGATTGGGTTAACCCGTCTTGTTGCTGAAAATAAATCTAAGAAGATAGAAACTCTGCTCGAGGTTGGAAAAGGAATCAGGTATATTTACATCTATAAAATGCAGGGGTCCATTATGGATTTTATCCTTCTTTCTCTTACAAAAATATTGTTAGAAAAGAATAGATAACATTAGGTTTAACAATGAAATTTCTCGTTTGAGGTATTTAAAAAAAGAGGATAAACTTGTCAGTTTAAGTTAACATTTTCCACTAAAAATCTTAAGAAATTGTACTTTAAGTAAATTGTAAAATGAATATATTAATCTCAAAGAAAGTGGTTAACACGTATAAAAAGTTACCTAGAAATATTTTAATTTCTTTGCCCCCAGTCCTCGCAGTTCAAATTTAAGTTTGTTGTTTAATGAGGTGGACAAGGTAGACTAGGTGGACAAGGTACACTAGGTGGACAAGGTAGACTAGGTGGACAAGGTACACTAGGTGGACAAGGTAGACTAGGTGGACAAGGTAGACTAGTTGGACAAGGTAGACTAGGTGGACAAGGTAGACTAGGTGGACAAAGTACACTAGGTGGACAAGGTACACTAGGTGGACAATGTACACTAGGTGGACAAGGTACACTAGGTGGACAAGGTACACTAGGTGGACAAGGTACACTAGGTGGACAAGACACTAGGTGGACAATGTACACTAGGTGGACAAGGTACACTAGGTGGACAAGGTACACTAGGTGGACAAGGTACACTAGGTGGACAAAGTACACTAGGTGGACAAGGTACACTAGGTGGACAAGGTACACTAGGTGGACAAGGTACACTAGGTGGACAAGGTACACTATGTGGACAAGGTACACTAGGTGGACATGGTAGACTAGGTGGACTAGGTACACTAGGTACACTAGGTGGACAAGGTACACTAGGTGGACAAGGTACACTAGGTGGACAAGGTACACTAGGTGGACAAGGTACACTAGGTGGACAAGGTACACTAGGTGAACAAGGTAGACTAGGTGGACAAGGTACACTAGGTGGACAAGGTAGACTAGGTGGACAGTAGACGAACAACTTAAATGCATAAATATATATATATATTTAATTTGAGCGAGAAAATCAGTGTTTCGTTGATTTAATCTTTGCAATTTTTGTTTATCTTTTTTAATTAATTGTTTTGTAAATTCTTGAAAATTTGTATTTTATTTTTGTTTGCGCTCTTTTTTCACAGTAGATTCTTTTTTGCGTAGTCGGTAAATTACAAATATTGTTATATTTATTTATTAATTTTTAGTGCCCAAATGGTCTCTACGATCGCCCCTCTGTTGTCCTCTATCGAGGACGCTGTTGAGGCCATCCTGCTGACGGCCCACAAGGAGGAGTTTGGACAGGAGGAGAACAGTAAACAACCTCCTTGCTCACCTTATATGAAGGAGCTACAAGCTTTCCTTGAGAGAATATCTAAGGATTTTCTTCAGCATTTCACATGCAAGGTAAATCTTAAAGCTTAGAAAGGTTAATTTTCCAAAAAGAAGCAAAAACTGTCAAATGTCACTGGCTTGTCTCCCACTTCTGGGTTTACATTCAGCTCACAACTGAGTTAATGCAGGAGAACCAAGACTACCTATATAAAGATGCGGCAACGGAAAATCTACGCAAATTCTATTCACTTTGGTCTAATAAAGATTGTAAAACAAATGTCGTCATCTGTAATGAATAAAGGCAGTCTTTGCTTCCTTGGAAGTTTCATTCCATTTAATGATTTATACTTTTTAACCCAAATCCCAACAAATCAGTTGCCGAGTTAATGGGTTAGATATGCATACATTTATGTAAAATTATTTATTCGCAAATATGATGAACCAAAGACGACATTAACTTACAATTTTTAACGTTTTTTTATTTGTGTTCACTTTTAGCACAAAACATTCACTATTAATTGTGTTAAACTGCAGTTATTTTAATGTTGGTTGTTGAACGCTCAAGCAACCAAAATATCCAATCATGTCAAATACAGCTGTACAGAGCGTGCACAATAGTCAGATAAATTTCAATTGCATCATCTTTATTTATAGAGTCTTTGATGAGAACTATAAACGGACGGGAGCTCAAGCCAAATCACAGATTAAGTGTTGATAATAGCGATTATAATCATTAAACTTTCCTAACACATGATATCAAATGAAAACAAATTTTAAGGCTTAGTCGATTTTTCGTTTCTTATTTTTAGGATTTCCTTGATGGAGAATTGCGTCCTCTAGCAGAAAAGATTATTAATGAATTCGTCTTACATGCCAGCCTCATCCGTCCTTTAGGTTAGATAAGATCAATTAATTACTTTCCTCCAACAATACTTTTTTAATCTTATACAGTGGTCAGCATAAATATATATTTATATCAATACAGTGTCAGTAACTAAAATGTTGATATAATACCGTATTGAGATATATGTCAGCCTCTGTATTATATCACTATTTCTGTAAACGATTTTGTATTGATATATATGCCGATCTTTAAAACCTGATATCGTAGAGTTTTGATTTTCAAACTATGAATTCTGAGAAAGTAAATAGTCAAAGCCTGAAATATCAGGTTGCAAAGATATGGAGGATAGAAAGCTAGAGTTTTAGGCAAGTAATCTGTTAAATTTTCCTCTGAAAATATAGTTATCTTTTAACACGTGATTTTAGGTGCTGGTGGTGCACTGAGGCTTGCCAGTGATTGCGCGCAACTTGAGTTTGCGCTGACCCTGATCCTAGGCCCATCAGGATTTAGTAGCTCCGGTCCAACCGGACTCAATGCTATTGGTCCAGCCTACCAGCTTCTCCGGTCTTACAGGGCTCTGCTCTTCCTAAACCCAGAGGATATTCAGAAATACGACGGTAGGAATATGGAACATGGCTGTAGTCAGAAGCAGAACCCAAATAATAATAAGAATTTAGAATTTCCGGGCCTGGGAAGTAATTTTATTTCAATTCTTGAAAGGGGGGGGGAAGGAATTGGACATCAACTTGAAAACATTACCAATTTTTGATAAATTATTTTACTCACAAAAGTAATTTATTAATACTTAGGTCTGGGTTCTGTTGTTCCGTACTCGGTAGGATTACATCTCCTTATCTCCAGATGTCCACCTGTTATGCCTTCTCCTCAGGCTTCTCTGGGTTGGGGGTTAGCGAGGTAAAAATAAATTATCCTGAATTACATCTGTCTAGTCCTCCTCTTTAAAAGAATAGAGGGGTTTCAAAGAACAAACAATGCCCTTAAACTTGTGTTAGTGTACAATGCACTGTCAAGTTACAATTTTCTAAGTTTTTCTTAGCAAACAGCAATTCAACTAGGTATTGAGCCGGAGATAACACAGCAAATTGATTTTTTTTTGTTAGATTCCTTACAATTTACAATTTTAACCAACCGTAGATATGCACGATCCTTTTATGAATAGATATTTTAAAACTATTTTATATGAAGACTAAGTTTAACCTTCAAGTTGTCATGTTAGAAGATTTTTTTGTCGTCTTTAAATTATCATCTCTTGTTGTTAACCCTATATATACGATAATAATCAAGTTAAATTGACCGGGGTCTTCTAGGTATACAAGGTGGCTCCAGAAACATGATGAAAGAGAAAAACTGCTTCTGATTCAGGTACAAAATAAATACAAAAAATTGTCCAACATGTAATCTTATTAAAATATTGTATAAAACAATTTTATAATATTCTTTAGGGCACATTAGAAGCATATGTAGCCGGGTCTAGGAGTAGGTCGGATAAGAACTATATTCCTCAGTATCCAGTCCTACTTCAGATACTACAGAAGGGATTGGAATCTTGATGTTTGAGTTAATTGTGTGATACGTACAGTATACAGTGGTACCCATAAAGCTTTGGAATAGAAAAATGACATTTAACCAATCATGTCTGTATTTGATCTTTTAAAGCAATTAGTTTTATCAATGGGTAAAAATTATCTTATTAAGTTGATTATGGGTCCCGCTGTACAATTGTTATTAATATAGTAGTTTCACTTAAAAATTTGTAAGAACAGCTATTGAATTGAGATTGTACTACAAGGTTTATTGAATGTTTTTAGTTGAAATGTTTACATTCCGATTATTACTATTACTATTTATATTTTATGTATTTGATTAGTTTTATCTCTGTGTTATACTGTCTATCATCAACCAACGCGTGATATTTGCAAGTTTGGAAAATAAATTTTTAAATAAAATTAATGAGATGATTAATGGCTAATGGCTATAGGTCAAGGGCATTTTGGTTTTGGCTCTTGTTCATTTGAGTAAAATAATTACTAAAAGATCAAAGGTTCTTATTAGTGATAAATTAGTGAGAAATATACAATTACAGATGTAAATTGGGGTTTTAAGGACATAATTGAAATTTCAAAAGATTGAATTACCAAAAGATTTATATAACATGTTACATTAAGAATAGTTATGGTTTTTCTGTGAATTCTGTGCGCATTCTGTAGTCAAAGCTTGATGTTAATGTCAGAGAAAAGAGAGAACTGAGATATACGAAAGGCAAGAATATGCCATATTTTCTACAAGTTCCATTGTATTCAACTGGACTCTAGAGTACTCAACCAATAAGCGGACGTCAACATTCCATTCAGGAATATTAAGGATCCTTTGGATGTGAAATAGAAAACCTTCAATAATAGACTAAATTCACCAATTTTGTGTTTCATGTGTTAGGATAGAGTATCTCTTTAAAAAGTGTAAAACACACGGCGTACGAAAGCTTTTGTGTAGGGGGGGGGGGGAGCAATTTTTGCGCGCGTGAGTGCAAAATTTTTTTTGTGTCCCCCCCTTGGCAAAATTGTGATTTGTGCCCCCCCCCCCCCTTAAAAACTCCTTTTTGAATAAATATTGATACATTGTTTAACTATGTAAACTATTCGATCATATACACAGTAACACACTTCGACATATAACAAGTGTTAATAAATTCTTTATGTAATTTTCTTAAGTGGACTCATCTGCAGACAAGCCTTTTTTAATACGTTGTGCCATATAATTCACTGGGTGAAAAAATGAGATGGAAACGTTTCTTAATAAATATCTATATGTTCATAGAAACGATACATATTGTATTATTATAAATTATAAAAATGATGAAAGCTTAAAAATATTCGGCAAATGTTAAGGATAGTATAGATCGATTACCTGCAGTATACCGGGCTTAAATATAAACAAAACTAGTCCCGTTTTATATAAGTAGAAATTGACGATTATAAATGGAAGATCCATCCTGGAATGCCAGAAAGACTGTTTTGGATAGGTTCGGAAACCCTCTGGGGATGCGCACTGCTGCAAATAGGTAAAATGAGTTCGGAAGCTGTGCGGGGGAGGGATCACCATCCCTCCCTCACATGACTTTCAAATTTTAGGGTTCCTCCTCATAAGTCGGTTATTCCCACAATTGTAAACTGGAAATAAGATAAAAAATTCAAGAGTTATGAGTTGTAAGGAAAATTACAAGAAACAATTCTTAGAACTTATGATAGAAAATAGAATAATAAAATATAATAATTAATACTTGTATGATTAATTGATTAAGCTTTTTCTGGGAATGCGCAATAAAAAGCACGACGCGGCAGTTATTATAAATGTTGCGCTCGGCCTTATCTGCCTCCAGAGCATTCTGCGGGAGTGCGTATAAACTTACGCCTCATCACGGGGTGCAAACAGTACGAACTTTATCAGTATTAGTGACACACACGCGCGCAGTCAAGTTCAAACGCGCAGAGCTGGGCAACCTAGCATTTCTCTGCTCGTCAAGTGCTTCCCAAAATAAAAACATGGCTCCTGTTGGGAGTCAAAACATCGCTGTAATGGTGGAGGATTATATAAAGAATAAACCGGTAATATATTTATGGAGTATTAACAGAAATTAATAAAAAAAATCGTATATTAGGGAATTACCTCTTAACCTAAACTTAACCTTTACTAGTTCTGTTGAAAATTGTTAAATTGATGGTCTGTCCTTGCCTCCGCGCTCGACCCTTTAGCCTGTCCTAGCCGCCGCGCTCGGCCCAGAAATTGGCCTACCCTCACCTAAACCTGAAATAATACGGAAGAAAATATTTGTTTTTGTTGAAAATTGCTGAAATCTATGTCATGAACAAAATTGATATTATAAAAATCGTTATCTAGGGACAGACCCTCATATGTTATATGAAGTCGAAGTTGGACATTTACCAGCCGTGCCGCTCAGCCTCTAGCCGCAGCACTCGGCCCAGAAAATTTCATAACTAAGCCTGAAACACTTAAAATGATACAAAATTAAATTGATCAAATTAAAAAAAAATAGTTGTCGCATATAAAATGATAGAGGGGGGGGGGTTCCTATAAACGTTCTCTAGGACAGACCCTCGACAATTGATTTCCTTCTTATTTTTTAAAGAAAACATAAAAAAATTCTCAAAATATACTAGTTTTGTTGAAAATTGTCAAATTGATTGTCTGTCCTGGCCACCGCGCTCGGCCCCTTAGCCTGTCCTAGCCGCCGCGCTCGACCCAGAAATTGACCTAACCCTGAAATGCTACAAAATAAATTTTTTTTTGTTAAAAAAAGTTGAAATCGATGTCATGTACAAAATTTTAAAAATCGTTATCTAGGGATAGACCCTTCATATGTCATATAACGTCGAAGTTGGACATTTACCAGCCGCGGTGATCTGCCTCTAGTCGCAGCACTCGGCCCGGAAATTTTCTTGACTTAGCCTGAAACCTTTTAAATGATACAAAATAAAAATGATTTTTTTTATTTTGTCGCATACAAAAATGATGAGATGGGGGGGGGGGGTCCTATAAGTGTTCTTTAGGATAGACCCACGATAATGGATTTCCCTCTTAAGTTTTTTAGATAAAACATAACAAATTTCTAAATATTTTAGGTTATGATTTTTTCCAAATCCTTCTGTCCGTTCTGCGTGAAGGTAAAGGAATTGTTTAAAAGCTTGGATATCGAGTACACAGCGGTAGAGTTGGATCAGATAGAGGAGGGTGAGGAGATGCAGAAGATTCTAGAGGAAAGGTATGTCATGTTTGGTGAAATCTAAGGGACTGTCAGTGTAGATATTTAAGTAACCCCCGATTCTAAAGTGGACTTGCGTAAAGTGCTTTAAATTGAATAAAGAATTCACTTCAAATACAGGGATAACCAAAAAACTGTGGAAAAGGAAGACAACATTGTTGTATTTGATGTTGTTACAAGGTTAATAGTTTCAGTAGTAACTAATTAAATCACAAATTAATTGAAGTTGTCCTGTTCACACCGCACAATTGCCGTGTAATATGGCCATTTTTAAAGTCAAACCCTTGGGCCTTAAAGTCGTCTTCCCTTTCCACAGTTTTCTGGTTCTTACTGTATATGAAACCCTTTTCTTTAAACTATTATAAACCTCCCCTGTGAACACGTGAGTTAACTTGAATATATTTGGGCCTGATCAGTATTGCGAGTATTGCTGTTTCGATGTTTATTGGACAAACAAGCCAAATTTATATAACGATTACATGCAGGATGACCAAAGTGTACGGATTGTACGGATTTTATTTTTTAGCCCTAAAAATGTACGCATTGTACGGATTTTTTTTCGAATTGCACGGATGGTGCGGATTTTTAGCCTGGAAATACACATTTCCCCCCTTTTTTGGACTCATTTTGTAATTCATTTTTTGTAATTAATCTTAATTTCAGAACCGGACAGCGAACCGTTCCCAATGTTTTTATCCAGGGAAACCACATTGGTGGCAATGATGATACCCATAAACTTCATGCTGAGGTAAAAAAAATTATACATTTGCTGGAAAAAAATTCTTCTTCGATCTTGAAACTGGTTTGACTAGATTTCTATTTCATTGTATCAGGAGATTGATTGGTTGATTTCCATATTGAACAAAAGACGCATATTTGTTTATCTGATCAGTTTACCGTTTCTGAAACAATTATTTACAAATTATAGCTGATTTCAATGATATCATTGATCAATGAGGAGAATCGTCTTTTCTCGTTTTTACTCCCCATTAACACAGGGTAAACTGGTAGCCATGGTGAAAGCTGCCTCCCACTCGTTCGAATACGACATCGTCGTTATCGGCGGTGGATCCGGAGGGTTGGCGGCAAGTAAGGAGGCGGCTCGATTAGGGATGAAAGTGGCTGTTTGTGATTTCGTTCAACCTACTCCTAAGGTTAGTAAATACAAAAATAACTTAAATTTTTTTCTCCCAAAAAAAATAGAAACTAGCTAAATGATGTCCTATTCCCCTCCAATGTGAACTGTTTAAAATATACACATTTTATCTAGAGAATAAGAAATAGTTTAATCAATGTTCTCTTGATAATCATGTTTAGGGTACAACCTGGGGTCTAGGAGGAACCTGTGTTAATGTTGGATGTATTCCAAAGAAATTAATGCATCAGGCAGCTTTACTGGGTAATATAATCTGATTTGCAAGACATGATACGCTAGTCTGAGATATTATAGATCCACATGTTCATATCCTAGTCAGGATTTTATGTCATGAGATAAGAGTGATAATTGTATAATTTCCAAACTAAATATATTTTCATTATCTTTAATAACATTTGGCGTAATTCTTGGATTAAACAGTGGACAAGGTAATTATGATTTATTTATGTAGATTAACATGATTTTATTCCAGGTGAGAGTATTAAAGATGCTAAAGCTTTCGGCTGGAAGACTGATCCTGAACAAACAACCCATGATTGGCCAGCAATGGTTCAAGCTGTCCAAGATCATATTGGAAGTCTCAACTGGGGATACAGGGTCTCATTGAGAGAGAAATCCGTCACATATCTAAATGAATACGCAACTTTTGTTGATGATCACACTCTGAAGTGCGTCAATAAGAAGGGAAGAGAGAAGTGGGTGACTGCCAACAAGTTTATTGTTGCTACCGGAGGCCGTCCTAAGTATCCTGATATACCCGGAGCTAAAGAGTTCGGTATAACCTCGGATGATATCTTTAGCCTGCCCTACGCCCCTGGAAAGGTTCTGCTAGTTGGTGCCTCCTATATAGCCCTGGAGTGCGCTGGGTTCCTCAAAGGACTAGGATATGATGTTACCGTAATGGTTCGATCCATATTTCTCCGAGGGTTTGACCAGCAGATGGCAGGGAAGATTGCGGAATATATGGAGGAGCATGGAATTAATATGATCCGTGAGTGTGTTCCGAGCAGCCTGGAGGAATTGGAACCTGGTACCCCGGGTAAAATACAGGTCAAAGCCAAGTATAATGACGGAACTGAGTACTCGGACGAGTTCAACACCGTTATTTTCGCCATAGGTAGAGACGCTTGTACACAGAACATCGGCTTAGATAAGGTCGGAGTCAAGATGAACCCGTCCAACGGTAAAATTATTCACGATGAGAAGGAGCAGACTAGTGTTCCCAACATATATGCTATCGGTGATGTGCTGGACGGTAAGCCTGAACTAACTCCTGTAGCTATCCAGGCTGGTCGTCTCCTGGCTAAACGTATAGCTGGAGTATCGGAGACTCTAACTGACTACGTGAATGTTTGTACCACTGTATTTACCCCCCTGGAGTACGGATGCTGTGGACTATCGGAGGAGGACGCAGAGGAACAGTACGGCAAGGAGGACATAGAGGTAGGGTTTAGCATTGATCAGATTCCTTCCATCCGGCTCCCTTTTTGGACATACATATAAACATACGCTCAGTTGCTTCTCAAATAAGGCGTTTTCATTCTTTGTTTACTATAATAGTGGGGTTTCTTGAGCTCTTTGAGAGATCATTTTAGTTTTCTTTGTACACAAAACAACTATTTATAAGGTATGTTTATCCTTTGAAGGTTTATCACGGTAACTTCTGGCCTCTTGAATGGACTGTATCCCACCGACCGGAGAATGCCTGCTATTCTAAACTCGTCTGCGTCAAGTCGATGAAGGAAAAGGTAAAAATAATTTTTTTTCGTTGTTTATATGAAATGTATGTTCTTTTAATTAGATTTTTTTGTCTAAATTATTTCTTGCTCTCCGTAATTTTGGGAAATTTTTGAATGATTCTAACATCACGTTCCCTTGTCCTATGATAATTTCCTTACTGCTTGTCTTGTAATTAAGGAATTTAAGGAAATACAATATTTCAAGACCCCCCCCCCCCCTTCAGTGACCAAGAGATTGGTTGAGCACAAATACAATTTTGTTGAATTATATAATATACTCCGTCTAACCTGTCCCTATTTTTCTCCAGGTTGTTGGGTTCCACTACCTGGGCCCAAATGCTGGTGAGGTGACCCAAGGGTTCGGTATAGCCCTCAAGATGGGAGCCACCAAGGAGGACTTTAACTCCCTCATCGGTATCCACCCAACCACCGCCGAGAGTCTCACCACCATGGAGATTACTAAGTCTAGCGGGGTTGATGCCTCCGCTACCGGCTGCTGAGGTTAATTCTTCTGAGATAATTCCATTCAGTTGGATTTATCTCAGCTCTAACATTGTACAGGAGAGTCGACATTAAGCTCCAGCCTTATTTAAAACAATGAATTTAGTAAAACTATCAGTCATTAATCTTCAATAGTTAAAGCCTCCTGTACAATTGTTATATATATATGTGAGAATTCAGCTTGCATGCTGTATATGACGATCCTACTCCTATTCCAATAGCGGAAGAGTTGAATCTGATAAATATTCTCAATCTTTGTCATAGTTTTAACGCACTGGTGAAAACATGCATATTTTATGTAAATCTATATAAACCAGTTTTATCAACTAAAATTTAGTTTAAATTGATTTTAATGAAAGTATTTATCCACATTTATGTTCTTTTTAAATCTGCATTTGTGAATTTTCTGATTTAGATGGTAAAATATTGGATTTCAGGTATAAAATGGATGTTTGAGTGAAACTATTTGAAGATGGAGGGAGATGGGCAGGGGTTCAAAATCCTTACTTGGAATATTAATGGACTCAGATCTCTTGTTAATTTTACAGAACATCTCAGGGATAGATTATTATCTTATTCTTTAAACATAATTTTATTAAATATTACGAAAGTGTTTATACATTTACAAAATATAAAATTTGTTTTCTTGTGTACAATCGTTCTTAATATTAGTCTAATAGAACGAATACTATTTTCATTTCCTTAACCTTTAAAGAGCTTTGATTTAAATCGGATAAAGAACATCCTTTTTTGGCGACATGAGTTTTGGACGGATTATGATATGACTTGTAGGATCATAATTTCTAAGTATGCTACGAATAAAATTAATGCCATACAAATATTTTCACGGATGAAACACTTAAAATAAAATAAAACGAAAATTTTCCGTTGTATATATTCCGTGCAGGTGATATAGAATAGCGCTATTCCATCAAAAGGTTTCTGGTTTTAGACTCTCGGTAATAAAGTCATGAATCAAAACCAAATAAAAAATGCAATTTAAATAATTATGTGTATGAATCTTGTATCCGAAGAAAGCTGGATGCAGATATTCTCTGCTTCCAGGAGACCAAAGTAACACGGGATATGCTCACAGAGCAGCTAGGTACAGTAATATTCACGATGTTTTTAATCCAGAACTTCGTATAAAATAACGCCACTATGCTTTAAAGTGGTGTAAACTACTTTCTCAGAACATTTGAAATGAATTGAGTCTTCTCTGAGCTGGAAACTTTAGAATGAATAACCTTTAATCCCAAGTACTTAATCCGAATATCCACTATGGAAACTTTTAATTTTAGTCCTTAATCCACTCTTTTTCTCTCTCTTTGGATATCCGTACAGTATTTTCTCCAATGAGAGTGCATGAATATAGTTCGTAAATTATTTTGACCAATGACAGTCTTGAAAATAAATTCTATCCCATGAGAGAAAACTGCAATTTCTAACAATTTAAGATTTTTTTGTCGGCCATTTTGTATATTAATCTGTGAAGAAAAATATTTAATAATAAGTTTGAGATTCTTCTGTAACCAATTTTAACTAATGTATTAATAAATAAAAGGGGGGAAAATTAATTGAAGGCCCTTCCAGTCAGGAAAACTAACCAATCTGACGTTCTTATAATTCAATTTGTTGATCTAGCTATTTAATCTCGAGACTAACATAATCTCGAGATTATGTTAGTCTCTAGATTAGCAAAAACAGAGGATTAAGAATTAATCCTGATATACACAATTCTAAAGTTCCAAGCTCAGATTTTTTAAACCCTGTAACCAAATATGACCATAGATTATTAAAACTATTTATAATTCTGTTCGATTTAATAACCCAGGTTTAAAATATCAACGATTTACTCCACTGCACCGGGTTCATATAATGTAGGAAAAAAAGCATGTCAGTTCATGTTTAGGACTCCATTTCTTTAATTCTAAAATCTACAAAGAAACTTTGAATCAAATTTGCTTGATATTTTATATTATACCAATGATTATTTTTTAGCTGTGATTCCTGGATATACTTCGTACTATGCATTCAGTAGAGGTAGAGGTGGATACTCGGGGGTAGCCACATACTGCAGGTTGTACTTGAAATTGTTTTTTTTTTTCAATCTCAATTCAGTAAAATGTCTGTAAAATGAATCAAATGTTCATACTCTTGCTGGTTTTAAGAATCCGTTTTTTTTCGCCCTCTTATTAGTTTCCTACTTGTGTATTAGGACCATAAAACTTGAAGAAGAAGAGAACTGTGAAAGTCAAGTTATTAAATGAAGTTAATTTACATTAAACACAGTCTGTTAGTTCACCTGCGTTCACCCCATATTACTCAATAAAGATAATTTACATGAAACACAGTCTGTTAGTTCACCTGCATTCACCCCATATTACTCAATAAAGATAATTTACATGAAACACAGTCTGTTAGTTCACCTGCAATCACCCCATATTACTCAATAAAGTTAATTTACATGAAACACAGTCTGTTAGTACAACTATTACTTAATAATTTGACTTTTAGGCTTCTGCTAAACCATTTGCTTTATATCAACATCAAAAACACATACCTGTCATATTCCTATCCCACAGTTTTATTTTCTTCCCACCCCTCATCGAAAATCTTTTCTAAGATGTCTCGAATATTTTAGAACAGAAGCTACACCTGTTGCTGCAGAAGAAGGAGTAACAGGTTATTAGTTTTATGAGTTTTAAACGACGTCAATTATTTTTCAACATATTGGGTATTGATAATCAAAGAAATATAAGATGAATTTTAATAAAATATTGTGTACTGTAGATTCTGAGAGGAATGTAAATAAAGCTTAGGTTGTACAGCACTACGCACGTTTACATTCTTCTTAGAAACTGCAGTACATTATATTTCGGTGATCTATTATTAAACCCGTCGTGCCCCCCCCCCCTCCTAGTGCGACTAGCTATTATTATAGTATAATCACGTAAGGTTGTCCTTTTCACAAAAAAAAGACGTTCTAAAAAATTACGTAAGGACAGGGCCAAAAGTTTTAATTTTTTTACATTAAATTCGTTCTAGACTACGTTACGATTCCTTTATTACAGGAATACTGGGTGTATCAGATTCTAGTGTGGGAGGACTTGATCTGCTTAACCAGGAGTTCTCTCAGGTTTTATCATTTTTATTAACATTAAAATCCTGAATCATTCTGAGTTTTTTAACCAATTTATTATTTTGTTTCATTCATTTTGTTTTAGTTATGTACAACTCCTTTTGGGTTTTCAATTACCACATTTCGACCCCCCCCCCCCTTCCTGGAGCTTCCCCATTTTGGTCTTAGGTTGCCATAATAAATTAACGGAGAGGGGAGGGGGACTTAAATTGGTTTGATTAGTGTGTTAATGTTTAATGTTTATACATCAGGGTATGATACTTTAAAACATTTCTATTCTAGAAATTATTTATCTCTGAATCCAAATAAGTTGATTTATTTCTGAAAAGTAATAAGTGAAGGATATGTAATATTTATCTTTTGTAAGTTTAGAAAAATAAGAAAATAAAAATTAGATGATTGAACTTGTAGTTTAAATCCTTGGTTTCTATCTGTATGAATTAGGAGGAGCTACGGAGCCTTGATAACGAAGGAAGATGTGTTCTAACAAAACATAGAATTAAACAGGATGACCAAGAGGTATAAAATCATTTTGTTTCGCTTTATTTTCTTCTTCATCTTTCTTAATACGGAAGAGAAAAAAACGTTTAATATGACTTAAAATTCCGACCCTCTTAAGAACTGGCATGAATGCGGATATTTAATGTTCCTGTTTTTCTTCATTCAAACCAGGAAGGATTAATAACGTATCATTTATGTGACATTAAGATTGACTTTTTGAGAACATGCTTTTCTTGAATGAATTCGGATCCTAAACCCTGCTGATGTTAAGGATGCGTACCTGGTTGTGTTCAACGTGTACTGTCCCCGCGCTGACCCTGAGAGAGAGGACAGGAAGAGATATAAACTTCAGTTCTATAAAGCACTAGATATACGCGCTCATTCACTCAGAGGAACTAAACCGGTTTAAATATATTTTTCCCACATATTTTCATAGCGAAATTTTTAACTTAAAATTGTAGGATCCACTAATTAAAGAGACCTGTATTACCACAAAATTAAATCTGAACTTAACCCTTTATCTAAGGATTGGCAATCGTAATATTTTTTTTATTTTTAAGCAACTCTTAATTTTTCCTGCAACGGTGGAAAAAAGGTGTTTTGTGATATCAAAGTAAATCTGATAAATTTGTATTTTGATTTGAAAATATAATGATAAGGTCAGTCGTTAGTTGAACATTTTTGTCAACTGTTTGACATCCGTATAGTAGCAAAATAATAGTCTCAACCACATTTAATTTTTCCCCTTGAGACTAGGCAATATGTAAAATATATCATTTTCAATTATAGTTTTCATGGTCATTGTTCAATCTTCATTTCATTTTATTTCATTTCATTTCATTTCATTTCATTTCATTTCATTTCATTTTATTTTATTTTATTTTATTTCATTTCATTTCATTTCATTTCATTTCATTTCATTTCATTTCATTCCATTTCATTTCATTTCATTTCATTTCATTTCATTTCATTTTATTTTACTGTTAAAAACGTGAATTAAGAACCTGAATTTCAATGACTTGAGTTTTTAAGCCTAATTCTAATTAAAACCAATTAGTTCAGGGAAATAAAGTTATTATTCTTGGGGATGTAAATACATCTCACAGGTAAAATATTGTGTTTTTTATTTGAAATTTCCTCAGTATTTTTCAAGGCTAGAATAAAAAAGTAAATTAGAATAAAATTACCCCGACACGTGACTAAGAAATTTCATTCTTCAAAATGGAGGAAGACACCTGAAGTGGGAATATTAAATGATTGTAAAAAAAACATACAATAAATGTTTTAAATTTTTTTTTTTAATCACGCAGAAAAGTTTCGCTTTTGAAGTAGGAGTATGATGTATTAGTTTTAGATTTTTAAATATTTAAAAATATTCTAGAGAATTAGACCACTGTGATCCTTATGAAGAGTTTTATGATCATCCTGGAAGAAGGTTTCTTAATCACCTTCTCTACTCTACACAACCTTCTAAGGTAGGATTCATGATATCCCAGTGAGAAGGTTCCTTTTAATCACCTTCTCTACTCTACATAACCTTCTAAGGTAGGATTCATTATAGCCCAGTGAGAAGGTTTCTTAATCACCTTCTCTACTCTACACAACCTTCTAAGGTAGGATTCATGAAAGCCCAGTAAGAAGGTTTTTAACCACCTTCTCTACTCTACACAACCTTCTAAGGTAGGATTCATTATAGCCCAAAGAGAAGGTTTCTTTATCACCTTCTCTACCCGACACAGTTCACAACCTTATTAGTCAGGATTCATGATGGCCCATAGAGAAGGCTTAATCACGTTCTCTACCCGACACAGTTCACAACCTTCTAAGTCAGAATTCATGATATCCCAGAAAGGAGGCGCCTTAAAATTTCAACGGACCCTCCATTTAAAGAGTTACAAGCCATTGTCCAAGTCAGAACTGTATTTTTTAGACCTTTATCATGCCAATGTCCTTACTTGCTTCTCTCAGTTTAGATTGATCATCGCCGGCGTCGGAGGTCTCCGAATCAACTTTAAATTCTCCTTTTTTCTTTTTAATGTTTTGTTGGAGCAAAATACTAACTAAGTTCAATTTGAATCGTCATGTTTCAAGTTGAATAAAAGTTGTAGAAAATCACATTGAATTTGTAATGTAGTTTGATATCCCGGTGTGTTATTCCATATTTTATTGAATGATGGGTTGTCTTTTTAGCAATTAAAGTCCTATATATAATCCGTACTTTATCCCTGATCTTGTTGCAGGATAAACCTGTGGATCTGGAGACTGAGGACTGGGAGTGTGAGAGGGTTAATGTTGAGAGTAATCAGTTTCTAGACTCATTTCGTATCTTTCATCCTAGCAGAGAGAACGCTTTCACTTGCTGGAATACAAAAATGAATTGCAGGTAAGTTCTGCACAGATTTCTATCTTGTTTATAGAAAAGAAGATTATATAAATCTAGGATTTCCAGCCGGTTCACATTGATCGGTTAGTGTGTTCCTTGGTATCTAAAGAGTGTTAAAAACAATAAAAATAGGCAGCCGGTTCACAATGATCGGTTATTGTGTTCCTTGGTATCTAAAGAGTGTTTAAAACAATAAAAATAAATCTCACATATTTCTCTCTCAAAGGCTTAATTTTTACCCGATCATGATGAAATTAATATCACAGTGTTTCTTGTATGTTACGACTAATTTTTTAAAAAAATATCGGATATAGACAACCCTCCTTTAAATAAATGCTCTTTATCCCTTGGAGATTTCAACATACCAACCATTTTTTTAAACGAAAATATCCTAGAACTAGACGGTAATTGTTTTTAAACGAAAATATCCTAGAACTAGACGGTAAATGTTTTTTAAACGAAAATATCCTTAGAACTATACGGTAAATGTTTTTTAAACGAAAATATCCTAGAACTAGACGGTAAATGTTTTTTAAACGAAAATATCCTAGAACTAGACGTTAAATGTTTTTTAAACGAAAATATCCTAGAACTAGACGGTAAATGTTTTTTAAACGAAAATATCCTAGAGCTAGACGGTAAATGTTTTTTTAAACGAAAATATCCCAGAACTAGACGGTAAATGTCTTTTAAACGAAAATATCCCATAACTAGACGGTAAATGTTTTTTAAACGAAAATATCCTAGAACTAGACGGTAAATGTTTTTAAAACGAAAATATCCTAGAACTAGACGGTAAATGTTTTTAAACGAAAATATCCTAGAACTAGACGGTAAATGTTTTTTAAACGAAAAGATCCCAGAACTAGACGGTAAATGTTTTTTAAACGAAAATATCCTAGAGCTAGACGGTAAATGTTTTTTAAACGAAAATATCCTTGAACTAGACGGTAAATGTTTTTTAAACAAAAATATCCTAGAACTAGACGGTAAATGTTTTTTAAACGAAATATCCTAGAACTAGACGGTAAATGTTTTTTGAACGAAAAGATCCCAGATTTAGACGGTAAATATGATTTGATCTGATTTGATTTGAAATTTATTTGTTAGGTCTACAAACTACGGAACAAGAATAGACTACATCTTTATTTCAAGAAATCTGGAAACTGAAATTAGGTAAACTAAGGAATAAATTTCAATATTCAGAATTCAGACGTTGAGATTGTTTTACACAAAACAAAAGTTTAATATTTAAAAGTTTCATAATAGTATTATTTTTCTTAAAAATCTAGTCATAATTCACTAACTAATAAGCAGTGCTTAGGATCCATTTAATTTTGATGCTGATTCGGCACTGGAAAAAAGGATCCGGATCCAGGTTATTTTCATATTTACTGAATTTTTTAACGATGCAGAATTTTCAAATTTTTTGTCTTATTTCTTTCGCTTATTTTTATACTAACTTGATGAACCATTCAGAAATCAGGAAATTTTTATAATCTCTATTTTTTCAATAGTTCAGATTTGGGGTTTGAGAGTAAATTTTTTCAGTTTTTTGTTAAGCCAAAATCTTGCGGATCCAACGGATCCGGATCCTTAGCACTGCACATAAGATATCATATTGTACAGTTAGTGAATTATGACTAGATTTTTAAGAAAAATAAAAAGATGTATTAATGGATTTTTTTAGATTCTCTTATGAAACTTTTTAATATTAAACTTAAGTTTTCTCATATTCTTATTTTGTGTAGTTTGTGTGAGATTCATCCCGAGGTGGAGGGTAGTGATCATTGTCCTGTATCCGCCAGGTTTAATCTAATCCTGGATCCATCATTTAAACCTCCCAGCTCAGCCACCAAATATTATCCAGAATTTCAGGTAAGATTGATCGCCCGATTTTTTTTATTTAAATTATTAATACGATAATTAGAACCGTCAAGTGCAAATATATTTGTTTTTAAAAACATGTTTTTTTTATTAAAGTGTTTTTTACTTTTTTTTACTTTTTCCCTGTTGCCTGAATTTTCATTCATTAGATTTTAGACCTCTCTTCTTACCCTCGTCAAAAAATTGGGTCAATATTAAATTAGAGATACCAAGTCAAAACCTTTCTACGGGTATCTTTTGAGAGAAAAATAATTCGGTTGATTCTAAGAAATCTTGTTTATCTGATGAAAAAATAAAAAAAGAGAAGATACGTTATCTTTTTTCCTGCTAATTGGACGTAGGAACCATACCAAACTGTTTTGTGGTTTTTAGGGTAGACAGTTGAGCATAAAGGATATGTTTTCTACTGGAGCTAAGAGATCAAGGTCCCCGGAGAATACCAGCAAGAAACCAATCCTGAACCAAGGTATGATAGTTCCAAGTTTGTCATTAAATGTTAAGATTTAAAAGCAGAAAATCTCTCAAGAAGTAAACGAAAAATATGTCACAAATTTATATTCCTACTTTTCCTATAAGAATCAGGGGTGTATATATTCAAGAATTTCACCCCCTCCCCTTGATTTTTGATGCACCTGGGTGGAAAATGAAAAATTGAACCAAAATGCATATTTTTCAAACTTAATTGATGCTTTTCTTCTCACCCAAAACTTTATTTAGTTTTCCCAAAAATTCAATTGTTCACCAAATTCAACGAATAAATCAATTGAAATTAAAAGATTTTACGCTTCACGCAAACATAACCAACATCTGGAAGGGGGGGGGGGATTACTATTTTAGAAAATCCATCTACAATGGTATAGACTTAAATCATTCTTACAAAGCCTTTATAAAAATCAAACCCTCCCTGATATTTTTTATAGTTTTTTCCATTATTATTTAGTAATGTTTACTTCTTGACAGGGGTTGCTAAAAGAGTTAAACCTTCAAGCTCCAAGATAACAAACTTCTTTGCTCCCAAGAAAGGTTTAGCTGAATTAGCTCCAAGTTTAATCGTGGAAAACAAATTGGAGAACCTTGTATCTGTAGCAGGACCCGGAGATATTGAAACCGAAATATTAGCGTCTGAAATATATCAGGTATAATCAAACTAGAACTGTAAGCTGATTCTTTGTCAATTTCTACAGTAATTGTTATCTTCAAAGTCCAGGTTTAGAATTAAGTCTATTTCTGAAATTGTATTTTTATTTTTTTCCAAGAATAAATTTCTGTTTTGATTGGGCTGCAAATTAGATTTCTTTTTAACCCAATGCACAATAAGAGTATTTATTAAAAGATGATAATTGAAAAGAAAAAAAATAATTAGAATAATTTGTTTTGATCATCTTTTCTTGATCTTGATTTATTTTAGATTGAAGCTAAAAATGGTGAGACTAAAGCTGCATGGGGAAATATATTTAAACCCCCGCCCCCCAACCCTCTCTGCTTAAAGCACAAGGAAGAGTCCCTCAAGAGGAAGGTGACGAAGAAGGGACCCAACCTTGGACGAGAGTTCTTCGTCTGCCGAAGAGGAGAAGGACGATCGGACGATCCTGAAGCAAGATGCGATTTCTTTAAATGGGCAAAAGTCAAATGAACTTTATTCTTTCCAAAAGTTTTTCAAGTTCGACTAACAATCAACAATTTATATATAACCTCATTTCAATGCCAATAAGTTTAATCTGTAAATGAGGGGAAATTAAAAAAAAATACTATTTTCAAAAGTAAAAAAATTATATTAACGTATATTTTGCCCCATGTTTATATCTTTTGTATCGAAAAAGCTGTGATTAATAGTACCTTCAAGTATTAAAAGAGAATCTCCACAAAAATGTAAAAATGTTCGATCAACTTTTATACGTTATTGATGGTGATTTCTACCGGACTGAAGAAATATGTCAAATTCTTATTACGAACTGGTTCCAAGTATAACCTTTATGTATCCTTGATTTTGATAAAGGCTCAAGTTAAATATCGTATATCTCCCTTGATATTTTTAGTTAAAGCTCCGATATTTTCTAGTTTTTGAGTTCACATTAAATATCTTATACGATCCCTTGATGTTTTTAGTTAAAGCAAACCTCCGATATTTTCTAGTTTCACGAGTTCACATAAAATATCGTATACGATCCCTTGATATTTTTAGTTAAAGCTCCGATATTTTCTAGTGTCAAGAGTTCGCCTTAAATATCCTATACAATCCCTTGATATTTTTAGTAAAAGCTCCGATATTTTCTAGTTGCGCAGAGTTCACATTAAATATCTTATACGATCCCTTGATATTTTTAGTAAAATCTCCGATATGTTCTAGTTTCAGAGCTCACATTAAATATCGTATACAATCCCTTGAGTTTTTTAGTAAAAGCTCCGATATTTTCTAGTTTCAGAGCTCACATTAAATATCGTAACGATCCTTTGATATTTTTAGTTAAAGCTCCGATATTTTCTAGTTTCAGAAGTGAGAATGGAGCAGCTCCCTGAGGAGAACTTGGTCAAGGTTGCTGGTAAGATCCTGTGCTGTGAGTGTGGAACTCCGATAGATCCGAACCCTGCTAATCTTTGCGTTGCTTGTCTCAGAACTCAAGTTGATATAACAGAAGGGATTCCTAAACAGGTCAGGCCCGGCCATACTCAATCCGTAGAAATGTATTCAAGATCTCAGTTTTAGGGTATATTTTAAAAAGAATTGCCCCCTCCCCATTTTAAACTTAAAAAACACCCTTAACATATATTTTTTTTTTAAATTACCGCTTTTCCGAANGATGAGAAATCGGACTATACTCCATCATTTTCATATTTTTAATCCATAAAATTTCCTCATTTCGAGATAAAAATCTTATTAAGCTTTAATTCGGATGTGATCATATAGTATCATGAAAATGGAGGGGAAGGGGGTATTTTTTTATTTGCTTTCCTTATTTACCAATTTTACAGTATATCAGTAATGTATTGGATATTTACTGTCTTTTCAATACAGTCTGACATTTCAACTTATTTTTTTATCGATTGTATCTGTACTTGTAGGTGACCCTTCATTTCTGTAAATTTTGTGACAGATATCTGAACCCACCACAACAATGGGTTGCAGCGGCTCTGGAGTCAAGGTAGATCTATTTTGAAGGACTAATTGGACTTTCATAATGAAATGGAGATAAAAATGGATTTAGGCAATAACATTAGTGGACTTTCTTTAAGGAGACTCGCAATGTTATTTCAAGCGATTCTAAACTTAAATTCACTTTCTGGAGTGGGTTGAAATTATGTCGACGGTCCGGTCCCGGTCCGAGCTATCTATTTATACTTGTCTGTTGGTTCGTTTGTTTGTTTGTCTGATTATATCCAATTAACGTAAAAACGGCGGAACCGACGCAATTGGGCCAATACTTTGTGTGGGACCCACGGAGGGTTTATGGACCATTAAATAAAAAAAAATGAAAATGTGCCAATTCTAATAGATGTATACTCGATTCAAAAAAAGCATATTGGAAAAATGTAAAAAGGAATATACCAACATGAATATTGATTAATTTTATTATTATTAATAAATGTTTAAGAAAATTTTCATATTTACCTTTTAATTTATTTATTTTTGAAGATGTTTTTCCCTGTTTATTCTCAAGATAATGTAACTTAAAATGAGTGTCTGACAAGACATGGTAGTGGAGTTGAGAGTGTAGTATTGTAGAGAATTTTTTTATCCAAGGGTGTATACTGTATAAATCTCCTTCACCATTTCCTTCCACTTTTCCTTCCTTTTTCATTTCCCTAACCTTTTTCTTCCCCTTACCCTTTTTCCTTTCCTTCCACTTCCCCTTTTNAAGTATTTACTTAAATTTGTAATTAAAAATTATACACAGTGTTATAGATCTAAAATGATTTCTTAACAAATTCACTACAATATTGCACTCTCACCTCAATTTAACCATGTTTAGCCAGACACTCCCTTTAAGTACAGATATTTGTACAAAAAAAAGCAATATTTCTTAACAGTGAAAATATTTTAAGAACAAGAAACATGGTACTCTAATTATGTTAAGATGGAAATATTGAAGAAAAATTTAGTTAGGTGAACAAGAAAAGTATATATTGAGGTGTGGGATTAAATTGAGATTAGGTTTTTTCATCGTTTTCAGTTTCAAATAGACATTTTTAATCTTAATTGTTGTTTGAAAGTCACAAAATTACATGACTGAAAGTTATGACGACTTAACATTATACTTTGTCGTAAACCATGAATAGAAGTAAAGTTTAATGAAGATGAGATATTCCTCGGAAATTTAACATTAATTGTCTATTCCTAGATTATGCTCGTACAACTTTGTCAATTATTCATCTAGAATCTAGGCAACCAGCTAGAATTAATTAATAGAGTTCCAAGTATTTCACGATTTCTCCAGGAACACAGCCCACGGTTCCACTTACATGTTTTGCATTGAATTTTATAATCTAATCACATCATGTTGCACAATGCTTACTGCTCAGACTACTGGCAACTAATCTTCTATTCNAAATGATTCTGGATTTGCCTAAAATATTTTATATTTTCATGTACACTATACAGTGTAAACAGTCTTTTAGGGCGCTTCGCGAAGCCATTTCTAAAACTGTTTCTGACGCAAAGTGAAGTCCCACAAAAAATATCGGTTCCGGCTTTTTTACTTATTTTGAATGGGACACAATCAATCATATATAGATTTATTGTGGGTAATTATTATTGTGGAAATTAAATAATAATACTGTCTGGTGCAGGTGGCCATATTAAATATTTTTTAAGTTCGTCAGACATATCGTCAATAGAGAGATATTTGAGGGTTTGTGTCAAGTTTTCTTGAACTAGGGAATTGATGGCACTCTGTTTAAAGAAGTTAAAGAATTTGGCTAAAGTTAAACTTATCGATGCAAACTTCTTGTGGACTGAACCTCACAGCAAGAGGATCAAAGTTAAACTTGCAATTCAGGTAGATTTGATTTGACTTGTCTAAATACAATTCAAGAATCTCTTAATTCAAAAGGAGTGTTCGCGAAAAATTAAAGGGGGTATAGGCTTAATGCGATAAAAAAGCGCTTTTGATCGCTACTAATCTTACTTCTATCTGTTGTGTCTATAAGGAGAAAATTGTTAAAAACGACTCACTCCATAAAAATTCAGAAAGATGCAACATTCAACTCGGATCGTAAACAAGTCAATTTAATTCCAAACAAATCATTCAGATATTACAAAAAATATTCATCGATTATTTTTCGACGCATAAGTAAATAGTTGATATTTCATAATATTTTGTAATTTTAATGATCTGAAAGTTACTTTTGAAAACATTTAATCCTGTTTCGAGGATTTTTGACAATGAAGACGACATTTTCATATTTTCCAGGAATGTTCGAAAATCCAGCGCCAGCGAAAATTATTTTTAAAAAAAAATCAAAAATATTATAAAATTTAAACTATATACGTATGCGTCGAAAATTAATCGATGACTACTGTTTATAATATCTGAATGATAATTAAATTGGAATTAAATTGATATACGCAACAGATAGAAGGAAGGTTAGTAGCGATCAAAAGCGCTTTTTATCGCATTAAAGCCTATACACCCTTTCATTTTTCGCGAACACTCCCTTCAATTTTTAATTTTTAAAAATGCTCCCTACCCACAAGTTTGATTAAGTATCTTTTCTATTTTGATGCGTATCTGTGAGAGATAATCTTTTTTTCTAATTCATACTCATTTAATTGTTTATATATATATATATATATTTTGCNCCCCTTCCTTCTAAAACCTGATTTTATTCAAGGCTGAAGTGTTAGGAGGCGCCATCTTACAGCAAACCTTTGTTGTTGAATATGTTGTGGCATATCAGATGTGTACTGATTGTCACAGGGTGGAAGCTAAAGTAAGTAAAAGCTTTGTTGTAGAAATTTAAATAATTTTTCAGGGGTCGGAACTTTTGTGTGAATCATGAAACCGTGCACTTTGTGAACTTATTTAGATTATATTGAAAACCTTGAAAAATCCACATTGAATTGTACAATGTACTTTGTACACCGAGAAGTAGGTTCAGTATCTATTGCATCAAAAGTATTTTAGTACATTGGCAATATTTCAAGTAATGTCCATTGCCCACTGCAAAACTTTTAGAACTTATCTCTGTAATTTGATATTTTCCTAAAAACTTAATATTTGGTTTGAGAAATTCTCTCGATGCTGATATAAAGCTAAAGAAAACTTGAAGCTTAAGGACTTTTTTCCTGGCATTATCATTCATCATTCTCTCTAACAGTTTTATTTTCTCTAAAATTAAAACATTTTATATGTATATTTTCAGACTTCATTATTGATATCTAGTTTTAGTTTTTAATTCTTTCCCGAGAATAGTTAATGAATCTGCACCTTTACAGAAATAGATCAAAGTAATATTATTTCCATTTCAAAGTTAAAATGTGGGTAACATTTTCTCTCTCCCCCCCCCCCCATATATTTCTGTGCAAAGACCTTGGATTAATCTGTTCAGGATCATTGGAACGCCTTAGTTCAGATCAGACAGAAAACCCAGCAGAGAAAAACATTGTTCTACGTTGAGCAGCTTCTTCTTAAATATGGAGCTACTAAGGTAGGTTCTACATAGAACAGCTCTTCTTAAATATGGAGGTACTAAAGTAGGTTCTACGCAGAGAAGCCTCTTCATGCATATGAAGCTACTGAGGAGGTTTTACGTAGCGCAGTTTCTTCTTGAATATGGAGCTACTAAGCTAGGTTCTACGTAGAGCAACTTCTTCTTAAAGGGACAGTAAAGGAAAAATGAAAGGGGGTATAGGCTGAAAGCTAATCACTTTAGCTCTTGATCGCGACCCATGAAAGTTTTATCTGATGTTCCTGTCTCGAGAAACTCATATAAAACTGTGTTAAAATTATACGAAAATTCATATATGTAAAATTTTGAAAATCTGAAACTTAAATCACGTGACCAGAACTATCACCAATGGCAGAGCAGTATACCGGTCACGTGTCTCCGCCTGTATCACGTGACCACTTTACCGCACTGCCATTGGTGGAATTTCTGGTCAAGTAATACGGACGTAAAAATAATATTATGAATGAAATCTATTGAAAATAGAAACAACAAATATAAAAGTAAACCTAAATTACAATTGGCTTTCTCTGGGATATCGTTTTCAGATTGGTTGCTTATTTGCTGAATATGATCAGTTTAAACCTTCTACTTTTATACAAAATTGTATATATATTTATTTTCGTATAGATTTGACACAGTTTTATATCAATTTCTCGAGACAGGAACATCAGATATGACTTTCATGGGTCGAGATCGAGAGCTAAAGTGATTAGCTTTCAGCCTATACCCCCTTTCATTTTTCCTTTACAGTCCCTTTAAATATGAAGCTACTATGGTAGGTTCTACGTTGAGCAACTTCTTCTTGATTATGGAGCTACTAAGATAGGTTTACGTAGAGCAGCTTCTTCTCAAATATGGAGCTACTAAGGTAGGTTCTACTTAGAGAAACTTCTTCTTGAATATGGAGCTACTAAGGTAGGTTCTACGTAAAGTAGCTTCTTCTTGAATATTGAGCTACTAAGATAGGTTTTACGTAGAGAAGCTTCTTAAATATGGAGCAGCTTCTAGGTAGGTTCTACGCAGAGCATTGTCTTATTTATAGAGATAACAAGCTCCAGCTTGAAGAGGGGGTTATCATGTGAGGTTCTACATTGAGTCATTTCTTGATTAGGGATATTCTAAATATCGGTCGATCTACTATCTGCAAGAATGAAAACTTTTTAAATATGGAGTTAATTACGTAGTTTCTTCGCAGACCAGCTTCTTAAATATGGGGAGAGTGGGATTCATGTTGTGTTCAATTTCCCGGGAAATTCCAAAACAGAGATAGGGGGATTGAATTTTGGTCAATACACTTTCTGGGCCGAGCTCTGCGGCCACATGTCTTGCATTTAAGACCCCACCAGCTGCCAGTTTCTACGCAGGCATCCCACAGATATTTTTTTTCTGGATCTACAAGATTCAATCCCCCTCTCTCTGTTTTGGAATTTTCCGGAGCATTGAACACAACATGAATCCTACTCTGCCTTAAGTACGGTGCTACCAAGGTAGGTTCTACGCAGAGCAGCTTCTTTATAAATAAGATATATCAATTCTTTATTTAAAATAAATTTTTTTTAGGATTGCGTAGGAATAAAGCCACACCACGAAGGCCTTGATTTTTACTACTCAACGGAGTCAGCAGCTAAAAAGCTTCTGGAATTCTTCCAGTCTATGATTCCCATCAGGAACCCAGATATTTTAGTCAAAATATTTTAAGCCGAAGTCTGATTTAAAAAAAAACATACTTAAAGGGATGTTATTTCAAGTGACCCTTCTTTAATGAGTGGCTTTTATAACCTACCATTACTGAATTATATATCCATAATTTTCATCTTCAAAATTTATTTTCCATTGATGCTACAGAAACAATAAGGGACATTTAAGCTAGAAAACCGACCGTATTGACAGAGGTCTAAAGGGCACCGTTGTAAATCGGGCATGGTCCTCTTTAATTGGAAGGTCACGTTACCTGAAATAACGGTGACAGTCTCTTTAAGAATATTATTTTGAAATAATGTCTACAGTTCCTTTAAGAATATTATTTTGAAGTGAACCAAACTAAATGATAATCAAGTACTGAGCAATCTATACTTTTGGCAACATTCAAGTAAATTAATTCAATTTCTATATTTGGATTTATTTTGATCATCTACTTAAACTCATTTTGGCATGATCCGTTGATGTATCAATTTGTTTACAGTTTCCTGTCCCAAAATACAGGGGTAATCATTCCACATTTATTCCCACACCTACACATTGATGAACTCTTCGGTTCTTGTCTCAGCAATGGGTCACTTTCGACCACAATTTGACCAACATCGAGTTCTCGTTTTTTCTCGTTTGAAATTGTATGTCCGTGGAAGCGATTCAGATAAAAAGTAGAAATATACATCTCTGGAAGTTTAAAGATTTTTCAATGATGAGATAAAACGCAATTAATATCAAACTGGTAAAACCGAATCCACCTAGCACTGGTGACTGGTAAGTATGGTAGTAAACTTGAGTGGTTGGGGGAAGAAATTCAGATGTCAGTGTTTGAATATTTCTTAAAATGCTTTTTTAATTCTGGCAGCTAAAACAAGTTTTCTAAATTTGTCCCTTTTCCAATTTTTTTTAGAAACTTTATAATTATCTGGTTAAATATTAAAGAAAGTTATTCTGAATGAATATAATATCTGGGTTTAATGATCAGATCACAGAACAGTAAACGATTAATCAGTCATGACGTGCACAGTGGAACATACAACTATAAATATACATTTAGTGTTGATGTTGTTCCTGTCTGCAAGGTATTTTTTTGTTTTGTTTTTTTAATTAGAAAATATTCTTTTTTGCGCCTCATTAGTTTCAGTTTGTACAAAAAATGGCTAACACTTAAATACACTAGAAAATGGATGTTATTATTTTTAAAACTTACAAAATTGATAATATTTTGAATGTAAAAGTTCTAGATGAATATTTGTTGTAAATCTGTATATTTTAGGACAATGTTGTATGTTTGTCTAAGCAACAGGCCCATGTTCTAGGAGGAATTGGACAGATTTGTGTTGTCAACAAAGTTTCTCAGGAACCTGTTATACATAACTCATTTGTACTTCATCGTACTTTGCTTTCTCTTTTTTTGTACTTTATTTTCTCCATTCGTACTTTGCTTTCTTATTCATTCGTACTTTCTATTATTTTCGTGGTTTTCTAGTTTATTCGTACTTTATAATAGTTGAGTTTTTTTTCGTGCATTCATACTTTGTAAATTCTTCCTTATTTTCGCCTGTAGGCTGTATAGTGTATATATATACTAAATGTAATGTATAGTATGTATACAAACTTCGTGCACACTCCCTTTATTTTAATCTGTATACAAACTTCGTGCACACTCCCTTTATTTTAATCTGCATACAAACTTCGTGCACTCTCCCTTTATTTTAATCTGTATGCATACTTCGTGCACTTTCCCTTTATTTTAATCTGTATACATACTTCGTGCACTCTCCCTTTATTTTAATCTGTATACATACTTTGTGCACTAACCCTTTATTTTAATCTGTATACATACTTCGTGCACACTCCCTTTATTTTAATCTGTATACATACTTCGTGCACTCACCCCTTTATTTTAATCTGTATACATACTTTGTGCACTCACCCTTTATTTTAATCTGTATACATACTTCGTGTACTCTCCCTTTATTTTAATCTGTTTACATACTTCGTGCACACTCCCTTTATTTTAATCTGTATACATACTTTGTGCACTCACCCTTTATTTTAATCTGCATACATACTTTGTGCACTCTCCCTTTATTTTAATCTGTTTACATACTTCGTGCACTCTCCCTTTATTTTAATCTGTATACACACTTCTTGCACTCTCCCTTTATTTTAATCTGTATACATACTTCGTGCACTCTCCCTTTATTTTAATCTGTATACATACTTCGTGCACTCTCCCTTTATTTTAATCTGTATACACACTTCTTGCACTCTCCCTTTATTTTAATCTGTATACATACTTCGTGCACTCTCCCTTTATTTTAATCTGTATACATACTTAGTTTCCTTTATCTTAATGTGTATACACTATACAGGAATTTTTCAAGAGGGGTGTAACCTTATTTAACATTCCAGCAGTGCTTAGGGTCCATTTAATTTTGATGGGGATCCGCACTGGAAAAAATGGACCCGGATCATTTCTGTAAAATTTACTGAATTTATTTAACAAAGCAAAATTTTCAAATTTTTCGTTTTTTATGCTAAAACTTGAACCATTAAGAAATCAGGAAATTTTTTAAATCTCTTTTTTCAATAGTTCAGATTTGGGTTTTGAGATAAAAAAAAAAATTTTTTTTTGCAGTTTTTGATTTGATATATTGCCCTTTGGATCCAGATCCGTAGATCCGCATCAAGGAAGCCAAAATCTTACGGATCCGGATCCTAAGCACTGCNTGGGCACATATACCATGTATTTGCATCACATTTTATTCAATAGTTTCTAGTACTTTCAGTAAACTGGGCACATTTACCATGTATTTGCATCACATTTTATTCAATAGTTTCTAGTACTTTCAGTAAACTGGGCACATTTACCATGTATTTGCATCACATTTTATTCAATAGTTTCTAGTACTTTCAGTAAACTGGGCACATTTACCATGTATTTGCATCACATTTTATTCAATAGTTTCTAGTACTTTCAGTAAACTGGGCACATTAACCATGTATTTGCATCACATTTTATTCAATAGTTTCTTTACACTGGAAGTAGAAAAACAAAGTTTGTATAAAAATATTTATTTTTCCAATAACAACATTATAAATTCTTAAACATCCTGAATACACAAGTTTTGTTAATTCATCAAGAACAATTTTATACAATTTGTTCACTTTAATAGTTTATATAAAATTACAGAATTAGAAAACCACGATTAAACATTTTTCGAATTAATATTTTATTTTATTCTATTGTCTTTTTACGAATAATTTATTGCTTTCATTGTACATATTGCCAATATTATTGTTTCAACACAACACTTATACATAATAGTTATATAACACTTTGATAAGCTGTACAGTGTACATAATTATTATTTTACATGGGGATTAGTCTGTACAGTGGTCAGTGTACATGTCCATTGTAAACTGAACACACATTTTAATGTTGATTAGTCTTGGACAGTGTAAAGCGTACAGAAAGATTTTATAACACGTTGACAAGTATTTTTACTGACCACTGTACAGTGTACATAATAATTATACACCACATTCACTAGACTGCGCATTGCACATGATGATTATATAAAATGTTGACTAGAATGTACATAATTATATAACATGATGGTTAGGCTGTACACTTGATAGATCCTAACACTTGTCAGTATGTTGATATCACAGCTGCAGTTTACTTCAAGGCTCCATTCCTTAGGAACACAAACAGTCAGAACTAGTTCAATGAAATTAATTCAATAATATTATTTTTATTGTAACATTTAAATCAAAATTAGAGCTTTGTTCTCTAGAAATTCGAAATTGCTTTTTTTATCCGAGTAACAATAAGGAAAATATCGTCGTTTTATGCCTTTAAAATAGATTAAACCTTCAAATTGTTATCTATCGCAGGTTTTGATTAGATTGTGTGTATAGTCTATGCAGACAGAGAGATCTGGTAGAGTTTACAGTGATTAATATAGAACCAATCACACAGAAGGTTTTATTTAAAAATATTATTCAGAGTTCAAAACTTTTGTGTGGGGAAACTCCGTTATCCTTATCGTATGTCGTCACAAGGATTGGATTAATTTGTGTCGGACCCGTGGCAGGGATAACCATTTAAGAATTAAAGCAAATCTTCCCGAAATTTAAAATTCGTAGAAATCAAGCGTTGTAGTTGAGCGCTATTTCAATCACAAGTTTTGACCTCAGGGTGGATTTAAAGAAATATAGGTTTAATACAAAATTTTGCACCTCCAGTTTCTGGAAGTTATCCATTTTTTTATTTCCAAGAAAATTTACTTTTTTATCCCTCCTCTCTTTTCAGTGTTATAGAAATATATTTATTATTATCTTATCTCATTTTTTATATTCTTTTATCAAGTACTGTTTTAGGATCGAAAAACATTCTCCGGGCAGGGAAAGATATCTCAGAAGCATGTTCTCGCAGATTGCTGGGTCGTCAAATCTTCAGAACTAGGTAGGAATTATCTATCCTGGTTTAACCATTTATCATGTGCCCTGGCATTGATCTGCAGAGAAGAAGAGAAGAGAAGAATTCAGTCTACGCGGTTTAAATAACTTCTTTTCATTAAGTCTGGTCCATACGTGCAAATCTCGAAGTGCACAAGCAATTGAACTCTATATATTCTGCGCAAACTTTTTAAGTTGGGGGACACTTGTCTATCCCGGGCACCATGGAGGTATTCAACGTCTGAGGTTCAATCGTTAAAGGGGGATTTAAACCATATGAGCGTTTGTCACGTGTCAATTTTTAAAAAGTTCGCCGTCTATTTACTATAATTTCAGCGACGTGTATGGCAGATAAAATTTATGATAATATTTAACTAGGCTCGTTTCTAATGATAATTTTAGCCTTAAACTGTTGTACCTCAACTCGGAATTTTTATTGTGTCTATCACTTAAACCCAATTTTCGTGGATGTTTCTATTAAAAGGGAATGTAAGCGTAATTTCAAGTGACTCTCAGTTTCTCCATGTAAAAATGACAATGCCCGATTTACAACGGTTCTCTTGAAAGCTATGTCTATTCAAGTCTGGATAGATATCAATGTTTTGTTTCTTTTAACTGTTTGTTTTCATTTGTGGTTTCTCTGCGATAGTGATTTGCGCATTTCTTGTTTATATGAAGAAATGGAGAAACCCGCTGAGAATACCGACGGTATCTTTCACATTTTTGAACAGTATAAGGTTTTAAGAGTACCGTTGTTAATCGGGCATCAACATCTTCGGCATGGAGGGTCTCTTGAAATTACGCTTACAGTACCCTAAATGGGTACAATTTCAAATTAACATATGTCGACATTATTTTGGAAAAAAATACAATTTTGACGGCATATAAACCATCCTTGGACTCGTATGAGTTGCCACGGTGCAGCTGTTTTGACATTAATGGGATTCAAACAGAGACAGACTAGCAAAATATGTAAAATATGCAAAATATGTTTACATCTAGATTGGAGCAATATTTTAAATTGATTTAACTTAAAATTATTATTGGTTTACTGGATTATTATTGGTGAAGTATGGAGGAATCCTATTCTATTTTGGGTAAAATTATTATTGCAGTTTTAAATAGTTTCAATGCATTGGTTGTAACCAAGTTGAACACAGAGTGAGAGAATACTCGGAACTAAATTATTCATAGATTTCTGGAATAACAACTAGTTCAGCATATTTTTATTTTCCGCATCTAGCATTCTTATATTTAGAAATATTAATAATAAAAAAGGAAAGCGTTGCTTATAATCCGGATATGTAGGAATTTTTTATCTTTATAATCCGGATATATATTGAGTTTTAGCTTTAAAATCCGGATATATATTGAGTTTTTAGTTTTATAATTCGGATATATATTGAGTTTTTAGCTTTAAAATCCGCAAATCCGCATATATATTGAGTTTTTAGTTTTAAAATCCGGATATATAATGAGTTTTTAGCTTTAAAATCCGGATATATATTGAGTTTTTAGTTTTATAATTTGGATATATATTGAGTTTTAGCTTTAAAATCAGGATAAATATTGAGTTTTTAGCTTTAAAATCCGGAAATATATTGAGTTTTTAGTTTTATAATCCGGATATATATTGAGTTTTTAGCTTTAAAATCTGGATATATATTGAGTTTTAGCTTTAAAATCAAATATAAAGGACTCTTTGTTTGGAATTCGGACATGAAAATCGCATTTTTGATAATAAAAAATCAAATCTTTTTCGCCATTAAATACGAAGTTGTAGAATTTTTTTCCGGACCCACATTTTCTAATATGTTTAAAATATATGTTGAAAAGCGGGACTTGCTTTCATTCATTTTGACAAATTAGTGTAATTAGATTAAGAGAAAAATGTTCTAAAAAGAGAGAAATATAGAATTGGACTCAACTTATTCCAAATAATTTCTGCTTTACATTTATTTTTAATTATTGGATCAATTTTAGGAATGGGAATATTTTTGTATTACTCCTTTTCTTTTCCACTTTTTAGTATTATTACTTTTTGATAGTATTAAGGAAAATCATTTTCTCCTCATGGCCCGGCATGCCATGGCATGGCATGGCAAGTCTAGAGCAAAAAAATATATTATCTAAATCTGAACAAGGTTTTTCACAAAGTATGTGACTAATAATAACCCTAAAGTCTTGAAATATAGAAATTAAATATCTAAACTTGATATGTTTCCTATTAATGGTATTTTTAATGAGTTGACAATAAAAGAAATAAGTTAACAGCTGATGGGAACCAGCCTTATTATGGGATTCTCTGTATATACAGATACGGAAGAGACAACTGTATAATAATTTAAATTAAATGTGAAAATCTAAACTCCTTGTACGATTAAGAGTTTAGAACAAGTGCAACAAATCCAGTAAATAGAAGCACTACATTATATTAATGTGTATTGCATGTATCCTAACTACCCAGGAACTATTCTCACACAATACCACAAGATATTATATCTGCAGTGTTCTGCTAAAAAATGAAAATACAAAAATTTGAATTGAATGATATTTTTATTATTATCATTATTGACGTAACCATTTTTATTATCATCATCATAAGTTTTATTATTATATTTACCCTTAGTCTCATTATTATCATTAGAATTATTGATATTATTGGGATCATTAGGATCATTGGTATCATTATCATAATTATTGTCATTATCATCGTCATCATCATCATTTGCATCATCACTGTCATCATTATCATAATCATTATTACCATTATCTATAGTTTCATCAGTTTGGTTTTCATTAGTATCAATCATTTATATAATTTGTTTTAATAATGTTTTCATAATTTATTTTTTGAAAATTTTGTAAAATAAAATGTTACGAGGTATAGTTAATAATTTTTAAATGTTCATTGTTTTTCTCCTTTCTCCATCTGTGCGTCCGCAGTTTCTCTTTTTCTTGCCTCGCTTTGCCCGTCCATTTATGGCGCTGCTTCTGAAATAATGTTTACGAGTCGCTGTCTTTGCGCCATTATAAGACATTGCAGGATCACCCTTTTGTGTATAGATGTACCCCTCTCCTTTTTTTGTTTTGCTTAATTGAAATTACAGCCTCAAATCTGAACATTCTTTCTACTTGCATTGGCAAGGTCATCACTTCTAGCACTTCAAGTTAGTTTCTTTTTCCAGCGATAGAGCTTCCTTGCTATGAACCGCACATTTTTACTTTCCGGTACAAGGAGGGTTGCTATTCAACGAAGGATAATCAAGTGACCTGCTCAGAGGTAATTTTGTTGTAGGATCCAACAGAGAAAAGTCCTCGAGCCTCATTTCGCTGCCTGCTTGTGAGAAGGTTAGATGGGAGGTAGAGAAGAGTTGGAGATGATTATAAGGGTTTGTAGGAGTGGTGTATTAGGACTGTTTCGTTAAAATCACTCCATTTGTCCACATTTTATACTGTTTCCCAGTCCAGCGGAATTCCTTAGGAAGTATCGCATTTAGTGTGCAACGCTGCATGCAGAATGCGGAGTTGTCCCCTTTTAGCAGCTCTTCTCAGGGAGCAGGGAAAGGGCCCTTCCATAAAGGGCTCTGATCGCTAATTGGAGTGGATATAAAACCGGATTCGTAGTAGACGCTCCTTGTTATTCCTATTTCTTGACTTAGTACCCCGGCCGTGGCTACTGTTAGCTAATTGAGCACGGGGTTCAGGGTCGCTTGGCCTTTCCTCCCTTTATATGTGCAGACACCTTTCTCAGCGTCCACTGCAAATAGTGCAGAGAGCTTTCTAGCAGAGCTCTGTTATCCTAGGCTGTAGGAATGCAACTGTTAATATCAAAGTAGTATCTTATTATCATTTGTATCATTATCATCATCATTACCTTTATCACCGTTATCATCATTATCATCATTATCATCATCATCATCAATAATATCATCAATATCATCAATATCATCAATATCATCAATATCATCAATATCATCAATATCATCAATATCATCATTATCATCATTATCATCATTATCATCATTATCATCATTGTCATCATTGTCATCATTGTCATCATTGTCATCATTATCATCGTTATCATCGTTATCATCGTTATCATCATTTTCATCATTTTCATCATTTTCATCATTTTCATCATTTTCATCATTTTCATCATTTTCATCATCATCATCATCATCATCATCATCATCGTCATTATCATCATTATTATCATCATTATTATAATCATTATTATCTAGGTATGAATGATGATCCTATCCACTGTAGAACGTATCTTGGTCACGTTCTCAACATCGGAGATTCCGTTCTTGGACTTGATCTCAAGAATTCGAATGTAAACAACCCGGAGCTCGAGAAACTTTCTACAGATAAGGTTGGGTTCAGTACAGGGGTTCATCTTGGAGTAATGTGGGAAGGCGTATAAATATTCTCATTGAGTAACCCCTCCGTCTTTTTGAAAATATTTTCTAGATGTTAGGTTAGATATTTTTAGGGTTTGATTTACTGAATTGGGAAAAGTAAATGAATTTCTTGTTAAAAATTATTATGAAAAGTTTTTAAAAAACTTGCCCTATAATGTCCAATTTTTTTTTTTTTTTTTTGAAAATTTACACACCTGAATCTAGGGGAACATAAACAAAAAATTCTCTGAACACCATTAAGACGAATTAAAATCTGCTACACAAAGTATTTAAATCTGGTTTACACTAGCTTTCTTAATAATCTCTAGATGAACCCCTGCTTCAATAATATTGTAAAGAGACAAGCTATGTTAAGAGATAATTCTCTTGGGTAAATTTCGTCCATTTCCTTATTTGTCTCCGCTGCAGATATCCACAAGTTACAAATACAGAGAACTGAAGTGAATAATAAATTTTCATATAGAAAAACCTGGATATCTCCATCAATTTTACCAACGAAATATTCTAAAGGGTTAAGTGTAAACATGCATGTAATTCTTAAAATTAATTTGAAAGTTCTTATAAACCTCTAATCTGCTCAATACAGTCCAATAAACCTGTTTATAATTCTTCTAGATGCCGGATGTTGTTCTTGTGAAGAAACACTTTGCCGACAAGGCACTGCGGAACCGGAAAAGGAAATGGAAGCTGAAGCATATGGAAGGATTCCCTCACATGGAAACAGAAAGCTGCAACGATGAGTTTGCTGACTTTGCGGTAAACTATTCTATCCGATAAAAAATTATTAGTCGGCTATTGATCTACTGAATTCATTTATCTATTATATCTAATCAATCTACCTGAGTTCTACGGGACTATGGTTGATCATTATTTTTTTATTTTTATGTCTACTAATTTATCTATCTATCTTGTGTATTTATCTAACCTTCATCTTTCGAATCGACCTTTTTATCTACTTTTTTTTACTACGCTTTAAATCCAGGGGCGCACTAGAGGGGGTCCTGGAGGGAGGGGGCCGCCCCCCCCCCCATATGGAAATTCTTTATATGAAATAAAAGCATGAAGGGATGAAAGGATGCAACGAAAATAGTATTAAATAAATCACCTGAACTGAAATATGTTTTCTCGTACAGTGATAACTAGAAAACAATGGAATAGAAATCGACATTATAGCAATACTTTTGATGTTGTCACAAAGCAAATATTTTTGCTAGTAATCTAGCAAAGCACAATTTAAGTGAAAAGCAAAGGCGTAAATAAGGGGTTTTAATTGGGTTATTTAGAAACTTGATCTCCATTCTTCATATCTATAATGATTGGAATAAATCCATTTTTTACAGAGCAAATGTAGTCAATGTAATTAGTGAATATATCATATAGGTGTCCACTATAAATAGAGACTTTAGAAAAAACCCTCTCTCGCATCAGTTTTAAATTTACGCTGGGTAATCGGATTTTGATAAATTTCATGGGAAACACTAGCTAGCTCCAAAAGCAGTCTCTGTGCAAAGCGCGAAGCGCCCTAAAAGATAGTGATAGTTTTAAATTTACGCTGGGTAATCCGATTTTGACTTAAAACATAGTTCATGAGAAACACAAGCTAGGTCCAAAAGCAGTCTCTGTGTACAAAGCAACTAAGTTTCCAGAGAAAGTCTCAATTTATAATGTACAGCCTTACAACCTTTAGGGAATAAATTAAGTCAGGTGAAAGCTGAAAGGAGGGAAAGGAAGCCTTTTATTTGATAGAGTTTGTTCATCCCAGAAATGATTGGGAAATTGAAATGAAACCCAGTGAAAACCCAAAAAATGTTAAAATTTACACACACACCCCTCAAGAAAATCCTTATTCACGCCCCTGGCACTAAAAAGGTTCTATTTACACTGTACACTTGCTATTTCTAATGTTCATTGAACCAGTTTAGGTCCTAACTTGAGTTTAAAAGTCGTCTTCCTATCTCAGAGTTTTCTGGTTATCACTTTAAAAATTCATTAAACACGTAATAAAAAGGATTTATGAAATTATTAGTAAGCGCTCCAGAAAGAATAAATAAATACCAACATTATCTATCTATCTATCTATCTAGAATGATCTAGAGGAGGACCCTACCCTGAGACAGAACGTGAATATTTACCTGGACAGGAACAAGATACCTGTGGACGAGGACGAGGATGGTGAGTTCATCAGTACATTCACGGAGTACACTATACATACACAGAGTACATACTACACTGTACATTCATACAGTACATACTACACTGTACTTTCATACGGTACATATCCCACTGTACATTCATTCAGTACATACTACACCGTACAATGTACATTCATACAGTACATACTACAATGTGCATTAGTAGAGTACACAGTACATTCATAGAGTACACAGTACATTCATAGTGTACACAGTGCATTCATAGTGTACACAGTACATTCATAGAGTACACAGTACATTCATAGAGTACACAGTACATTCATAGAGTACACAGTACATTCATAGAGTACACAGTACATTCCGAGAACGCAGTAAAATCATCGAGTACACAGTAAAATCATCGAGTAAACAGTACATTCATAGAGTACACAGTACATTCATAGAGTACACAGTACATTCATAGAGTACACAGTACATTCATAGAGTACACAGTACATTCATAGAGTGCACAGTACATTCATAGAGTACGCATTAAAATCATCGAGAACGCAGTAAAATCATCGAGTACACAGTAAAATCATCGAGTAAACAGTAAAATCATCGAGTACACAGTACATTCACTAAGTTCACAGTACATTCACTAAGTTCACAGTACATTCACAGAGTACACAGTTCACAAACAGAGTACACAGTACAACTTTACAGTACATAAACAGACTACACAGTACTTACACAAAGTACACAGTACAGAGAACATATACTGACTGATATTTCTTAGTTAAGAGTACAGACAATGTACCGTGAACACAGAGCAAAAAGATTAAGCAAAAAATAACTCTTTGTACAGTCTGTAAGTACAAAACTAAAAAAATCCTAATAATTATTTACAAAGAACATAAATTTCTTAAAAGAGTACATACTATACAGTATACAGTGCATCAAAGGGTTCAAAATATAAACCAAAGAATATCTCATGAACTGGGTACAAAACTTGTTGACATGGTTCAAACTTCATAAATGAAGTAATATTTTAAAGTACATAAAGTTAGATAAGTATCAAGTTTTCTATTCTCACAGTGCACAAAGTACAGATTTATTATTCTCCAAAGCGTTGCTTATTATGTGTTATATTTAGTCTAAATACCTCACAGAGAGTTCATTAAAATTTAAAACCACAAAGAAGAGAAAAATGTATTTAAGCGCAAATACAAAATATTTTATAGGGAAGCTGTAAAATAATATATTTAAGAAATGTTAAGATGGTTTGTTTATTTGTTCCCCCGGTATTCCACCAGATATTTGAAGTGGTTCTCATGTATAAATATATTGGGTCGTAACCTTGAAAGTTCAATGATTAGGATCAGGTTTAATCTGAGTAAACTCTGTGAGGAGAATATTTTGAATATATGCCGTGTCAACTTGTTGGAATAGTTCAACAGTAGTTGCAGGGGCTAAAATAGAAGGGAATTCTCCACAAATTATTAAATATTAAAAGGACTGGAGATGTAATTTAAAAAGACCCCTTTAACCTGTTTTCTGGTCAAGGATAAATAAGATATCCTTATTTGTCTGGCTAAAACTTGATTTGCAAATGTAGTTTTTTCATAAGTTTAATGCGCGTTGTGCTTCAGTGAGAACAATGGACAATTAACGGAATTGAACACTTATTAGATAAAAGCGACAAAATCTCTCTCACTGTTACTCAGATAGAGATTCAAAGGGTAAAATTTCGCATGCTATGTCTTCAGTCCATTTAAGAATAAAAGGATCCCACGAATTTACCGATGTGCTTTATATTTAACTGTTAATTATAGATGACGAGTGCCCACAGATAACTCTGGCTGAGATGTTGGACGATCTTGAAATCGGCGGCGGGGAAGCCAAAGGAGAGGAAGGCGGCACTATGGCTGATTAATATTTCCTCTAAATTACATTTTTTCGCCAGAAAATCTATTTTTTAAACTTGCAGATTTCAAAATGGCGGCAAAGCGAGCTCGACGTGAGTTTGCCGGAGCTAAGATGGCGACTTTGCTTGACAAGGTAATTTGATGATATTAATCTACAAATAAAACGATCATCTATTTTCTCTCTTCAATGTTAAATTTTTCTTAATTCTTTCCTTTATCTCGTTTCGTTATCCTTACTTGGTCTTAATTGTCCGTTATTTTTAGGGAAAATATATTTATTATTTTAATACAGTGCATTGCAGTGTACAGTGCTTGAGTGCATTGTACAGTTTTGTATTGTACGGTATCACTGCACACATCCTGCTTATAATATTTTATTGATAAAAGTATCAGTTCAGAACGCTATTTTCATATATTTATCTTTTTGTAACATGCTGTTTTGAAAATGAATATATTGAATGATTAATTTTTTTTCTTGTCTAATAAGAGGTCGAAACTTATTTACTGTTAATCCATTCAGAAAGCACTAATCCGTATCTTTTATAGTTCAATATTTTGAACTAATTCATTTCACAAATCTCTAAAGGCATGACAAAAGTGTGCTGTCGGGCAAATTTGGATTACAATAACACCAATCAGCTGTTTTTATCGTATTAAACTCTTAATCTCTTCCTTTTAAAAGTTTTTAGAAAATCGAAGTCAGGCCTAGTGGATTAGCGCTATTCCATATTAAAGTTTTCCATTTTTGCAGGAAGAAGAGGACGATTTCTACAAGACGACCTACGGCGGGTTCTCCGAGGAGGTTGACGACAGGGATTTTAACTATCAGGTTTGCTCGTCCTGCAGATAGTTTTATTGAAAACAATAGTTATCTGAGCTGTTGGTTGATTCGGTGTTTATTTTGTAGTCATAAAAATCATGTTTATCGACAGCAGAAAAGTTAATTGCTTGATCAGGCAATTTAAAGAAATACAATAATATTTTCCATTGTTCAAAAACATTAAAAATTATATTTGAAAAAAATATCAACATACTTTTTGGTGTAAATTGTACTTAAGAATGAGTTTTATTTTGTTTTATCTTATAAAGATATCTTTCTATCAAGCATTGGAAAAATGTAAACCTATTTGAGAATACACATAATTCCATATTTTTATAATTTTGAATCATAACTAAGCTAATTTCACCATGGTCAAACATGTTTCTTAGAACCAGAATTCTTATAAATACACTGAGTGAAATGATTATGAAAAAATCGGGTTTGTAGTAAATTACGCGCCTTTTTTAGACACCTACCTTTAATAATATCATCCTATAGTCCCCGCACGAGGAGGAGGACGAGGTGGACTCGGATTTCTCTATTGACGAGAACGACGAACCTAAATCTGACCAGGACGATGACGAACCTAAGAAAAAAATGCGCCGAGCTGCCGGAGTTCAAACCAAAGCATACAAGGAACCAGCTCGGAGAGCCGAGGTTAAACCTAAACCTGCTCCTAAACCTAAACCTAAACCTGTTCTTCTTCCCACATCTCCGGAGTATGGACGGAGATTAACGATGCGCGCATCTACTGCGCAGAAAACCTCCGAGATAATAAAGACGATGAAGCAGCGAGATGCGGAGGCGCGGAGGAGGAAAATGAAAATGAAAAAACATAACAAGGTTAATATTATATTCTATTTTAATTCTAAATTTTAAATGATATGGGAGGAGGGGTCGATAAAGCCTTTTTTCAATGGCTTTTCAAAATGTAGATCTGAAGCTTAAATATCAAAATAATGGTAGGCTAATTTTAGTTTTTGTTTTAAACACGGACTACCGTCCTGTAAGTGTACTCGACTCTGCATTAAACAAATCTTTTTCAAATAAATCCTTGATATTTCCAGGCAGGTTATATTGTCAAAAGTGAGAGTGCTGAGGCGAATAAATTAGGGGGTCGCCAACACGAAGGCCCCCCCATTCCCTCCCAGATTTTTCAGTGTTAAGCAATTTCAGTATGTAAGATTTTGTTTTGCTAAAAACGATACTTTGAATCCTGTAATATTTTAGTGGTCTTATTTTTTAAGGATTTTTTCTCACTTTCTTGGTAAGATATTTGTAATAGAATTAAAATATAATCACAATCCTTATTTGATTTACCAGAATTAGTGAAAGGTTTATAAGGTATTCCGCAATCCACAATCTTAGTTTGATTAAAGAGCGTTATGGTTTATTTTTCAATGTCTGTTCCCATCCCATCCTGCACTCCGCAATTTAAAAGGTTTAATAAACTTGAAACAAGCGTAATGTGACTCGAAATATCTAGACATCGCATAATGGCCAGATCAGTTGTGTAATGATAGATATAAGAAGAAAACGAGAAACTAACTATTTTTTGTTCCGATATCGTTTTCCAGAAACAGAATTGTAACTGTCTACAGTCGCGCCGGTTTAGATTAGAATCATCGATTCTATTCAAATCCTTCCTTAATCTTTAACTTTGAATCGGATGGTTTAAATTTGAACCGGCAGTTGGAAGCTCAGCAACGTAGCTCAAATTCAATAAATTCGGTCCCAGCTGAAAATTGCTAATGAAGATAATACGATATACTTGAATTCATATTATTTTAATCTTGGTTTCCAGGTGGAGCGGAAGTTGACCCAAGAGGAGATTATGGCTGAGGCTAAGTTGACCGAAAGATTAAATCTCGCGAGTTTAAAGAAATATGAAGAAATGGAACTAGAAGCAAAAAGAAAAGCAATGCGGAGTGGAAAGCGTGAAATCAAAGGACCAGTTATAAGGTTAGGTTTATGTTTTCATTCATTCAAACCAGGATACTTTGAATTCAGTTTCAGTCTTTAATGTTAAAACAGCAGTTCGAACCTTGGATGTAGTATATTCTTGTTCCCCGATGTTCTCAGAGGGAG